TAAAAGTAGAAAGACTGTCTTTCTTAAGAGGTCATCTCAGTTGCATTTTTTAGAGATGCACTTCAATGTCATGTCTTACTTTTGAGTCCACATTATGAGAGGAACATGGACACAACCAAATAATGTAAACCAAATCTAAACCATAGTTGACTGTAAGAAACAATTTTGTTCTTCTTATTTTCTTTGTCACCATTTTCTTCTGCATGTCACAGCTCTCCCAATTTATTATGAAAGCTATTTTTGTACGGGTAGAAGCATTAACAGGGTTGCGTAAAATAAATTGATTCTCAGGTCTCCTCATGCTCTGAGTTTTATCACACTCAATGTTTTCCTCTTCTTTCTGGCCTTTTTTCACCTCATACACCGGGAACTTACCTTGTCAAAAAACACCCCTCTCTCTGTAATTAAAGTATGGCTAGGAGGTCAGATAAAAGGTGCACTGCTATGTATTCAAGCAGAGGATGTGCTTAGTTTTTTCAAAAGCCCTTTGACACGAAACCTTCTAATATTTCCATTCCTCCCCCAACTGCTGGAGTAGAAGCAGGCTGTTGTCTGTCCCCTAATGGTTACCTTGTGTGATGTCTGCTATCATTTGGCCTTTGCCACTTTTCATCTTTAGATTTTATTTCTAGGTAAATGTAATTTTAAAAATCTTCCAAAATCCTTGTCACAATTACCTCACGTTCTGCCTAAGGAACACAAAAGATGGGATAGGAGACAATACACCACAAAAAAACAATCTCGTTCACCAGTACTGGGTACATTTTTTTAATTTTCAAGGAAAATTGTCTTAAATCCGTCTCCAAATGAGAATAAAAGACTAAAAAATAAATCCTTTTTGAGATTTCATTAGCAATTCATCCATTACTCAGCAACAACCTAATTGATTCATGTCTTTGAGTTCTACAGTAATAGCAAATTGATTGATTTATCCTCAAGAGGGAACATGGTGGGAATTGCTGGGCCAAAAAACAGAACAGCAGAATCATCGGCTTTGAGCTGATGGATGAGACCCGAATTGCGAAAAAAGGAAAGAATAAATAAGTAAAACTCTAAAAATTTGTTAAACCTTTGTGTGGGTGTCAAAAACGACTGTTGAAGGGAAGTAGATTTCTCATTTTTAGAAGAATGAAACAACAATGGCCATAAAAGACCCAACATTAATCACATTTAACAGTTCACTTATGTAAATTAGACTGCATCTGTAATTAATCCAATAACTCCAAACCAACCAACAATTTCCCAACATAAATCTGCGATGACATCAACTCAATCGTTTACTGATAGCAAAACATTGAATTTAAGAATGAAAAGAAAATTAACCTTCTTGCTTCCGGCCTGAAAAACTTCACGTTGGCTAGACAGGGTCAAGTTACACTGACCCATAATTGTAACATCCAAATGAAGATTAAATTGTGTTTGAGAAAGAAATAATCCTGACATTTCCAAAAGACTGGTGTTTGTGAAATGAGATCCATGAGCAGCTGTCTCTAAAAAAGATTTCACTATTGATTGATTTCAGATTAGTGACTTAACTGTACCACCAAGGGGGATTCTGAGGGTCAGTGAAGGGCTGAAATTGACCAGTAGCTCAACAGAAAGACAACATCAATTACTTAACAGTCAAAATTATTTTAAAAAGGAAAAACACATGGGAATTACTTGGAAAAAAGATTAAATAGACAGAATGGAAATGTTTTTATCTTATAATGAATGTTGATTCTGTTGGGGGGTAAATAAAAATTTCAGTACTGTAATAATGCTTTAATGCTTTTTAAAATTCAACAATTTTCTCAGGTTAGCAAAGCTCACTGCATTTTGACTCTTTAAAACTGTCAAGGCTGTATTTCAGTTGGGTAGCAGCCCCCTTCCATCTTTGTAAAAATGAGGCTTATAATAAAACCAATATTTGAAGAAAACAAGAATGAAGATTCTTTTGATCAACAAAATGCGTTCTGTACAGCCAAAGATTAATGTACAGCTAAAATTAGACAACTGCCACTATATAAAACACCCCCTCCTTGCCTTTACCAGATATTTTAAGGCAAATGCAACAACAGAAAAGAGAGATCTTTTGAGCTGCCACACCATACTGTGTTTGGGGAAATGAGCAGCTGGAGAGGAGAGATACATTGGAGCTCTGCAGTCTCTAGGTGGTTAAATAAGCACAAAGCTGCACGTCTACCAAGAGCTCTTCCACTGCTGCTACTGTTGTGGCAGCTGGGCTTTTTTTTGTGCCTTTGTGCCTCTCTGCAGAACTCAACCATTATGTTCGGTTTCATCTCAAGGATTTTTTGTTGTTACCTTGGCTTCGGTCTATCTAGCCATCTTGATCTCCTCCTTTCGTGTTCCTATTGGTTCTGTCTCTTTGCCTTCCACTCCCTGCAGACACCCTAAATGTCAGTTGTGAGGTTTACCACGTTGTGACTATTTAAGCTTTCACTGCTGATTGAAGTAGTCTTTTTTTGTCTGAAACTAAAATTTTAAAAGATGCCTATAAACACAATCTATGCAAAATGCGTCTCCAAGGATACAGTACAACCTCAGTATATGCAAAGCACCTTTTGCCACATTTTCCTGTGTGTATGTAGCTTCTGTAGAGAAATAATGATCATTTTAAAAAAGCACCATCGAGACATCTTTGCATTACAATGTAAATGTTTCTAAATGTTTGTGTTTCTTTTAATCATTTATATATACAGATATAAATCTATATATATATATACAAACACACAAGTATATTTTCAAGCTTTTATCTTTCTTAAAAAGAATAATATAGCTAGGAAACAATTAATGAGGGTGAAAAAGGTCAAATATAGAGATCAAAATGCAAATTCTTTATGAGAATAACATTTGCCAGGCCGTGTCACGGACAACTGGATTAATGGATCCTGACTCAAGCTGTGAGTATGAAACACCAGCTGACCATTAAAGGGTCTCAATGACACCCGTGCTCTTAGTGTTAACATCCTTATTTGAGCCTTTATGAAATAATGCGATGCAACTGCACAGGCCGCTGCCATATGCAGTGCTGACCATTTGTTTGTGGCTGGCAGAGCCCACTCCTGATGCTCAGGGTAAACAGGCACAGGCTCCAGACAGTGTTAATCACAGTTTTACTGCCTCCATGCTTTAGGTTTCGTAGCCGATTCTAAAGAAGTCAACACAATACTTTTTTTTTTTTCTTTCTTTCTTTTTTCCTATTGCGCTGAAGATTCTTTCCACACCATTAGTGTTCTGTGCTGAGCTGTAAGACCCAGGTCCTCTAGTGTTGTAATACAGCAGAGCTGTGACATGCCTCATCTGCCATAAACACAACTACCTAGACAAATATGGACACATCAGCACATCAGAGGAGTCCTTCCATGCAGATCGAGCTACGCTACATGGTTTTATATGGAGGGGGCACTCAGATCATTATCATGTTCACCTTCAAAAAACACGAAGTAAAAAAACTGGGACAAAAATATATACGACTAGATTTACTAAGATAATTTGAATATCACATTGCAGGTTTCCAGGGATCTAAACCTTATTAGTACAGTGTCCTCATCATAAGCCACCTGCATCAGCATCTGTTGGACAATTGCTCATTCACGTGGGCTCATTCCCTCACAGCAGGCTGCCAATAGTTTTAATGTGCAACATTTTGCAGTCACTTTTTCTTTTAAGTGCTTCATGTTTTTTTTTTTCTTCTTGCAGCTGTCATTCCCCAACACATTGTTCCTGTTCAGAATCATCATTTTAAAAAGTTGTCCCGTTCCTGTCTGGATTTCATCTTGGCTTCTTTCAGCCAAGGCAGCATTTTTTGCATAATGCAATAATCTGAAAATGATTTCCATTCCATCGTTAATCAAAAGTTGACCAGTGACAGCATTCCAACATGTAAGGATGTTGGCAAGAGGATAATAAATGTGGATCAGAACATTTTGTACCATACTTTGTGAAATATCTCCAAATGAACTGGTTTGTCAGGAAGTGTAAACCCCCTCTCATCTTGGCTTCCAGTAGACTCTCGTTAATGATCTTTTTATGCCAAATCATGTTCCTGACACGATGTTAATACATTTATTTAATAATGAGATGTTGTTTTGGCATCAGATCGCTTTTGTTGTCTTTTCTCAAGCGTGCTTAAAAGAAACCACTATATTTTTAGATTTAACTTTTTTTCTTTTTTTCCCAGGGAACATACATCAATTTTAGGTTTCAGAGTATTTGTACGATATTTCATTTTGTTTTCACTATTGATATCACATCCTCCCAAAAATTCTGGAAACAGAATTGGATACTGTAGTAAAAACAGAGAAAAAAAAATTGTAAGGATCAGGTGGATGTACGAGTGCATTTTGACAGAGAAATCTAATAAGCTACAACTGTGTGGGGAAGCATCAGTGGGCTCGGCAAATCTATTGCACTGAACTCAGAGTACTATTGAGAATAAACAGACATATCTGAAATGTTTCCAAAAGCAGCAAGCACTCGTAATCCACCAAGATTTAAAGGGTCTGCCAAGGAAAAGCAACATACCAAGGACAAATAAAGTTCATGACTTACATAGCAGACAAAATCAAACAAAGAGCGAGGAAATAAAATACAGCATTCACACAGAAATCCCACTCATAAAAAATAAAAATAAAAACCCCTTTGGCTCTGACTTAAGGCCTTAGCAAAAAGGTCAAGTTTGAACCTTTTGTGAGAATATTGCACCACTTTTGAGAGGCAGCACACTATCGCACAAAGGACAACACGCTCGCCCTCTGGCAGACTGTGTATCAGCGCATATATTTTTCGATGGCCAGTGTTCAATATTAGGTACAGTGTGTGCACAGTTTCTGTTCAGAGGTGAGAGGGAACTGATGGCGCTACTGGATCAAACTGTGGATATCAGTGCAAACATCAACTCTGACCGCGTATTGGATAAACATGTTCGGATGACCCTCGCCTTGGCAAAGCCTCAGCTGGCCATGCAAATAAGGCAACTATTGACATGCATCACTTACCACTTTGAAGTCCTCGGCACTACATTCCATGCCTCTGTAGGAGCAGGAGAGGAGCATGTCCTTGATGTCATGGCCTGTTCGGTCGTAGAATTCGAGCATATTGAAGGAGCGAGGCTTGTAGCTGTCAAAGTCTGCCCTCTCCTTCAGGATCTGCAGGACGTTTTCCTCAACCAGGTGTGGGTCCCGGATCTCATACCTGGTCAGAAAGAAAGAAGACTTATTCACTAAATAAAATAATTACATAAAGTGGACATTACTGATTTGTTTTGATAAAAAGTCATTGCAACTTCATCAAAAGTATTTCACATGTTCAATACATATCCAAAAATACAAAAGAAAAAATGCAAATACAAATGAAAATGTTTTTGTTTTTTGAAAGGAGATTACTTCTTAATGAAGAAAGAGATAATCATCCTTCAGTGTGGGAGTAAAAGATTTCCATTACTTGAAGACCTGTCACTATTATAGTGACAAAAGCAATCATATTTGCACAACCGTTCCCCAGAAGAGGTGTATTTGAGCGTTTTGGTAAACTCACATAATTTGTCATTCAACAATTAAAAAGAAAAGTAAAGCAAAAGATAATTAAACCAAAGGTATTTTTAGGTAGAGAATTTGCAATGTTCGTGGCTCTGCAAGTTTGAATCTTTCATTATCAATTTGTCAAACAGGTAAAGGCTCTGAAGTGAATTGTGGTATTTGCATTTGGAAGTTGCTGCTATGAGCCCACAAGAGGCAGTCAAACTAGTTTTCAGAGAAAGTAAAACAGGCCATCTTTGTGCTGCAAAAATAAAACAAATCCATCAGTAGAATTGCAGAAGCATTAAAAATGACATTTGTTGAGAAAATGAGAACGCACTACAGAGCTTTTGCCAACAGTGCAGGGCTTCCATACATGGCAACAGTGGCAGTTTTTTAAAATAAAATCACATTAAGATCTGAATAAGTGGAAGCAAATGCAAGTAGAGAAAAAAAAATCAATAGAAATTCCACTAAACCCTAAATGCCTTTTATGCCAGATTGAGCTAGATCTTTGCCAGTTTTGATGGTGAATGGATTGCATTTAAATAGCACTTTCCTTATCATACTGACAACTTTCACACACACATTTGCAGCCTTTACTGCTAATGCATTGTTTTTTTGTTCTTTTTGGTGTCTGAAGTCTTCTGAATATAAACTAACATCCCTGATATACCCCAAGAAGAAAATAATTCCTGAAAAAGAGCACTCTCAATCATCCTCGTGTGGATATGTATTGCAGTAGTACACTTGCCTTCCACCCCACCACCTGTTGACGCAACAAAACCTGGATAATTTTCTTCAAACCAAATTGCTCTTGTTTTTTTAGTTGCTTTTCAAAAGAACACTTCGTTCCTTAGTGAACGGGAACCTTGCAAGTGGCCAAATGGTCCCTCCGTAACAAAGAGCCCTTCATATCACAACTCCAGTACAAGTACACTCTCAAGGTGGCCAGCATACTATTCCATACATCACATAAAGACTTCATGAGGATGAGATCAGATTGAGTCAATACAGCGCATATTAAATTAAACGCCAGGGCATTTTCAGCACAGCTCGTGAACTTAAACAAAATGAAATGTTTAGCCATAGCATCCACATACATGGCTCCCAGTTGTACTGATTAGAACTGATTCAAGAAGTTGCACAAAAAAAATGTGTGTGTATATATATATATATATATATATATATATATATATATATATATATATATAGTCGGATTAACTCTGCTCAGACAGCCTCAGGCATAAATGATAAAAAAAAGGATTCACAACGACTCAAATCACACTACAAAAGCCAGCACCTAGTTTTTGGAAGGGTGAAATAATATGCAACACATGAGCAAGAGCAAATCTAACTCATGCAGACGTATATTTTAGCTGTTGAAGACAGAAAACAAGACAAAAGAAATGCATACATGAGACCCAAGAAAAAACGCCATCTGAACCTCTGCTGAAGACAGCTGCAGGTAAAACACTAAAAAATGCAAGTTGTTCCTTAGTGGGTTCAGGTTTTTGGGTAGTAAATGAGAGCTCATAAAAGCTTTTTGACTAAAACTGAAGAGACTGAGAAGTTGCATCTCAAATCCACTTGTTTTGCACCACCAACTAATTTGTGCATCAGCTCAAATAAACAGAAATGGACCATATTGAAATATTACAAACCTGTGTGTCTGCACCTGCTGCTGACCACCTCTCAGAATATCATCCACGGTGTCTGAAATTGCCCGTCTTGCTGTGGCCTGTCAGCCACAATGTTTTACACGGGATGGAAGGAAACATCTTATTCTTTACATCAAAAGGGTTATTTTCAGACATGATAACCAGTTAACCGTGTAACTGAGGTTCACAGTTTCTTTTTTCAGATAGAGAATCCTTCACATTGTGTGAATGTACATTTAGATTCAGTATTTAAGAATTAAATACAAAGGAAAACTCTGCATACTCTCTAGTATGTAGGGGCAAGTAATCTAGAAGTAAAAAACTTCACAAAATGTACGTAAAGAAGTGCTTTTGTTTTGCTTTTGGCTAAAGACAAAAAACAAATGTGTCCATTTCCAGAGGAAAGACACTAGAGACTCTATTTGGTACCACCGGTACTGGCACCTCAGTTCAACAACCTCCATCAACCACCTGCATCTGTTCATTTGCAGAACCTCAATTAGCTGAACGACCCATTGATGAACCCACCTGAGAAATGAACCATCAGCGGTAAATGCATCCAAGTTATTATGAGCTTAGATTTAGAACTGATGGGAGACAAACACATTTTAACACACAGAAGTTGAAGGGCATAATAAAAGCTTGTATGCTTTTTTTTTTCTTTTTGGTTTTGATTAAATTAACTTGTCAGTTTTCATTCACTCTTGACTCTATGCATAATGTAATAAGAGTGGCACTCAACTCATTACGGTGTTAATATGTCATGTTATTTGATCATTCTAAAATGTTCAATTACACTTGCAGACATCAATAAATCAATCACCAAGTTAGAGAATTTCAATGAAGAGGGAAAAACACATACATGCCAGTCTCCACTGACAATATAAATGCTGATGACTTTGTGGACACTGACAGCAAAATCATTCCTCATGGATATGGGCACTAAATCAAACCATAATTGGCCATAGAAATTTGAGGATTTTTAATCCCCCCCCCCTCCCTTTTTTAATTCTAATTCCACAAGGTCAAACGCTGTCTGGGCTCAGGGAGAAGATTTTGTCCAATGATGGTGGGAATAATGACAGCAGATCCATGAATATAAAATGAAAGTCTACGTTATTTCTTTTGTGAGCACTGTCTTAATATTTAACAAGTGATGTATTTTTGTGTTTAAACCAAATGACATGGAATGTAAAATGCCCCACTGTAGCTTCGGTGCCGCTTAATTACGACAAACCGGTTGAGGAAAAATCTTCACCACGTGAAATTGAGGGGTGGGGGGGATTTGCAATGAGGATGGTTTCCTCCTATAATATTCATTGCGTGTCAGACAGCCTGCATCGAGAATAAGAGCAAAAGCTGTCCATGTTTTGCTAATCTTTGACTTGATTTTTCAACTGGTTTGTTGAGTCATCTTAGTAAAGACAAGTTGAGGTCTAACATCCATTGTATCTGCATCTACAACACAACAGATCACTTTATAGATGCAGCTGCAGAAGTTGTGCCATTTAAAAAGTGGAGCTTTACCCAACACACTAGAGCATTTTACCAGCCATGATGAAGCACAGAAAGGTCAAAGTTAATGGTTCAGCTGTTAAAAGAGCAATTTTTAATCGTACATTACTTTAATTTTTTTTTTATTGTTCTTTAATGTTTGTTTACATTTAATTCTGATAAAAAATTAACAGAATTTACAATTACATTTCATTTACATTGAATTCATTTTTGTTCTCACTTCTTAAGTTGTCCATTTGAAGTCCTTTTTACAGTAAAAGCGAATGCTCATTGCGTGAAACACAGGGACTTAGCATTTATTTCAAGTTTATAAGTTTTGTTTACGTGTCCAAAATATTCAATTTCAATATTGATTCTGACGAAAAAAATGTGCAAAGAAGTTTCTGGTTCCCTTCATTTTGAAGCGGTACTCAACCTCTGTAATGAGTCTTCAATGAACAGATGTGTTTAATGCTCTGATTATTATTTTATATAGTCCTCTTCAGAGATTCAACGGAAGAAAAAAACTTGGTTAACTGAAAAAGCAGAAGAGGAACAGCTGATGTATTTTTTATATAGCTGCAATCATCAATGCAGAAACATAAACATCATCAGAGAATAAGATCCAATAAGAATCCAAGAATCTTGATAGAAAGAGCATATTTCAGTTTCCATGTGAAGCCACTTGAACCAACCAAAAGGATAAAAGCTTGTCGCAAGACAGATTAAATGACACCAGAGGTTCTTCACTGAAAATGTTGGATCTCTGATGTCAAATCGCGGCTTAGAACCCCACCTCGCATTAAAACGCCATCACTGCGCTGTCACACTTTACTGTAATAAGAACATACACACTGCTGCGCTGAATTCTGAACTTAATTGAATTGAATCTTGAGCTTCTGCCTTATAAACAACACAAAGCTGCCAGAAGAGCACTTAAGAAGCCCTGCTCACATCCCCAAGTCAGGAGGCCTTAGCTGAAGCGCATACAATCACAATAATATGGGTAGATTTTTAATATTGCCATGCCACTGCTCCCTAAAGCAATCACTGCAAACTCACTAGGTATAGGTTGGGGGGGGTGGGGGGGGGGCGCTAAATTGGATTATGGGCCACAAGCACTTTAATTTTCTTGTGAGGACTAAAAGGAATGAAGGAGCATCTGCAGCACTTTGCCACCTCATGAGAGAGAGCAAGTAAATACAAACGGCTCTGATAGAGAGGCGACAGTCACGGTCCAAAGTTTTTCTTTTCCTTTTGCCACTACCTGGGATTGTTGACACAATCGTGCGCACTTTCGGATACTGTAAGATCTCAGGTAATTTATTCAATTAGCGGTAATTTAACTCATTGACTAAGAGTGACAGCACTGTCTGTGTGGCGTCTCTGAGCGTTGACAAACTGCAATCAGGGCGCGATGCTGAGCTCTGTAAATGACTTATTAATGTTTTTGCCCCTGGCTGTGTCACAGGTTTCACTCCGGGTGGGGCCAGGTCACAGCAATACAAACTAGGGTCACCACAGGGTGAAGTCGATTAAAACGAGTCTCTGACACGAATGAGAAATTACACTCAATCCGGATTTTAATGCCAGTTTTTTTTTTTTTTTTTTTACCTCTGTTGTCTCTCAGATGGTGCACCATATAGCATCAGTACAAATGTTCCCATTTGCGTTTATACGTGTAAAGATGTCTTTAAAATCAGCAGAATGCATTTTTCCCCTGAGCATTGTCTGCAAAGGTGTTCTGACCTTTGCAAGTTCTCTGTTGAGCGGTTTTAACACCGGTTCAGTTCCGATAGCGCTTCTATGATCCCGCTGAGATATGTTACCCAGCCGGAGCTACCGGGCTTACAATTTGTGGCGTTTTCACTCACAGTTTATGTGAATTCAGAGTATCTGTGCCAGCTCAGGACACAAGACCAGCGTAAGCAGAAGACTTGCTTCTCTGACTTTCATGAGCTGATCAAGCACTTCCTGCCAGCACACAGCACACCTACACCCACTTCTAAATGACCTTCTTTTTTTAATGATCATATAATTGCCTTTGCGACATAATAAAAATAAAACTGAGCAATTTACTCGTAATGTTCTGCACTGCGAAGTGTGACTTAAACCTGCAAATATAAAATAAGGAGCCCATTGATTTTTTTTCCCCCCTTTCTTTTTAGTAGAGACTCTACTAGAGGGAAGTAAGTTAAAGTGGAATTTCTACTGGCTCAGCTATCAGCTTCACAGAGTTTAAGACAATTAGTACAAATTGCCTGATACTCCCATCAGAGACAAAGATGTGCACATTACAGTTTGGAACTTAAATTTCCAATCTTTTTTTAATCTTTTTTTTTTTATTTACATTTTTTAGATCTGTATAAAATATTTATTGCTTCTTAATTTTTTTAACACTATTTTCCCACTCTTAAAAAGCCATAAATACAAAAACTGAATCCCCCCAAAAACAAGAAATTAAAACAAGAACAGCAACCAAAATATTGAGATCCGTTTTTTTTAAAAAGGTTTTGGCTTCGTCTGTGGAGTTGCGTTTACTTTTTAAAAAGGTTTTCTCTTTCGGCATTGAGATCCGAGATCTTATTTTTCTCCTTTCCTGTTGTTTCCTTTGTTCCCGCTGCCCTCCTTTTGCCCGGGCTCTCTGGGAAGAAGTGTCTGTAATTAGTTTTATTAGTGTTTTTGCCTTTTCTTTTTTTTTTATCACGCCAAGAACACGATATTTCAACTCTTTCTACGCTGTTAGAGAAAAGCGGGCGGCTGATGAGCAAATCAGGGATTTCAGTTTAAGAAAAACATCACACCAGCCTCCAAATAGCAAAAACAAAAACAAAAAAGAAAGGAAATGAACGTCCCCTCAAGGCCACGAGAGGAGAGGGGGCAAAAAACAATGAGAGAGATGAGAGTGTTAATCAGTGAGGCAACTCTGTAGCTTAACAAACAGCACTAATTACACAGGGATAAAGACTTGTTCATCACACAGCTTACGAGACAAAAGTTAATTGCCTCTGCTTGTAGTCCCCTCCCTCTATCTAAAAGTCAGCTCATCAAAGTCACTCGGAGCAAGGGCCACTGCTCTTATTTTTCTGTTTCCTGTATTCTGTGTCCCTATCCTTTTTCTTTTAGGCGCACCATGCCTCTTACAGTAAATCTGGCTGTACTAGCATTTAAACATCAAAGGGGATGGAAGCCTGCGTTATTATTTCAATGGTTTGACATTACAGTTGAAAGCAAAAGACAAATCCATGTCAGATGCTGGTATGCCCATTGAAATCTACACTATACGCTGAAAAGCATCCATGCCTCTACTTTGTTGTAACGTTATCATTTGGAATACAGATGTGTATGTGGAGCGCGTGGACACACAAAGTCTACGAGTGAAAATGGAGGATTGGATTTACGTCAGTCAGGCATGTACGGCATGCACAGATACACTGTGTGCCTCCAGGCTGCAGAGATGCGTGGATCAATATGCTAAAAATAAACCGAGTGATTTGTTCAAGATGTTATTAAGATGTGTTTGCAGATCTTTTCATTTTGAACAAGTGAACCAATTTGCTTCCGTTCGCCTGCACCGGCGGAGAAAGTCACTGTCCCGTGTGAATCGGGGCACGGGGGATCAGCATCTGCATTGTTCCAAGTCACCTGGCACCAAGATGAAAAACCGAAAATGTTCAAAGTCAAAAGTTTCAACGTGAGGCAACCGGCTTATCGTGAGTGCCGTAACTCCGAATGATCAAACCGCCGCAGAAAGCAACAGGTGCAAAGAGGTTTTGGAATGTGGAGCAGCTTGTGAGCAGGGAATTTTAAAATCTAGTCAATTCATCTAAACATTTTCCCTCATCGATATGTTGCGAAGAAAACAAACTACAAAGAAAAACTATCTTTATTTACACCATCTTTAGCTCACATTAACCACTTAGAAAGCGCATGCAGGATCTGCTAGTTGAGAGATTCATACAAGACACTTTTGAAAAGTCTCTTCTTATATCCATCCATCCATCCTTCCATTCCTTTTCTATACCGCTTATTCCTTGTAGAGTCATGGGGGGTGCTGGAGCCTATCCCAGCTAAGACTGGGTGGGAAAGAGGTGGGGTACACCCTGAAAAGGTTTCCAGGCCATCAAATGGCAGGTCTCTTTTATTTATGTTTATCCAAATCAAGTGATGTTATCATATTCGAGCAGAAGGATTTGGGATATGTTACGGTGAGCTCACAGCATTCCAAACTTACACAGCAATCAGCCTCAAATCCCGGTCATATACTCCAATCTGAAGCTATGAGGCAGAGGTATGAAGAGAGCACAGGGGTTTAGTTCTGGTTGCTACTCTTAGTCACAGGAGGCAGCATCACTCAATTTTCCTGTCAGCAGTGTTAATGTTGGGCTGATTGGTGTACAGGCTGATGTGCTGTGTGGATCTGAAATGACATGATTTGTAATCTTACTTCATCACCGACTTCAATCTTTGCCGTCCAATTTGCAACGGCCACTTTTTCATCAGTGATCTTCCATAGTTACGTCAGGCTATCGGAAGAGCATATACTTTAATATTGCCTCGGCGATCTTAAAAGGTTTTATGTGTTTTGCCAGTGTTTTCTTTTTTTGTGTGTGTGTGTGTGTGTGTTTTTTGCACATATCTCTGCAGGCCTTATAGGGACAGGCAGCGGGACAGCTGTTAACACTGCTTTGCACTTCCAAGTGACATCCAAGATTTCACCTGAGACAATTTTCGAACACCACAGGAAAAAGTGAGCGCCTTGCAAGCAACAGGATTCAGCCCCAATAAAACATTATGTATAACTTCAGACCCGAATTAAGCGGCGGGCTGCTGCTGGGCCTGACAAAGAGCCCTTTTTGCCAGTGAGTTAAGGCATTTAAGTCATGACATTTCATTAAATAAATGAGTTATTGAGCTTTTATTATAACTGCAATAATAAACCTCAGAGATGTGGTTTCGGTGAAATGTTTCAGTGTTGTAACTTTATCTCTCACTTAAGAGCCTGTGCAGCGGACGCGATCAATTCCTGAACGAGCAAATACTAAATTCTACACAGATTGGTCTCCCGGGGGCCAAAACCTCATCGGCCGAAACAGCAGCATCGTTGGGAGTTTTTTTTTTTTTTTTTTAATGCGCTGAGCGAGGCAAGCTGTTGGGAGGTGAAGTGGCGATGGAGGAGGACACAGGCAGGAGACTCTGCAGCCAGACTGCATCCATCCATCCATCTATACATCCATCCATACATACCTGCCGTTGAGCAAGGCAAGCAGCTCCCCGGCGTGGTACAGATCGTTGCGCGTCACCCGGCTGAAGCGGAAGGAGTTCAGGTTGCAGAAGGTGACCGAGGGGAACACTATCATCGAAGCCGCCACCTCGTCCAGCTTGGTGACATGTGGGTACTCGAAGTAAAACTGCACCCTGTCCACGCACACCATCACCAGCACGCCCACCGAAGCCATGAAAAACAGAATCCACAGGGTGCGCTTGATGTACATTCGCTCATAGGTGAACATGTGAGAGATGCCGTGCAGCGTGGACCTGGTGGCGAAAACTTCGATGGGAGCCGGCTGCTTGTAGTCCATGTCCTCCGCGTCCGCTTTGAGATCCATGTCGAAACCCCGGATTGAGTTCGGGGCGGAGGGGGGGGTTATTGTTAGAGGGTGCAAAAAAGGCGCAAACTGGCTTTACGGATGAGTAGAAGCTCACTTGTGAGGAGGTTAGTGGCTGCAAGTTCACGCCCTTCTACGTATGTGTTTCTCATGCAGTCTTGTGTGAGATTGTTGCGTCACTGAGAGCCGGTAAAGCAGCCTGAGAATCTGAGCATTTCACTTCGAAATGGGCCAAATTCTTAGCCTTTACGCCAAAAACAAACAACAAAAAACATGTCAAAAGTGCACATGTACGGGGGGAAAAAAGAAAAAAAAAAGAAAAAGCACGCGTTCTGTGCTGCCTCAGTTGGAGCCAGCCTCACAATAACACAACAGAGGAGCGCGCATGGATGAGTGCCAGCGAGTGTCCCCTCCTGCACACTTCTGTAGGATTAACGAGTTGATATTTGGTTCCACGCTCTAAACAAAAAAAAAACAAAACAACAACAACAGAGACGGTGGGGCTGGGCTGAATAAAAAACAACTATCACGGTTGAAAAGACAGGAAACAAACCTCGGGAACAAAAACACAAGGGAAATAGGAAATCAGACCGGCGGTGGGTTTCTTTCTCTCCACATGAGGCAACGACTGAGACTGGTTGGTTGGCTTTTCCCAGCTCCTCATAGGCGACCCCGGCACGTGCGGAATGACAAACAGCCGCGGATGTTTTTACCCCGTATTGAAAAACGACCGTCGGCTAGTCCTCCCGGGTTTTGCACAGCCTGGATCCGCAGCTGCAGAACAGAGGAGCGGGCTCTGGCTGATGGATGCCTCCGTGCGCCTCTGCTCGGTCTCTCGCATCCATTCCCTCCCCAGAAAAACTGCCTTCACAACAATGCAGGGGTCCTTTTTTTTATATACTAAACGTCTCAGATCAATCCTTCCTTTTTGGTATCACGAAATGAATCAACTGTGTGAGCGGACCGGCAAAAAAAAAAGAAAAAGTGCGGTCGTCAAACGAAGCGTTTTTTTGGGGGGGGTTTTGAATTCTGGGAAATAACACGTCAGTCGCGGTGTGGCTTCGCCCGGTCAATTTCATTCGCTGTGGAACGTGAGAAAGCATGAGTAGGACGGCGTGTTTTACACCTGCTGCCTGGAAGTCTAACGTTAGCAGCATAGACCGCAGCTGAAGCATGGCACTGGGCTGCTGGAGCAACTGAGTCCTCATTCCAAGCAGAGTTATCTCCTCACAATGACAAAAAAAAAAATCTGTTAACGTAATCAAGTTTAGCCCGCTGCTGGAGGAGGTTTAAGACAGCAGGAGTTAACATTAGACTTTGAAAAGTGAGTTCATTTTTAGAATACAAGGCTGTCTAAAAAGAAATATTAAAAAAACACGTTTAGTACTCATGTGTATAAAACGTGGCTATTACTAATCAGGCATTAGGTCTATGTGGATAATTTAGCTCATATTCCAAAACACAGCAATAAACTTTAAGGTAGAAAAGAAAAAGAAACAAACTCGAAAAATATCATGACCTTAGCCAATGTCTGGACTGTAAAGGGCTGCAAGAAAAAAAAGTTATTTCTATTGACACAATTTTCCAATCTTATGAAAGAAAAATGCATCAATAGAATATAAAAATTAAATAAAACATATTAAAATGACATGATTAATGAGTTTCTCAAACTCAAAATTACCTGACAATCTAATAACGTCACAAAGTCTTTACCTGTGAATTAGCAGAGCCATTTCCCTCTTTTAAGGCTGGTAAAAGAGCTCCTAAAAGAGCTTTTGATTACGTTCATATGAAACTCTTTTATTAGTGGCACACGCCTGCTTTTAGATTCTTGGCATGGCTGCAAACACAGTTGTTCCACGTCTTATTTTTCATGCCACATGCAGATTCTTTCCTCTTTGGGCTCTGATTTAGCTGTAGCCACTCGCAGGCTCATTCAGATGCCCGAACAAATCTGCTTCTGCCGTGACCGATTCTTTGGAGTTGACTAAATGGAACATCCAGATATGTCAGAGTCAGCCAAACACAGGCGGCACAGCAGACGTGTCGCGAGACAGCTAGTGACAAATCCGCCACTGAAACCCTTTTGCCAGGAGGCAGAGAGAGCTCACCCATAAAATTGTTCATAATGCGTCGATAACTGCGACTTGCCATACTATCGACTGTGACAGTGTGGCAGCATCTGTAAAGCTTGTATTCCTTTATTTCATATTGATCATCGGTGCTGGGAAGGTGAGCCATTCCCCGTCTCAGTGAGGTGGAGTGAGTGGGCTGTAACCCTTGATACTACAGTAGATGTTACATTTATTAGTTGTACTTTGACAGCAGATGTTGTAGAAACGAAGGCAGCTTTTATTACAGCCATGTGACTGCCATGCAATGATGCTCGACTCCCCACCTGAAAGGCTTTTTTCCATTTCCTTTTTTTTCTTTTTGTGGAAAATTGTAATGTCATAACACCCATGATGTCAATACTTTTCAACTACCAGTGTTTGCTAATGAATGTAGTTTAGTCCAGTGAGACTTTGAAATGGGGCCCGAGCACAAAATATCGTGGTACTTCAAATCTAATTAGAAATAATGGATTTGTTCGCCAATGTATCCCTTAAGTGTTAAGCCATGTAAAATCCTTGTTCACGCGCAGTCGCTGAACCAACTCTCTCTCTGCTTCAGCAAAAAGTATCTTTACAGAATGCATTTGAGTTATTTTGGGATATGCGGCATTAAGTGTAACATTTTAATTGTTTCCAAGGTGCAATGCATGTTTGTTTAAAGGGACGATGCATTATTTAAATGTGAGGGGAGCTCTGCTGCAGAAACGTAAGCGTAAAATGGCAATTAGCTGACACTCCCAATTGAATTTCATGGTCTTTTATTGCAGTTCGTGGACCTGAAATAAAATACTTAAATTACATGTGTCGGTTTTAGCTTGTGCTCCAGGGTTGCGTGCCAGTATTTGTATAATTGCTGTTATAGAAGAGAAAAGCAAAACAATACAACAGCTGTCTTTTGTATATGAAAAACTTTAAATGGATGAATATAAACTTACAAACAGACAGCAGGAAATACTTGTTGGATTACACCAAGAGGAAGTGAAGCACATCTACAACATTTTGGTTTAGGCCAGACATAAAATCTGATACTAATGGAAAATGTCCAGTGTAAAAGCCCTTTTTGTTGATTATAGCATTTTACCTCCAAATTGAAGAGATATCTATGTGAAAGTGCTTTTTCTTTTTCAAAATAATGACTTGCCTCTCGTGAAAGTCTTACAAAGGCATTAGAACGCAAGCATGGAGAGATTTGTTGAATTAATTTGGGTTACTTCGGGCAGATCGAATACTCTCTGAACATTAACATCTTTTCATGGAATGTGTGGGCTTAGATCCATTGATCATGAATGTGTTTGACAGTTCAGCTGAGCATCCAGAGACAGGCAGAGTAAGTCTACTTCAGCAGATTACAGAGATATTAGTTAATAACCAGCATCACAATCGGGATTTCTATTTGATTTTATTTATGTTTACTTAGTTTTGAACACATGCATTCAACAATATTTTATAATGTGAAATTCATATTTATAGAAGCATTGACTAAATTTAAGATTTTTTTTTTTTGTGGATTTTACATTAAGCTTATTGTATCCACAACTCTACTACAAATAGGCAGTGTGGAAAATGAAGAATAAAGGAATGAACAAATATTATATCTACTCTATATGTTACATCTCTTAAGAATTCAATTTGATATTAGTACTGAATCTGTCTCATATTGAATTCCCTTAATTTTTTTTGGGCTAAATTGAATTGAATCACATTTGAAAAATATAGAAGTTAATGTCAACTTTAAAGAATCAGAAATTCATTTATTTTCTGTTGGTTTCATTAGTTATTGTTTCCCATTTGACTTCCGCATAGGCATGATTCTCCTATGAGGAAGTGGCATACAGGTTTTCTGTATGGACTCCTCCAGGTGTAAACTTTCTGTCTCCTGAGGGTCACAACTGGCTGGTCCACATCACTGGTGGTTTTAGAACTGGCATATGTGAAATGAAAATCAATGTAGCCGTGGCTAATTATTTCATTCATTTCCCTTGTCTTTATCTCCAGTTTCATGTCATGCAGCTGTTGCAATCAATTTCTCCCCATGTTTGTATTTGAATGTGTTAGCTAACATCGGTCGATAGAATCTTCTTGCATTAGACTTCATTTCAGCCTGTTTGATGTCAGGTGGAGACCCAAAACATGCTTTTCTGCAGTGAACTGTATGGAATTAATCACTAATACTATGGACATAGAGCTTTAACTTTGGTAACATGGCACCTGTAGGAACTATCACATTGTCTATAGCTATATTAAACGTGTTTACAGGATTTGATCAATTGAAATGCTGAATACAAAAAAAACTCAGCAGTTATTTAGGATTATACAGAAATATATGGCAGAGAATTTGAATTGAAAAGTGATTTGGAAACAGGAGCTTTGTTTTCATAACAGTTTGTCAGATTACCTCTTCATTAATACTTCATTTGTATTGCATTTGTAAAGAGAATTGACGTACATAGAGGAGAAGATTGTACAATCTCCCCTCTCTGTTGTTTGTCCTCCTTTCAGCTCACTCCCTGCAGACTGGCATTTACCTTGGCCAAGGCTCTGGTCTGCCAACCAACTCAGAGGGAGCTGGCAGGAAATGTGAACACACTCTGGGGTCCCATTGACAAGTCTCTTAGGTTGGGCATGATACAGAGGGAGCGAGAGGCTCTTGACCCTGATGATTTGACTGTCTCACATCTGGATTCAGAACCCACTTCCAAGCAACGGCTTCTTTTTCTTGGCACTGTTCCACATGATGACATCATCAGAGGGTGACAGACAAGGTCTTCATAGACAGATGGCCGTTAGATCTGATAATGAGTATCCGCAGTTTCCAGCCCAGACAAATGCCTGCTACCTTCGTGGGCAATGATCATTATCAGTCAAGGACATTTTATTCGACAGCAGCGGAGTCCGTCATTAAAAAGCCCAGACACTCCCAATCACGGTTCTTTATGATGCAGTTGAGATGCTTTTGCCCTCAGGTGGTCCTATCAAAAGGCATGTGTGGTTTCGTTGGCGTAATACCTCTCCACCCGCCTGGTGACATGCCGTTATGCTCCTGCCGCCGTAGATGTTTCAAGAGCAAATCAATTCACACTAATACTCAGAAGAAAGTTTGTAACCTCCCATGAATCAATTTTTCATTCAGGTAATTGCGAGGTCAGGCCAGGACCATGACGGAATTGCCTCCAGAATTCTTTTTTTTACACCAATATAATAGCGGCCCTAGAGTCATACCAGTTCAGTGATTACAAAGCTTGAAACTAACCTTTCTTACTCTGATTCTCAAGTTTAATTTGAGTTTTCGAAGCGCTACAGTTTTGAGCGACTGGCTATTGTCTGCAGCTGAAGCCTCATTTTGGGACAGCACAGGAACTCTACCTCAGTCCTCGCAAACAGACTCCGTCCCTTGTGCAAAAAGTGCAAAAGAACATTCAAATTATTCTTCAGAAGAAATAATCCTAATGACTTCTTTTCTTTTACAAGTAATTAAATATTCAAATCCAGGCACCAGCCCTTTATGCTCTGGCACCGCTTCTTATTTCACCGGCGGTCCGCTGCTTCACAGTCTTCTGCTGTTCTTAAGACGAGAGCCAAAGTAAATTGTTTTGTGCCCTGCATTTATGAGATATGCACTTAGGAAAATGGGCACAGACTCTGTATTATGACATGGAGGGAATATGTTCAATTGAAGAAATGATTGAATATTAACCTGGTTACAATTAGGTCTAATTGCTCCCAGAAATGGTGCCTATATGGGAACTTGCTGAATGGAAACTAAATAAGTTGTCTATTTGTAAATTAATTTGGAAAAAGTGTGACATAAGAAGAATAACAATACATGGGAAGTTGCTGTTTTTCCCAATTAGCCACAGGGAAAATCCTTGATCAAGAAATATTAAGACATTTTCTCTAAGAATAACCCGGCAACTTGCTGAACGTGTGAATTAGCGGCATTAATTCAGATGTCTTTGTACTATCAAGCAGAGTAACATAAAGATGCAAAAGCTGAGCAAAGCTACCCTTAAAGAAAAAAATCATGCAAAGGTGTACTTGCGAAAGAGAGCAGAAGATCTATAGCAATTTGATCCTACTCCTGGAAACCTGTGATTGACAGAATACACAATTGAATTAGAAATCAGAAGTCCTCTTCATATTAGACATAATTTGTTCATATCACATCTCCCGTAGACATCAAACAGCCCAGTTTCTGACTCTTGTAGTGTTCGTAACAGGTTTATTTTCTCATGAAAAAAAACAACTGCTGATGCAGTGAAGGAATCTAATCATATCTGCACTGACACATTAGTATATAAATTAATGGTTTTATGTTATCATAACACACTTATTCAAACTGACTGACTCACTCCAAGTTATCATCTCAGCTTTCATTCTGGAAATAATCACGTTGATATCCAGTTTACAGCAAACAGACAGTGCTTTCAAAGCCTTTCTCTACAAAACAGCTATACAAGCTCCCTGAACTGCATTAGTTTTAATTAGATCTCCCCATGTGAAACAGATATCACTATAAATGTTTTTTCATCACTATCGGATATCTTATTGATTTCATTAGGCTCATTTACTTCATTGACTTTGTTTGCTCAATTGTGGGAATTGCTTTTAATTCCTGTTTATCTTAAGCTGGGTGTCGGTAACACCTCTTGAAGGCTGTGTAATGAACCCGGCCCACGAGATGCGCAGTGTGACGAGGACGGGGCAAAGCGGCGGGTCAGTTTTTAATCATCTGTAGGTTTCCCTGTACGCCGCGCAGAAAGAAGCTCGGAGCAGCATCCTCCTTCTCCACTCCACTAGGCTCAATCACTACTACGAGCGAGGACGGGGACCTGGCAGCGCGGCGGCAGCTGAGACCGAAAGAGAAGAGCTAGGGAACTCGCAGGAAGTGGAGGAAGCAGCAGTCGCAGGAGTGCAGGATAGATGATTAATACTCCACGGGAACAATCAGGCACTCGTATACGCACCAGACCATCTTTCTTTGGCAGCAATTTAGCCCCATTATCCACATCTCTCGGCAGCCTTTGAGGCACCTATTTGCCAGATATATAAAGAGGGAGCCTGACAGAAAAATGATGGAGGAAGCAGAAAGCACAAAAGGGCTGGTTAGAACACTGGAGAGAGAGAGAGAGAGAAAGAGAGAGAGAGATGTTGAGTAAAGAAGAAGGATGTATTGATTGTTTTTGCTGTGGTATAATTGCAATTAAAGGTTGCAAACAGCCCAGTGGATCAGTTTCACTGCTGTTGCCCTGCGGGATGTATGGCAGCACAGATGCATCCTCACACTTTCCCTGGCCGATGGGGGAGAATGACTAAAACCCCAGGGACTGCGTGTAGAATACAGCGGCGTGCTGTGCAACTTCCAGACTCTCACGTATAATCCTGTTTTGTTTTCTTTATCAAATATCACCCCGTTACGAGCAGATGAAAGGAGGGAGTATCAGAGTTAAATATAGCTGCAGTAATTGCTGTTGTTTCAGATGTAGAGCAACTGAATGTCAGGGCATCGCCTTTCCATAAACCACGCTCATTTAGATAGCAGGAAAAAAGTATGCGGCTACCACATGCAGAAGAAAAAGTGGTGACGACTTTGCCTCTGCAAATCTACTTTGGTCTGCATCTTTGGTGTGCAAGCTTCCCAATACAAATCAAAAGGCAGTGAAAACCAATTAGACAGTGCATTCGAGGCTTACCTCTGATGGTCTTCTAATGCTAACCAAGCCATGTTTCTGCTTCGATGAACCAGAAGCTAGCATTTTGTGGTTAAAACAAATAGCCTAAATCACCTTCTTTCCCAGCTACTTATGAGGCCTTTGTGATTCGTAAAATAAAAAATTATCTTGATTTAAGTCGAGAAGCTCTTAAAAACTCACTACATGCTCCATCAGTGGCAAGAAACATCAGCTAAACATATTAACAATTAGCCAGTGAGTATTAGGGAGCAGTTAACAACCAAAGGACCATCCCAAAGGAATAAATGGAAGGAAAACAAGAGCAACAAAGAGAGCGAGTACTGAACATGTAGCAATAAAACACTCATTTAGTACAGAGACACTACCCTTATATCATGATTGATGTGACTCAGGAGAATTTTTGTTATTTGTTCAGCGTATGAACTTTTTTGTGTACTGTATTTTTCTCACAAGTTTCTCACAAGGTATGGCAAGATGTCAAACAGTGGTCTACTTATGTAATTGTCTTGAGTGCCTCTGAAAATGGGTATAACTGTGTTTCACGCTTCATGTCCCGGATTTCATGATTTAATTTGACGGTAGCAACTTTTGAAGTATTAAAAATCTAAATCAGACTAATATGTATGAGCGCAAAAGGTTAAAATCATTCACCTCTACCCTGGCAACTGCTATTCAAGTGACGCCACAGTGACATGTTCAAAATTTACCCCGAGATAACACTCCATGGCTTTCTATCACAGACTCAATCTGTGCATCCCATTACATTTTCTCATTCTTTTTTTTTTCGAAACTTCAATTTCCTGACCGCATGTGAGACATCTTTATGGGAACCTAATCGACTGTTCATTAATGAGAGGAAACTGTATCAAGAACAAACATCTTTAATTAACACATCCCCAGCACTCCCCGTCTTTGATCTCACTATTTGATTCATGCTAATGCAAGCTGGGTATGCAAGAAGTTCGGAGAGGAAGGAGACGTTCTATGAGAAAGTAATGAAACTGTGGCGTTCCTCGTGTGGAAGCAGCCGTGCGGCATTAGGACCTTTTGCCTTTTTGTCAAGGGCCAGCTCAATTACCAGTCAGCACAGCTATCTCTTTAATAGCCTGATAAGGCAATAATCCAAAATCCATACAGTTTTAATGACTTTCTGTCTAATTAAGAACTGTTTTACAAAAGATGGACACATCCAAAGCATTCCTATTGTGCAGAAACCTATTGTTGGAAATATCAGCATGACCAGTTAAGAACCACTAAGAAGCTTTTAAAAAGTAGAATTATATTTACTCTTCGTATAGTCAGCAAAAATCTGCTTTTTTTTTTTTTTTCATATGTTTTACTTCTCAATGTCAGAGAGGTCAGAACAAACCGGAGCAGAGAAATCTTTATCAAGTAAGTTCTCATATTGGATTTGTATCTCCTCAGCTGGGAATGCAGATCTTCACTTTGTCCTCTAATGTGTTGTTTACTTTATTTGTTTTTTTTTATTCTTTATTTGTTTTCATCAGCAAGATGTGACACAGGACTTGAACTGATATTCAGTATTTATAAGATGGTGTAAGTGTGAAAGGAAAAATACAACTTCCATAAGTCCACTCCGGATGTGACCAGTAGAAAAATAATGAGTTTGTTGGTCTTTAGTCCCCTCTAGTGTTGGGCTGCAACACTGTCCTGTTTGTCACTGCAGCCTCATATTCCCTGAGTCTGGTGTAAATTCTTGAATTTGGACAGATTGACTTTTGCCAGAACATTGCAACATTCAGAGAAAAACTGTGATCACATGTGTATGCACTGTACACAGAAATCGGTTTGCAAATTGCCGAGAGGTCATGATTCATGTTTTGTGACAACAAATGTGATGATTTACACAGCAACGGCATTCCAGTAGCTACATTAATGACAAAAATGTATGATTTTCCGCAAACAGTTGCCTAAAAGAGAAATCTGATACAATGGCAGCCTAAATAAATATATGAGTGTGTTTCTGTAATGACTCATGCCTCCCGGTGATAACATTTTCAACGAGACATGCTTAATTCACCTGGTCGAGGAAAGAGTTTCTGTTCTACCTGACCGTGATAATATTGTGTGGGACAAAGCGCAGGTGCATACCTGGCTTCTGTCAGGGGAGGAGGAACAGCCACACTTTTCCACATCGGTTCAAGGTCGGTGTGGGGCTTTAAAAACGGAGAGCTGCGCTGGTTCTTTGCAGTTCCTACGCAGCGCAAACATGCTCAGGTTTCTGTTGTTGACAAGTCTCGCGTGCTTGGGTAAGAAAACTGTGTGCAGAATTCTGATCTTCTTGTTTTGTGCTCTCGCTGTATACTCTTGCTACCAGCGTCAAGTTTGTGTTCTGCCTTGTCGTAGGCAGGAAATAAAGTTACATGTGAGGATTTTTGGGGGGATTTATGTTAAATTCAACTCACTATTTATTCCTTTATTTATTAATTCTTGTTTCTTATAAACAGCTCTGGCTGAGCCTCAGCCCAGGTACCTGAAGGACAGCGTTGAAAGGGTTGTTGGAGGCGAGGTGGCCTCACCAAACTCCTGGCCATGGCAGGTAATGTTCTGCGAATGCCTCCATTTATGTCTGAATGCAAATACTTTCTCGGATATATTGTTGATTGTTTATTTATTTGGATCCCCATTAGCTGTCAGTAATTTGACAGCTACTCTTCCTGGGGTCCTTTTAAAATGATATAGATACACAAAATATGTATATTAAAATATATGGATATATTACACAGGGGACAATATTTCAACACATTGTTTTCAGTATACTGTTTAGATTATACTGTTTACATGGCTGCAGAGAGAATAAAAACATACATTTCTCCAAGTCATCTCAAGTTTGTTGCCTCCTTTTAGATCTCTCTCCAGTACCAGTCTGGTAGCAGATTCTACCACACGTGTGGAGGCAGCCTCATTCGCCCAGGCTGGGTCATGACTGCCGCACACTGTGTGGACAGGTAACACAATGTTTAACTACGGCACGACATTCTTCAGTTGTGCAAGTATTATGTGAGCAAATTATTTTGATTACCTTGACTCAGATATCTCCAGCCAACTCCTATCGCAGCAGTGGTGTATGATTTATTTCTGTAGCTTTAAATGTCACCAGCTTGAAAACACTTCTCAGGATTTAATTGAAACACTCACATTTTGGGGAGAGAAGGTTCACTTAAATAGAAGAGCCAAAACTAATCCAAATAAATGAGTCAGAATTCTACTCAATTTTAATAATGGTCCATACTGTCTGCATTAGACATAGATGATTATGACTTGCAAATGTATTTTGCTTTTGATTTCTCTCACATATTGCATCTCTTTTTGATTCACACTTAAATAATGCAGCAACAGGACGTGGCGTGTTGTTCTTGGTGAACATGACCTCAACAGCGACAGTGGCAGAGAGCAGGTCATTGGTGTCAGCCGTGTTTATATCCACCCCAAGTGGGATTCTTACAGAGTCTCTAACGGGTAAAAATTAAGTTTTTATTGTACTCTTTTGTTTATTTTTGCTTTATGCCACGGTGCCGATGGCCAAAAGTCTGGTCTTTAGTCTAACATCTTACAATAGCTCCTCTCTTTCTCCCTCTCTTAGCTACGACATTGCTCTGCTGCAACTGTCCACTGACGCTAAACTGAACACCTACGTCCAGCTGGCCTCTCTGCCTCCCTCTGGACAGATTCTGCCCCACAACAACCTCTGCTACATTACTGGATGGGGCCGTACCTCCAGTAAGTGGACTTCTGACTTTCCGAGGTCCAAGTACTGCTGACTTTTTTTCTTTAAAGCTGAATATATCCCCTCATTTCACCGTGACTAGCCGGTGGTAGCCTGTCTGCCCAGCTGAAGGAGGCCTACCTTCCCTTGGTGGGCCATGACACCTGCTCCAGCGGTGACTGGTGGGGCAGCACTGTGAAGACCACCATGGTGTGTGGTGGTGGTGGTGCTGAGGCTGGATGCAATGTGAGTCCGGTCATTCATAAAAGAAAAAGTATTTTCTTCTACAGAAATATGGCTTTATTGTATTTTAGATGACCTATGCTACTGGAACAATGATCAACTGGAAGTTAAACTGTCTAGAAATACAAAAGAAGATGAATATAATGCTATAAACGGATCCTAATTCTGCTTCTTTCAGGGTGACTCTGGTGGCCCTCTGAACTGCCAGGTCAGTGGTAAATACTACGTGCATGGTATTGCCAGCTTTGTGTCTGGATATGGATGCAACTATCCCAAGAAACCCACCGTCTTCACCCGTGTGTCTGCCTACATCGACTGGATGAACTCGGTTAGTATGAACGAAAATGTGACAGAAAAACAAATACGTTCCCCCTCATCAACATGAATGATTCTTTGGATTGTGTTTTTTTATTCTTCCAGATCCTGTAAAGATTGGAATAGTCGCCTGCGTTTCATCACACGAAGTCAATGGCCACACTGGACCATTTTCGCATGTCTGCTGATTTCATTTGACAAAATAAACTTGATTACACCTGATCTGATGACTCATGATATCTTCAGAAAGCTTTAACAGCAGCATTTATTTACATGAATGCAGTTGGTGAAAGTTATTCCTGTTACATTTTCATGTTTTTTTTTGTATTTCTTCCCATCCTGCAACAAAACACAATATGCAACATAAAACCACCTACGTTTTAAAAATCCAAAGGACACCTTTTTCTTTTGTCTTTTGTCTGCTATTTAATCATGATCAATTTGTATTTGTAGAAAAACATACGTGCACAGAGACAATTAGAAATAGTTCAAAGAGTTTAATGTAAAGTGATGGTTCTCGGCATCAAATAATATGCCTCTTGTTGGCTTCAGAGAGCCAGTTTCTCCCTGGAAGAGAAGGAGAAAGTTGAAGGCAGATTATTCGGGGGCTCTCTGTTCAGAATGATTGCCCCCATGACGCACTGAAAAAATGAATGGATGCATACATTTTGAAAATGTATATATAAATATGGGTAACCTATTTTAACATCCCACAGGATTAAAGTTTTTAGAGTTGGTCTTCAACAGTCTTATATGTGTTATGCTGTTACTCCATGGAAATGATTGGTATTCATTTTAAGCACACCAGTGGCTCTATTCCTTCATGTTTAACTCATCCTGGCATGTCTCAGATAGAAAAAAACGTATTTTTGGTCCTTTTATGATTATTTAGAACATGGACTTGAAAAAACAAAGGCACAGAATTTAAAAAGAGATATATTTCTGTTTGGAAATCATTGTGCAGTCGAATCTATTTATGTTCTCATGTCACGGATATATCCTTGGCCTTCCCTGCTGAGTTTATAAGAGATAATATGAGGATAGCATAACCAGTTTTATATCTACTAGGGGATGCATTACTAAACCTCTGAATTTTATTGTTTTCATTCACATTTTTTTATTGTAGCATGGGTAAACTGGGTCAGCAATGACATTATTATGAAAGGAATAAATATACATAACGTTCACTGTCCTCTTTAAAAAAAATAACAACTGTGTTGTTTTTTCACAGTTTGGAAGTTGTTTTCTGGTCAAATGGTAATGGTCAGATTTTTTTTACAAATAATCTTAGACAGCCAGTTTTTTCTTTTTCAATTAACCAAGTAATCTATTCAATTTATGAATTGGAATAGATGTGAGAAATCATTTGTAGTGATGTGAACAGAAGTAAAAAAGAGCATCAAGATGAATAACGCTGGTCCAAATTTCCTGTCTCATCCAAAAATGAAAGAAATGGACCCTTTCCCAGCCAAAGCAGCATGTGAGCATAGTCAGCATTCAGCTAATTCTGCTGTGACAGGAATAGGGGAATTATGCAGAAAACAAGACAGGACACAAAGAATACACATTTGTTTTTAAATAATTCATATCTAATTTGATTTTCCTTTATATCATATTAAATTTGGCTCTCCCTTTACTGTATGTTTGATATTCAATGAAGGAGCAGCCCTTTACCATCTTAAATGGAAAAACGCGGCATTAAGCACTCTGGCACTGATAGAGGACTCAGTAAACATTATAACAAGCGTGTACTAATATAGTGGGAATGGCACACATGCTGCAGCTCAGGTAAGGTGAGATTAGAATTTACAGTCAGACTGGAAAATTTCCTGGAGTGTTTGCTTGTCTTTGCATGTTCTCACTTAGACTCAATTCAGTTTAAGGCCATCTTGTCATAATTTGTTACACTTTTTGTATAATATCTATCAAATGCAAGCAAATATTACAAGCTTTTATTCATTTTCTAACTTGAGCTTAAAACCCGAGAGAATATTTGATAAACAAATGTCAAGCAAAGCCAGTGGGAAGGCTATATTAATCATAGTGCATGTGGAAGCTTGGGTGTGAGCTACATACTGCTGGCTATAATTATTCAAGAAATTGCTGTAGTGGATATTTGTTTCAAGTTTCTTTAAATAAAGGCCGTGCTCTGCATACTAAATGTGTTCTGTTTTATTTACATTTGGAATCTAAAAAAACACTTGAAGAAACAAATTGCTTTGGTACAAACAATAAGCCGTTTAAATATTCCTGGTCAGCCTGAATTGGACTTTTTGAAGTCACAATGTGTTTGTTTTGTGTGGAACTTACTGTATCGGTTGATATGACAGCACAGATATATAGTGAACTTGATTGTGTGAAATCGGCCTTCAGATTATATTTTAGTGATGGCTTTTATTGGCATAATCTGTAATGTATGATGGTTTAGCTGGAAATGGAAAACAGCAGACCATAAATTTGTATTTAATTCAAAGAAAGGTTCAAACTTGATGGTACAGCCGCGCTCTAAAAGCAAAAACTGCTGTATATAATTTTTCTTTGGCTTTGAAATACATTTCCGCTATTCAGAGAATTACAATGGATAAATTAAAATAAATGAATGTATCTATATCAAAATCACAAAAATCAAGACATCCCTTATCCTGCCTTATGCTGGAACATTTTTGTCCAACATAAACATGAATCTGAAGTCTTGTGATTCAGCAATCTTCAATGCAGAGTCCCACTGCACATACACACACAGAGAGTATCAGCTCTGCAGGGCCTCATGAATATTCATCAAAGGCTTGAAGTAGAATGTCCTCTGGGTTGTTACTGAAAGTTTCTAACAGTGATCTTAATTTGTAATAATCAACAACCTGGAACCTGAAACATGAAAGGAAAGATTCACACATTAAAATGTCATTATAGGTCCTTTCACCTTCACGTTCATCTCTAAATCTGACAGGTGTGTGATTAACAATGCAGACCTACAATATTTTGCTGTTGAAAACTTTTACCGGGTGTTAAGCAATATATATTCATTCCAGATATTTAAAACTATTTGAAACTGCTTAAACCATCATTTATACTTGGTGTTGCACACAACGCTTTGCAAAAATCATGTTTAATTTGTTTCATGTTGTAGAAAATAAGAATCACAGAGATGTGCAACAAAACAATATTTTTAAAAAATCTAACCACCGGATAATAAGAAACCATAAAAAAAGAAAGAAATATAATTGTTGTAATCAGTCACAACTGTGTGTTTAGATCAAGAAGAGGAAAAAACTATACAATCACTGAATTATGAGAAAAAACACTACATTTATTAGATTGTTGGCCTATCTCTGACTTTTGAAACAGTTTTAACTCTCCCAGTCGTGGACTAAAAAATGACAAACAATAATTCTTAAAAACCCATCTCCAACTCTTTGATTGCTGCTGCCATGTCAGCTTTGCCGGTTGGAGCTTTGTAGTTGACCATTTTCTTCAATTTGCACCAGAGATTTTTACTTGGATTGAGATCTGGATTATTTGAAGGCCTGGTAATTGACAATACATTGACATTGTTGAAGGACTGCTTTCACGCCCCTTGCATCTTGAAAAATGAAGTCATCGTCATCAAACTTCCTTTCAGCTGAAAAAATAGAAAAGTGTCCCAAATTTTAATGTAGGCTTTGGAATTTCTGTCATCTCCCCTGTGCCCTTACCTGGTCTGTAGCCCTCAAGGTTTCTCTTTTCAAATCAGTTGGGCTAATAATTACAGAGGAGAAACATGTAAAGTCATGAAGAAACAATGTGTGCTTCCCGATAAAGGAATGCTTGGTAAACAGGTACTTACTATTTGAAACAGACGTAGAGATGATTAAATAATGAAGGAAATAATTCATGAATCTGTAAATCAGTAGAGCCCACAACCTCCCTCATGGATCCTGATTAATTCAACCTGTTGGTGGGCAGCAGGCAACTAATGATAAAGTCTCCAAAACCGACTGCATTACCTTGTTTTGCATTCAGCCAGCTGTGGTATATCACATCACTCCCTCATTAGCTCACCTTTCACTCAGTTTTTCTTCACCTCATCATAACAAAAACAGGCCTAAAAAAAGAGGAGATTCGCAAACCAAAGAACAAGTTCTCATGAGTGACTTAAATCCTTGGTTACCCATTGTGATGCACAAGTTTCTTGTATAGTTTCTTCTTCAGTGAATGACCAATCCTGAGCTGGTAAATGGGAATAAAGCTTTGGTTCATTTCTAAAAGAAACTGCTCTTTTCAAATAGTGTTTAATGTAATCAGGTTTTTTTACTATAATTTACTTATTACATTTTTCTATCTGATCAGTTAATGTAATTCTTGGGATTGTCTTGCTTCATAAGAACTACTAGCAGTCATTTGCTCCTAATGATTCGCGGTGGGTCAGACCGATGCATCCTTTACTCTAAAATGTAACCATGATTCCACATCAATAGGATGCTTATCAATTTATCTTTAGCATTTGCATTCCAACAGCATTGAAGACAATGACATTTAAAGGGTTCTCACTCACTGATAATAGCTGAATCTTTTAGCCGGTGGTGCTGTTGCACCTATTTATCATAATAACGTCTTCAAGTCCTCTGGAAGCTTTTTTTTATTTCTGGCCACTCAAGAGATTCAACAGCTTTTGTACATTTCTCAATTGTGGGGTGATTCCACAACACTTGCAATGGGCTGTACATTAAGCAGCCTGAATAATTCCACAGTTTTTATAACTGGGTCCATCAGATCATCAATGAAAGCTGACACTGCTCTGCTGACACTCAATCATTTGAAAATATGCCTATTTTTCATGAGGATTCTCATAAAAACACATATTAGGCCTCATTCTTGTCACACACTCCTGCTTTGTTCCTGTTCATCAACTGTTGTGTGGCAACCAGACCAGAGCTGAACATTAAGCAGACTGATCCAGAAAGCATCCAGTGTGTAGCATCCTGTAACTGTTTAGCATTAAAAAGCCTGGAGTAACTGTAATTGTATCTATCTGTATCCTACAATAACCCGGCAATCCTATTTCAGCACATACAAAGGTGGATGTACTTGCATCAAGTAATGTCACGGTGCAATGTTCCATAAAGAGTTGACAGCACAGGTAGTCAGGACGACTGGCTTTTGTGCAGGTATGACTGGAGGGGAAATAGAAAACGAATCATGTATAGAATCATAGACAAAAAAGTAAGAACAGACCGACGTAGACAAGATATAAGGGGCTACACCTCAAGAGATTAAAGTGAAAAGGGTAAAGGCAAGGCTAATATTGTAATGTATACCACACAGATTCCGCAATATCAAGCTAAGTATTCAACGTTTACCCTGAAGCTCTGTTGATTTAAGCTGCTGAGAACTCTATTCATACGACACCCAAAGAGGAAAAGGGCCAGGACTTGAGTGAAAGAGAGTGGGGTGAGTTCTGGTGAGCCACAACCATTTTCTTGGCAGCTGTCAGGTCAGTGTAAAGCGTTGAGAGGCCGTTTAAAATCAGCCATCAGTGAACAAAGAGGACAAAGAGAGTCAATGATGGTGCTGATGGGCTGGATTGCATGATGCTTGCAAGATGTTTTTTTTTTTTTTTTTCGTTCTTTCTATGTGTAGTGTTCATATAATTCACATTAGGTATATACAGGAGGGAGAGGTTAGGAGACTAGTACAACTCCTATATTGAAACTCAGCATACCTCTGCATTATGGAACAGTTCTTGAACTGTTCCTTAATGGTATGCACCTCAACTGTTTGTTGTTTCGATCTATGTTTCTGCAGGGAGAAGAAACACAAGTGTTCTACGGTTCGTGTACTCAAGGTTGCAATCCTGCTGTGTTCTGTTACAGTCCAAGAATGATAATTAGGGTTTGACAACCAGTATGAGGGTGTGTGTGATATTATGTTTGAATTATAGCTCAAAGGGCCTTTCATTTATATTATTGACTTCTGTGTTATTTGGGTAAATGAAAAATCCAACAACTTTCAAGTATAACATCTTTGTGCATAGAAAAAGAAAATTGTAATTGTTTTAATCTTCCCCTGTATGAATTAAAAATGTTCTGCAAGAGAGTAGTTTTATGAATATAAGTGAAAACCAACTGTTCAGTCAAAGCAGAAGGGGGAAAAAAAGGGATGTCGTCACCAATTCGTGGAATTGTTCCCATCGGTCACCTCAGCAGTGATAACTGTGAGATACACACAGGTGGACATGTGTTGGAGTTGGACAAGCTGCTGGCACACACGTTAGCACACTTCCTATCAGCAGAAGTGGTCCTGAGAATATAAAAACAGTGGTGGACATTTGTGTCCTAAGCAGAACATTTCAGGAGACTGTGACCATGCTCAGGTTTCTTGTGCTCACCTCTCTTGCAGCCCTGGGTGAGAACAGCCTCATACTCTGACTTTTTTTCCATACACACTCCTCATTGGTTTTCAGTACATGTTATCTGTCGGGTTTGCTTTGTGTTTCTCTTCCATTTCTTAGTGCTGGCTGAGCTGGAGCCCCAGCCCAGGTTTCTGGAGGATGACCAAACCCAGGAAAGGGTTGTGGGAGGCGAAGTGGCCAAGCCCAACTCTTGGCCATGGCAGGTAAAACATCAGAATTTACAATTGATTTACCAGTCCACAGTAAGCAGTAAGTGATATTTATTCAGTGAAAGGTTATTACTTTTAAGAAGAAATATGAAATCCTGTATTTTGAATTAATATACAAAATACTTCTTATGTAGGGAGGAATTAATTAAGTCACTAACAAATCTCAATTGTGCATAAACAGAGATTTTCACTTCAGTACATATTTTTTTATGTCATAACATTCATTGAATGGTATGACAGTTAAAGAAATCTATAAATACTTCTTCTTTTAAGATGTATTATGTAGCTTGGCTCAAAACCTTGACATATACCTTGTACAGATACATATCCAACCTGGATAGGAGACATTTTTACACCCTTGGATATCTTTCTGTTGTGCTGCCATTACATATCTGATCAAAATGGGAATGGTTTGATGTTGTCTGTTTCTGAATCTATCCGTTGTTGTTTTATTAGATCTCTCTTCAGTACAAATCTGGTTCCAGCTTTTACCACACCTGTGGAGGAACCTTGATCAGGAGTGGATGGGTCATGACTGCAGCTCACTGTGTCGACAGGTGAGCTTCACACAGCACAGAAATAGCCAGAGCGCCCCAAAAGTCAGAAAAAACAGATAAAAGACCTGAGTCGGAGGAAAATTGTGTTTGATGTTACACTCAATTAAATTTCTAATACATCTAAGGTTTCCACTTGGCCCATTGTGTATGAGATGGCTGTTTTAATTAACCTCTGATTAAATTGCTTGTCATATGAAACATTTATTTATCAGATTTTCCCTTTATTAACTGTCAGAGCGTGATAATTAAATGTTTTGTTGTCTGAATGGCCGTAGTTCCAGGACTTGGCGTGTCGTTGTTGGAGATCACAACATCAACAGCCACGAGGGAAAAGAGCAGTACCTCAGCGTGAGCCGTGTCCACATTCACCCTAACTGGAACCCCAGCAGCGTCGCTGGAGGGTTAGTTGTTCCGACCTGCCTTCAGGGCAGATTATGAAAATATGTGTTTTTAAATGTTTGGCAAATGAATAGGTACATGAATATATTTTGTACATAATACATTTGATATTTTAATACCATTATTTCCGTGGTATGATTTCTGGTACCCTCCAGACATTTTTTTGTTTAGTTTTTGTTAAAGAATACAACTAAAATTTCAAAGATTGATAAACTGAATAGTCAACAGTTTCACCTATTAAAAAAATTTAAACATTTTATTTGCGTAACTCTTATCTAAAACTAATTATGTCTCACACTTGAAGATACAACGCTTGTATGATAAAAATGAAAAAGAATTCTTCACCCTAATGATCTGATCCTCAGATGGGACATCGCTCTCCTCCGTTTGTCCACCAATGCCGTTCTTAACAACAACGTCCAGCTCGGTGCTCTGCCTCCCTCTGGTCAGGTTCTGCCCCACAACAATCCCTGCTACATCAGCGGATGGGGCCGCACCCAAAGTGAGTCTGAAACCGACACAATTCCTTTGAGACTTTTTGTTTCTTTTTTCATACACGACACACAGGCTTTGTTTCCTTCTGCTGTCCTCAGCTGGTGGTCAGCTTTCTGCTCAGCTGAAGCAGGCCTACCTGCCTGTCGTTGACCACGCGACCTGCTCCAGCTACGGATGGTGGGGCAGCACCGTGAAGCAGTCCATGGTCTGTGCAGGTGGCGGCAGCGAATCTGGATGTCAGGTAAGGCAACAGAATGGTTTCTCTCTTTTTTTGTTTTTGAATAAAGGGTGGTATAAATGCTAGAATAGTATAGGAAGTAAAGGATAGTACATACAGGATACTTTACATATGATTTCTGCTCAAAACCATCATATGGATATCATCCAACTGAAGATAAAGACTGAGAAAACCTTATCAGAATCCAGTTTGACTGCGATATGATAAAATAAAGTGGGATGTCTCCCAGAGAACTGCAGGCCGAAACATTTTGTCAAGCAAGATATTTTCAGGACGTATACAGGTTTTCTTGCAGCATCAGCATGAGCACGAGTCAGATTCAATGATTCAAGCTTTGGCTTAAGTGTTAACGTCTTGCAAGTACTTACTCTGCACAAAGTTGGAGTTTGACTCAGATAAAAAACGGGATGTGAGAAATGGTTTAGAATTGAAAAATAAGCTCCAAAGGAATGTTTGTGCATCTGTGCTTTTTTTGCTTTATTTTAACATGTCTTCTCTCTGCCTTTCGTCGTGCAGGGTGACTCAGGTGGCCCCCTGAACTGCAGTGTCAACGGTAGATGGGTTGTCCATGGAGTGACCAGCTTTGTGTCCTCTTCTGGCTGCAACGCCTACAGAAGGCCCACCGTCTTCACCCGCGTCTCCGCTTACATCAGCTGGATGAACAGCGTCAGTATTTGAAAATAACACACGAATCATACAGTTTTAAAGGGTTACTCACAGGTTAAAAATCGCGTTAAAATCATTGCTTTTCTTTTCTTCAGCATGACTTTACTTAATTAATGCAATACATTTTTTCAACAACTTTTTTCTAAAAATCTGTTAAAGATCATTACTTAATGAGCCATTGGTCTTCGCTTTTTCAGATCATGGGTTGAGAAGAAACGCTGTGTCCATGGAAACGAGAGGACACTGTGGATTCATGTTTAACATCAGAATAAACTGTCCTTTGATATTTACTTATCTTATTTCTTTATTTTGTATTAAGCAACATTATGGAAGGTATACAATACCCCTTTCTCATGAAAAATTTATAGGAAAATCTTAAGCTTTTGAGTATTCAGAAAAATTATTTTTTTGAATAGTGAAACTCTGGTGCAAGGACATTATACTTTTTGTAGAAACACATAAAATATGTCTTTGGAAGGGACTCAAATATGGTCAAGTTTTCTTCTTTGTATAGTATAGACAAAACCAATCTATTGAATATTTCCAAAGCATAATAAGACCATTGCAAGAGATAGGGAAAGCTCCAAACAGTCATATTTTTATAACAATCTAGTATACAGCATATAAAATGCTTAAAATGAAAATGAGTGAGGCCTTCTCTAAGGACATATGGTTAAAAAATGTTCATATAACCAGAGAAACATCCCCTCTGGATTTATCTAACAAACGTTTTATCATTCTTTTTTCATCTTTTTCGCTTGTCTTTCCTATTCGGACACACTGAAGGCTGAAGGTCCTTCCTGTCGTTTCCTTTAGAGGACATCAAAACCACTGTAAGATTATATGGAAATGGTTGGGATGAAGCAAATAGAGAAGACTGCTATGATACTGTCAGAAGAAAAAAACACAATCAAAAACATTCACAGCCTCATGATTTGATTTGGCAGTGGTACACGGGCATGAGGAGAAAACAGCCAATTACCACTGGGCATGTATCATTTGATGCAGCGTGAGTTAAGTACTTTAATGGTATAAAGCATCTATTCACTGCCTGTGTGATCAGCCAGCCTTGAGATGCTTCGCACCAACCCACAGTGAAGGAATGCTGCTACCCCTGACAACTCTCAGCCATGAACAAGTTTAATTAGTGTCATTCATCTAGAGTTTACTCACAGATTTTGATTACCAGGGTCAGGTCGACTTTATAATGTGTTTTACAAAGACCAGACGAAAGGGAAACTTATCTGATGCATCTCTTCACACCTACATGGGCAGCAATTGTACTGTTATAAGATCGCATTTTAGTCTTTACCTTTACACAACATTTGAAATGCAAAAGCAGAGCAGTAAATGTATCCTTTTGAAGACACTGACTGTGTTATGCAGTTTTAACGTTGCCAAAGTAATTCTGTATTGGCAATTTTAGGGTATGGCTTATTTGAAAAACTTTAGTGATCAACTACATTGTGGCAAAAATAAGATGAAGAAGATTACTCAGTAGTATCAAATCTTTAGAACGTATGCTGGGGGAACTATTTTTTGCAGTCTGTACATATATTCTTCAATTTCTGTGGACGTGAGGAATCTTTCATGCATGTGCATTTAGGATTTACATATCTTCTAAGTGTGTCTTTCATCATCCCCACAACAAATTAGTTTTTAATCAGAACAGTTTCAAATATGCATGAAATAGATAAGAATACAAGAACATTCAGCTTATCAAAGCAGGCGGTGGCTCCATATGTTCATGAATCAGTGATGGGACCATATGGTGGTGATAATGGTCCTGCACGCTACTGTAGAAATGTGTTGTCATGAAGTCCTGTTGCAACATGGAAATTAAGACTCACCAGAACAGAAAGTGCAGGTTAAAGGGATATTCCCATGTTAATGTTGACAAACTTGGTAAACAAAAACGTGTCACAAATAGTTTCAAACTAACATCACATGGACAAAAAACTATTTAAAAAACTAACTCACAGGTTGTGCTTTCAGTGAATATAATAAAGTTTATAACTGACGCCCCTCACAAGTATGCAAAAGGTTTTTCGATAAATGTATGTTTTACTTTGCCTACCAACAAACTAAAATGGAGAAACAAATTTCAAGAATATATTTAAATATTCCTCTTTTGAGGTTAAGAGAATCATGGAATGCTTGAATAATAATTACAAATGCATTTAAGTTTCATGGTGACAAGGCCAATGTTCCAAAATATTAATGAACATTATTGAATTATTACATTATTATAATGTAAAATGACATTATAACAAGATTAAAATTGGATGCTTGAATATCTGAGACCAGGTTTCTTCTTTTTCTCAGTTTTACTGTATTATGTAACATTTTCACTGTCCAGAGTGAAATAGAAAGAAGCGAAGAAACAGCTATTTTAAAATGATAAAACATATTTTTTTTGGTCAAAATTTCTACACAGCTGTAGCTGACTGCTTGTTGGAATCTGTCTGCCCACTCAGAGAGTAGTTTTTTTTTGTGGAAAGCACAATCTGTCTGGCGTCTGTTTTAACAAGAATCTGTAAACATGCAATGGTGAACAGCCCAGCTGTCATTGTTTATTGGGGAACTTTAAATCAATAAGAACAAAAATGCAGCACATGTGATGGAGGGAGCTGTCAGAGGACCAGCAGAGGGATTGATATAAATGTCACATGAATACATCTGGATGTTTCCTGTTGCACAGCTGTGAGTGTGTCAGTGATGATGAAACAACACAGCACATCGTCTAAGATCAATAAATTAATTCAGGCTTTTGACATGACTTAGTCGGGCACGAACTTAATGGATTGCAAGCATTTTTTCAAACCTCCCCTCAGCTGGGGACCGAAATTAAAAGGTCAGTGTTTCTGTAATATTTCCTGCTTGACTGGGGAGCAGATCACTTGGAGGACCAAAATAGTGCATTCATTAGTTTCTCTGCTTGATTAATCCATATTTTGTCATACGGTTTCTTCATTTTACTATTTCTCACACTGTTTGTAGTAAGCTATCATGGATAAACTTCCGTCTAATATACTTTATTTATTTTCTGGAGCCATTTCACAGACTTCAATGGTCTGATATGGTAGAAAAGAGAGTACATTTCTGTTTCATTCAGAGGTTTCATCAAGGCAGATACTGAACTCCGTTACTTGAATTGATACACCGTACTCTTTTTGGAACACTGAGACATGCATTAACAATGGCTGCAGTAAAATGGACAGGGGTCAAAATCCATTTCTTAAATCCTTTTTTTGTAGCAATGGATAATATTCTATATTCTATATTGAAGAAGGTCATAAACAATTAAAGAGGCGTCATTCAGAAGGTACTCATTGCAGATAAAATACAGCAAAATTGTTTTGGTTTATCAAATGTTTTTAAGGTAAAACATTTGCATAATCTTCAAACAGAAAACTGATTGGATTAATCAGGGAAGTCTAATTCTCAAAAATCATAATGATTTTGAGAAAGCTATAAACGTCAGCAGATATAAGGTATAAAGAAATTACAGATTTATATCTCACTCATTTCCCTCAGACAACCCGACTTGTTCACAGAGAAGTCAGTCATTTTATATTGTTTGAAATTTATTTTAATTTTTTCTCTTTGGTCACTCATAATGTGAGCCATATATACTAGTGCTACATATGCTCATAGTCCTGTGGCTTCGACATGCAGAGGTCAGATTGGTTAAGTAGACAAAAAGGACTGTGGAAAATGTGTGAAACTCTCCTGTCAGGAGGCATCTTGTCAGCTCAGGAGTCTAGCTCCGTTTGTCTCTGCAATAAAGGAAGGTGGAGGATCTTTTGGGGGAAAAAAGGGTCTTTTCATGTGTCTGCAACCCCTCTGGGTGTTAGGTAAGTCTGACGTAAGCTGCTCAATACCCAGAGGTCTTCTGTTCAGGGCGGTTGGGACTCTTGATTTATTTTGTGGTGGCACAGCGCCATCTGATGGACATTACAGAAACTTGAGCACACATGAGCTGAAGCAGAAGTGGAAAAACTATTTTATTACATCTCAGACTTCATTTATTATGTCTGTCAAGTGAGTGAAAAGCCAGTCTGTCAGTACTGATTAACGATACATTTAGATGAATCTTTACCAGGCAAAATAAGTGGACCTACGTAATTTCTTCCACAGCCTAAGATAATACTTCTTTATTTAGCTTGTTAAAAATATAAATGATAATTCTATAAAAAGAAAACTTGTGCAGTGATGACCATCCAAACCCCTTAAAACCAAAAATGAGTAAATAAATTAGTAAAACACACTGTTTTGATTCACTAAAAGCCCTTTACACATAGAAACATCTGTTGGGTTTATAAAAATGAAATCATGCTGAAAGGCAGCTTGTGGTTTTCACAAAATGACTATGTACATTTTATCCAAATATAGTAAATTGTTTCCTGATGTAAAGTTTGATTTCCTGCTATTTCAATTGTTATACATATTGCACTCTTTTAATGTGTCACAGATGCGTTACATTTTACAAATCCATCTCCAAATTTCAGAAGAAATTGCACAAATTCCCAGAGAAGCCTCTCGTTAAAGACCTCACACCATGCCCTCAATGGTGTCCAGCTTTTGGGGTTGCTTGGCCTCTCTGTGCTGCTTTTCCAGCTGCTTGCAGTCCTGCTGGTAATCTTTGATCAACTTCACCACCTCTTCATGTCCAAACTGCATGGCATCATCGACTGGAAGGTTCCCCCACCTGCATGTGGCGATGAGAGGATTTAACAAATAAAGGAGAAAGGTTGTGTGGCGCATTATTGCTGTTATTGATTCAAAGAGATAAGAGGTGTGACTCACCTGTCCTCCACAAAAGGATCAACTTTGCACGTTTCTGTGAGAAATCTCACCACCTCTATGTGACCTAAGAATGAAGAAATGACAGCTCTGAATCAGGGTCGAATATAAATGAATCAAAAATAGAAAAGCACAAAACAAGTCAAATAAATCAGATGATCTAAATTGACATAATCTATAGTATATAAACAATTATATAATCTCCTGAATGGGGGAAAAAACACTATACATTTATTTGAGGTGTTAGATAAGAGAAAAAGACAGCAGGACAAATAAAAAACAAATAGAATGGTAACAAATTACTTGCTCACAAATCTATACTTTGTAACTAAACTTAAAACAGACACTTAATAATCTACTGTATGGTTCTCTAAAAGGCTTTATGAACTAATTAATTTCTCATTAGTATAATGTTTACTGAACAGTTTTAGTACATTTTCATTGGGGAAAAATATGAAACTACTACAGTTTGTCAACTATTGCATAATTTCAAGCGAATACAACCAAAGCATTTCATATAGAAAATGTCATTTTGTAGTGTTACTACAGTTCAGAGATTCATTTCACAGTTCACAGACAAACAACTGAGCTCTAGGTAATGATGTGACATATAGCTGAGGGTCAAAAGAAAGATCAGGAACAGTAACAGCCAGAATAGAAGGATCTCACCCTCTGCTGCAGCTACGTGCAGTGCTGTTCTGCAGTCATAGTCTTTTAGATCCATGTCCATGGATGAAAGGGCAAATCTGCAGCATGACAACAAAGACTTTAGCATTCAACTGATGTGTACAATAAATCTGATATCACATCAACCAAATTTTGTGTTCACCATGATGAATGGTGGTAAATGGATTTTTAACTATTCCAATACTGAAACATCCAAGTTGACTAATCTAAGGAGTAATTTTCTTTGAGTCACAGTGACTATTTTTGCTGGTTATGGACTCAGATTGGGGCTCACATAATTAGAGACAGAAGTCTTTTAAAAATGTTGTCTTTTATGATATGTCAACGGTATTAGTACCAAATTAGTATAACATAACTTACCATTATTTAAAGGTTTTAAACATAATCTCTGGTCAGAGTTTCTGTGTTAAGGAAATGTAGCATAACAGTAGTTGACAGACTTTGCAAAAGCTGCAAAGACTTTACTGTAAATTGATGGAAGGATTTTGCTTGGGGTGATTACTGCTTAACAAATAGGAGAAAAAACTGGACCAGTGCTCAGATATTTCACCTTTTGATGTTGGAAACAGCAGCTCAAGGAAAACCAAAAGTAGGAGAAAGACATGTAATACAACTGCTTCACGGTAGCAGTGAAGCTGTTTTTCTATTTTTTAATCTGTTTTGTCCATTTACTTTTGTACTCTATGGTTTTGTTACACAGGCTTTTTGTAAAAATGCTGAAGGACATTATTTTATGAAGGGAAAACATCAATTCTGATACCTTCTCAGGGCCGACACATCTCCACTGTAGGCGGCAAACATCAAGCTGAAAACAGACTTGTTCTGCAAAAACATTAAAGAAGTCCATGAAAACAGGACGGGGGGGGCATGTAATATGACAGACAATGTAACTCACCCTGTCATCTCCATCCTGTCTACGGGGATCCTGCTTCCTCACAAAGTGCCTCAGGTTGTCGTAATTATGGAAATTAAACTGTGACACAAGTTCCTACACATACAAAAAATGTTATTGGGAAGCTAGAATGTTACCCTTTGGGTGTTAAACATCATAACTTCTTTTTTTTAATCATACATTTGTGTAGACAAATCGCAGTCAAAAACATGTTCCTTTATGTCTGACAGCCATCCATCCATCCATCCATTATCAATGCCGCTTATTCCCCTGTCTGACAGCCAATACTTCAAATTAGATAAACTGATTTCCTCCACATATAACCACAATTCATGGTCAGTGAAAGCTCACTATCTGAACATTTGAGAGGAAGATTTCCTTCGTGCAAAACATTGGAGAGTAAAAACATGCACAGTTGGATGCAGATACTTAAAAAACCTGTGTCAGAGACAATAACCAGCCAAACCGTCTGAATAATTTGATGTTATAATGAATATTCACGTTGGAAGATTTGATTAAACTAGAGGTCAAAATGAAAAAAAGCCTTGGTCTTGCCTGACAGAAGTGTATTCCACGCACACTGTTTCCAACTCTGTCCAGTGGGGGAGACCAACACATTACTCCCATCACATTGGGGATCACCAACAGTATTGCGCCAGAAACTCCAGATTTTGCAGGCAAGCCAACCTGGGAGATGAGGGTAAGAAGCTACATGAGGAAACTCTTTCCAGCAAACAGGTGAACATTATGTAGTGTCAGTTAGACATCCTTATGTCACTCACATGAAAAGCCAACTGGCCAGAGAAGTCATACATGCCACATGAGTGCATGAGGCTCAAGGTGTTTCGCATGGCCTCCGCGCTCAAAACACGCTCGCCTGTGATTGGACAGATCCCTCCATTGGCCAGAGTGGCAGCCATGACACTTCCTGACTCGCAAGTTACCTCGATGGAGCAAAGCTGAGCTCAAAATAGAGACAGTTTAAATTCAAATTCAACTGAAAAGACTGCACCAATCTTTCTGATGGCTGAATACGTCTCAGGCTTAGACAATATCAAGAGAATTAAGTTTAGTAAAGTTAAAGCAGTTTACCTGAAAGTAGAAATCGAGGGCATCGATCATTTCAGCTCTGGGAGGAAAACACTGGTGAACAAAATGGGATTATTAGCCATTTAACCTATTTTATGTTGTCTGTGGCTAATTAAACTGTAAATCAGACTGAATATATTAAAACAAAGCTTAACCTTTTCCAATATCAATATTAGGTTGTTTTATTTTTCATATGTCCATATTTGTAAGATGGTTTGGATGATGGATGACTGTGTGGATAAAACAAAGACAAAGGAAGACTCTGCTTTGAATCTTGACAATTTCTCTTTTAAAAGGTCTTGTGGATGGTCAGATGCGCATGGCACCTTAAAAATGCTGCAATAGTTATACAGAATCTGCTGGAACAGACCTTCTTCTCTTTCATGTAGTATCCAATGGCAAAATTTCTGTTGCCTGTTTCTTTTTCTGACTGAAATCTGAGAATGAAGCAGATGAGGTCAACACAGAAGCATCAATAATTCAACGGGTCAGTAAACATGTAATTTGCAAAACAGGTAACTCTGCTTGCTTCATCTTACTATGCAGATATAAAATGTTAAGAGAATACACTACATTAATTGCACTATAGACTCACGTTGCATTGCTGAATCCAACATATTCTTGGCCGGCCATCTTTTTCACAAACTCCATAACCTGGTTACCAAAAGGTGAAATTTTCTTTATATGACAGCAAATCTCTGACAATCTCTGACATTTTTATACTCACTGCTTCAACAGAGAGTGAGATAACACTTACAATATACTTAAGAGACATAATACTTACATAGTCAAACTTTTCTGCCTTATTTGAATGAGGCTGAAAACAAAGAAATAGTTGCTTTTATGTAAATATGCTAATTGTAATTGCCATATTTATTCATTTCCCTTATCCATGATTTAATTCTAATTACAGTGTGTCAAAGCCTGTTAATATATTACTGATTGCATAATTTTGCACCCTGGGGTCAGCTGGTAAAAGTGGAGGAAAGATAGACGGTGATCATAAACCACACAGCTTAGATTGAGTTCAACGAACATTTTACAGCTCACTTTTGTGGCCTTTTTGTATTAGTTCTAATACAATTTTTACAAAAAACTGTCATTTTTCAATCAAAGCTTTTAAAATGCTGACTTTAACTAAAGGATGAAGTATAAAAATTCTTCCATCACTGACTTGTACTAGAAAGACAGGGGTTAATGGGCTGTACGGACTCATCTTATTAATCAAGTCCATCCATTTACCTTGATAAGAGAGCTGATTACGATTGCTCCAGCATTCACCATGGGGTTGTGAGGCTTATCTAGGAAAGAGTGCGAAAGGATAAAGTGGAAAGTTAAAGAGGAGTCCTCGGCTACATAGTAGCTTTGTACAGCTTTGTCCTCCAGTTTTATCTTACATTAATCCATTCCCACAAACTCACTTAGGCTTCAGGGGGTAATTTTATTATTCATTTGTTTTCTTTGTCTGTTTTTTTACACACAGTGGAGCAAACTGTGCTGATGAGCCTTTACACACCATCATCATCAAGCGAGAGCACGTTGAACTTGAGTCCGCTGGGCTCCATGCCGACATAACTGTGAATCTTCTCTGTTCCGGCCTCGTGGACAGCGATGGCATACTGCAGAGGCTTCACACATGACTGCAAGCAGAATGGCTGCTTCGTGTCACCTACAGAGTGCCTGAAAAGAGGAGACAGAATAGGTCTTTATAATGGGATATGGTAATATCTCATACTCACTGACTAAGGGCTTCGAGATATATCTGATTTAGAAAAAGAGGAAACACTGTTCCTCTATTTATTTATCTATTTGCATTTTCAAACTTGTAAATGTAGGGCAACTTGACTCTGGAGAGTTCTGCATTGTATTGCGGGGCCACATAGATGACAAACAAGACAAACAACCAAACACCCTCCCAATCATTGCAATGGAGAATTTGACTTATCAACTGACCTAACATGCCTGTTTTTGGACAGTGGGAAGATGCCAGAGTAGGGGTAGGAAGCCCCAAGGCTGAATATCAGAAAGGCCCTGGTTGGCATTCAAACCAAAAAGCCTCTGTGTTTCAACGGTGCAAACCAACACACCAAGGTGAAGCTTATTAATAAAAAGTTAAAACACAGTTCTCATTAGTAAATCTCAGCCGATGTGTATTTTTCTGTTGTACAGCAAGACTGCAAGACTCTTCTAATGATTTATACTCTTTTTCATCTTCTGTTTAATATTCTCCTCTTTAAAAAAAAAGCAACTCAATAACTGAGCAAGCACATCCCACTTTTTGTATGGTTTTGAAAAACCCACAACCAAACTGTAACCTTCATTCTACACACACATGAACCTGACTTTTTAAGCATAAATCATATATTACCAGAACCAATAAATCCATCATTTTTTATATCATCTTTCTTTTTATCAGTGGATACAAACCTGGATATTACTAGATATTTCACGCCTCACTCTTCATGTTACACCTGAGTCTCTTGATACTTTACATAATAACAAAGAAAAAACACCATCTGACTGCAATTGACATCCAGCATTTGGGAAATATTCTTTGCTTGGACTACTCCTACGCTCTAACAGCAGGTCTTCTGGAATGCACAGTGAAAACCTATAAAGATGGTCCAGAACATGGCATTGACTAGGTTGTTTGATCTGCCAAATAGAGCACATCACTCCACTGAACTCCTCTTGGTATCCATGCCAGTCCCAATCAAAGTCAAGTCTTTAATGCTTGCCTGGAGAGTAAGTTTTAATTCTAGACCTAAACAACCAAACTTAACCAAACAATCACATGTTCATTGACCAGTGCACTCTTACCAAGATTCTTGGATGTTACTCTATGTTTACTCTCTAAGTAAAAGGGAGTAAATTATGAATTTGCTTGGTTTAACCATCAAAGCAAGATTTCTTTAAAACTAATCTATAAAAAACACATTCCTCTATGCCGATAACATTCTAATTCATATGCCTTTTAATTTCTTTTTAAGTTTTACTTCTACTTTGTACTTTGGAATAGATTCAGTGTGCTGCTAGAAGCTTGTCCTACTGTATAAATCATTGTATAAAAGCAAAAGTTAAATATAACTGTAAACCATACCTCTGACCATCAACTGTACACAAAGAGACGCCCCATAGTTCTGGGCTGAACTTGGCCAGCTGGGGGATGTAGTCTGCAACCTGTTGCCACAATTTACAAGATAACCAAAGTTTTTTAATTTCAAAAAGAGTTTCACAGTGGATGTTTTGTTTACAGCAATTGAAGGGAATTTAAACTTAAAAACTACACAGTCAAATATGTTAATATTAGTAAATATAATTCAAATATATGAAATTTCTATGTAAAAATCTTCTTAAACATGATAGTAAAAAACTGTAAAAGGCAAACAAAGTAATGATTACCTTCCCATCTCTTTGGTTTTGCACAGTTTTGTAGATTGCATCTATTTTTTCAGCAAACACGTCAAACTCTGGGATGATAAATTTCTTTCTGAAGGCCTGGATCAGCAGGACGATGTTGCCACCGACACACCTGATAATAAAAACAAAGACACCGTATTCCACAGGGTGACCATGGGCAGTTAGTATGTTTATATGCCGTTATGTGTCAGCGGATGACAGCAGTTGCCAGCGTTTAGATGCGTGCTTGATGGTTAATATAGCAGAAATGTGCTGACACACTGACGTTTACATCTTAGGATAATGGATGATTGTTTAAAGAAAGCCTTGACTTGAATGTCTTTACGAACAAAATTCTTATGAGTAGGTATTGTTGTAAATGTGCAGTAATTACCCTTAAATACATTATATTCTACTGTGAGAGAACTAACGGTCAGAAGAGTTAAGGACAAAAATGGCAGCATAATTTTTCCGCGATATGAAATTGTATAAACGTTCATTAAAATACCTGCAAACCAAACAGGTACTTATACAGCACATCCCCAAAACAAATCCTGTATCAAAATGAATTGTTGTCAGAAGGTCAGCCTAAAAATAGTCTGGTCAAATGCCTCCATGAGTATGCGTTAAGCTTAGTGGTGATGGAAAACAGAACACAATTAGCACTGTGATATGAGTTCAGTCTAAATGGCAGCATTGAATAGAGCCTTCACAAAGGAATATATTAAGAGTAAAACGCCCCATACCCTTAGATCAACAATACTGAATAAAAATTCTCTATTCTGTGTGCTACTTCCAACATTGCATTTGAATGACCGTATCTCTATACAAAGTTCATATTTCTGAATGTAAATTTACCTAAAAAACATTCAATCTCTGGCTGCAGCATGCGGTCCTCAGGCAAGACACCATAAATTGCTTAATATAAAATATTGAATAGCAAAAGTTTGCAAAAAAGTAGCAAGTGACACTATCCAGTGTCAAAGCTACAGCATGTGGACTGAAAGTTAATCCCCCCCAAAAAATGCAATTATTGAAAACTGGGAGTAAATCATCCCAATGCAATAATTTGCTGACCCAGCCTGTAATGAGCCTTTAACAGCAATTCATACCCCCTAACTAAATAGCTACGCAAAGATGGAGGCAGCTGTTGCTTCAGATAAGAGTACAGGCGGCTCTTCTGATATCTGACTTCTGTAAGCAAAAATAGTTTGGACAATAGTTCTGTCCATGAAGGTAGAAAAAAGTTTTTCTAGTAGAAACTATTTCATCTGAATTATCAAATATTGTTTGGGAGCTATTTTATTCTCTAGCAATGTTTGTATAATTCAGAAAAATATTTAATTCTCATTCAAATAAATACTATCTGAGTATCTAGCTTAGCATCAGTGGCTGTCCTATTTTGTTTAACCAGAAATAGATTAACCAAATATAATTAATGCAATTGAGTTCCAGTAATACTTGCATGCACAGGCATACAGTTTAAATCAGCACCCTAAAAAAGAACAAGTTTGAAAGTTAATCAATTCCTGCAGCAAATAGACTATCCAGGACAATATTCTATCTTCTGATATGCATATCTCTAAGGATGCAACAGTCTCACTTGTGGAAGAGGTCTCGGTCCATCATCACCTCACCGACAGATTCCCCCACAGCCCGGCGCAACTTCTCCATGCACTCCCTCAGGCGAGGGTCCGAGGGATGAAGGCCGTGTTTTTTCAGGGCCTACAAACGCAAAATGTTGGTCAACCCCAATGTGTTCAGACAGTATGAAAGAAAAAAATAAAGTTTCAGCGCACATGGAAATTAAGTACACTATATTAATAATTCATTTAAACCTACCGCAGTAAAGTGTGAGATGGGCACTTGGTCTTTTCCTTCTGTGATGGTGTAGAAAAGCATGTTTTCCACTCCAAAACTGGGGGATTTGGAGGGGACAGTCCTGGTGATGTAAAAAAAAAAAGAAGGCTTGATCAAATCAAATTTAGAAAAAGGATTTGGTTAAAGTTCATTCAGGTATAGATGTCTTAAACGTGATGACTCTGGCAGAAACGTGGAGCTTAGCTGCGCCATTTTTATTTTTAGCACTGGTGCTTCTTTGACAGGTGCGCCTATACTGCATATGTGATCTGGACCTATGTTACTTCTCATGATCCATTCAAAACCAAAGGGTTTCGTGTCGTACACAATTGATACAAGCTGCTAAATGAAACACAAAGTGACCAACTCTGTGACTTTTGAGCCACTTTTGGATAGTCATTCATTTGATGCCTTTCAGTGTGTACAAATCTAAGAGTAATGTCTGTCCGTTTGGCTAATTTGATGTATTGACAACGGTCAATATGAAGTGAATTAACAGCAGGACAGAGGTGTTTATTTATCAGAAGGAAACACTTACGTTTTGGAATGGAAAATGTCCAGATGTGCGGGAGGTCGTCGCGGGGAACTGTTTGTTGACTTTGTTCTCCAACATGCTGAATGAATGACAAAATCGTTCCTGGCTGCGTCTGTACTTTTGATAATAACGTGTACGACGTTTGACAAACGCAACGCCCGAAGACAGTGCATGACGGTCGGCAGCAAACGACCAACAACGTCTCCCGTCGAAAAAAACGGGTTGAAGTTGGCGAATAAATTGGATGGCAGCTGCTGCCGTTGGGTCACTGTCACTTCTCAACTTCAGAAGCGTTGAAGTTTTGAGGCTTTCAAGTGCTATTGGAAACACAAGCGTTGTCCGGATGAGGTTGATCGTAAAAACCCAGTTTATTCAGTGTGTTTGATACTTTCAAGAACCTCGTTGTGAGTAAAAGCAAAGCAAAACATAACAAACGCAAAGTAATGACATCACAAAAAAAGTTTCGATTGATTTGCAAATAGATTTTTTTTTAGGAGCAATTGAATGCCTCGGACTCTGTCCCAGCCATAGACATATATTCATAGACGCCGCATTGAGGTCTGCAACGTACGTGAACGTCGCCGCCATCTTGAATGTGGCAAAGTGGAGAATCGGAGTCAGCGATCAGACAGTGAACCGGTGTAAATCTCAGGGTTTTATGTACGCCCACTGCTCTAAAGACTATCCTGTAAAGTATGCCGAGGTAGTTTGGTGTCTGATGCTGTAACGCATCATCAGAGCTGCTCACCCTAAAAAAATAATAACCACATCACAAAAAAGGAAAAGAAGCCTTAAAAAAGTTATTTCTACATAGGGTGTACAACTTCTCATCTTTGTGATATTAATATTGAGACAATTGTGCAACTGTGACCTGCATTATGAGTAAATATTTGTATAATCTTTTTCTACATTTCTTTGTGAGGTTTTAAAGTCGAACTGAACATACTGTAACTTTGTTTAGAGAGTGCTAGTTCAGAGGAGTTGTTGAATGACGTATGTCAGTATGAAAATAACCATACTATTCTACATATACAAATCATTTATTTTATTCAATTAACATATTTCACACATTTTGTTTTTATTTTAGTTGGTTTCAGGGAACTACAGAAAGATGGTGATGTTAGAGTGTAATAGTTTGAATACTTGCACTTCTTTATCTATACAGTTGGAATCTTTGCTTGAAGTAAACAGGTTGTGAAGAACTGCCAGTGTATATTTGACTTACATCCAACATGACTTCATTCAGAAAAAACTCAGTTTATCTGCAGTAAACATCTAGTTTTTATGGCTCTGATGGTTATCCATACCAAGCAACATAAATAGCAGTGTTAAAAGGCACAGCACTGGTTTAAAAGAGAGATAATGCATAAAGAGAAGTACATGTACAACCACTGACATCAGATCATTGCATGGCCAGTGGAGATAAGGATTATTGGCATCAAGCTTTATGCTTCAAACGACTCAAAATGACATAAAAATGCGAATAACTTTTTAAAGACATCACTTAAAAGTCATCACCAGTTACACACTCTTTGAAGGACGAGGCAGCACCAGCTTCAGTCCAAGATCAACTACAAAGGAGGGCATATAAGAGAGAGGGATCCAGATAAGCTTGGCATCCCATCCGGCGCTGTATCGGGTGCGTGGGTAGGCAGCAGTCAGAGCGTGCTCCATACAGCTGGTCACCTTGGTGAGATCAGAGTCGCAGACAGCGTTCATGATCAAACGCTGGACATTGATGTCTGAAAAAAGGAATTACACGTTGACAATCTATACTTAATTTTACTCGATTCAAAAAGGCTGCATTGAGTCTTGATTATCGAAGACAAGTTTTGAAACCTGAATTCGACAGGGCTACCGGTCATTTTAAGATGAATTTCAGACCATATTGCTAATTAAAAAAAAACTTTTATTAGTGTTGAAATTATAATGAGGTCTGTTGTACTTACACTTTTCGAGGTACTTGTCTCCATAGCTGGCTTTTACCTCAGGGGTGAGCTGGTTCCACAGGCGATGCAGCTCCCTTTCAATGGGATCGAGGCTGGTTACGGCTGTCTTGAAAAATCCAGGTTCAATGATGCAAACTTTGATTCCAAAGTAATCGATATCTCTCCTGAGAAAAGACATAACAATACCGATTTTCGCATTTTATGTCAATTACAGAACTTACGTTCAGCGTCACTTTTTTAAAATCTAACTACATTTAATTAATTCATTATTAGTTTAAAAAAATTATAATAATTTATTTATCAATCTTATTGATAAACCATCATTTTAAGCATTCAGCTAAATTAACTTCCTGATTAATCAGTGGCCAAAAACCCTGACTTCTGCTGAATGATGCACTGACTATGAGAGAAGTTGTAATGATGTTCTAATACAGCTATCACAAATGTAGCACAAAGCAAATGCCAGGTTTATAACACAGGAAATCTTTGACTTAAAGCTGTTTAGCTGTCAATAAATCAAACAAAACAGCGGGGAAAAAATTAAACATGTTAGTTTATCAGAGTGACAACTCTTTCCATGTTTAGCCTTATAGACAACAAAAGATCAGTTGTCCTTCATAATGGTGCAAAATGCTAGAATGAATCATTCTATTGTCTTTAGCAAATGCAATTATTGTCCATCTATTCTCAAAGGAATTGTTGCAAATTTGATTGCACATCAACTGCACTTTAAAACACAATAACTAAACAAAGACAAGAATTTCTTTCAGGTTATTTAAGCAACAATTTATAAGTATTTTTGTAGCTCACCTCAAACAATCAGAGAAAGACTCCACTGCAAACTTGGAAATGCAGTATCCACCGCCATTTGCAGCTACCCTACCCAGTACAGATGCTACATTTACTATGCGGCCCCTGGCCTTTTTGATGAGGGGCAGGAAGGTCATAGTCATGGCAATCACTCCATTCATGTTTACTTTCAGCGTGCTGTGGAAATCCTCTACTTTCATCCACTCTGAAGGTCCCATGGGTAACGAACGTCCGGCATTGTTCACAATACCCCAAAGTCCTAAAAAGGAGATGAAAGATGAAAATATTAACATAAGTGCGTGGCACATCATGTACGATGAATCGAGAGAAGTTTATTTTTGGTAGTGTCTTACCTTTATCACCAACCTCCTTGTTGGTCCACTCCATGGCCTTCTGGATGCTGTCCAGACTGGTCACATCCAACACAACAGTCTTTAGATAAGGCCCTGCCACTCTTTTCAGATCATCAGCTCCCTTCTCTGTGAGGCAGCCGGCCAGCACACGGAAACCTCTGCGGTCAAGCTTCTTACACAGAAGGTTCCCGAAGCCTGTGTCACATCCGGTCACGAAGACGTACTTGTCGTTGATGGTCTCGATTTCCAGGCTGTCCCTATACAGCCACCCGAGAATCCACAGCACAGCGATGGTGGCAGCTATGTACGACCCGGCATTTTCCCTGAGAAAGGAGAGGGATCAGAGTATGGAGAAAGAGAGATTGAGCGATTTGCTCTCAGGTCAAGTTTATGCAAAAAAAACACAGTTTAGGTATTTCTTACCCTAAGAGGTCGTATATAAACTGCATATTCGTGTTGCTCTCCGTCTGCTTTTGGTCAGCTTGTTGGAAAAACATGCTGTGCAAAAAAAAAAAGGAAATGCACTAATTATTTGTAGGAATCCCCCATAACAACATCCATACTCTCTCTCATAATATTCTGATGTTTGATTGAAGCATATCACTGTTCATTTCATCATTCTTGATAAAAACTAAAAACAACGTCTTTGTTCTCAAAGGGCCCCAGCAAAAAAAGTGATCATTATGCAGAATAGTTTTTTCTGCTTTGGGCACATGAGAAATCTTTGGATAATGCTCTTAAGGAAGAAAGAAAGGTATTTATGAGGGAGACAGATCCAAGCTCGGAGTGTTACATTGTTTTGTGGTAATGTTAATCTCCATGATAGAGCTGCTTAGGCTGCTCACCAAATGCCAATTAGTTTGCAAGCTTATTAGGAGGTAAAATAAAAAAAATCCTCTGTAGGTATCTAAAATAAATGAAAAATTATAAGAATCATTTGTACTTTCATCCAATTGTAAATGATGATCATACACATTTGTGTTAAAATTGTATCTGGAATTAACTCACTTTGAAGCAGCTAGTTGTGTGTGTAGCTTGATTGGGGAAAAAAAGATTAACTTCCCTGTGGAAGTTAAATTATATATCAATTGTGCAATTGGATTTTTTCCACAGTAAAATTATTTTTTAAGTGATTACGGAATTTGTTCATATCCAGTATCTCTAAAAAAGTATCTGCAAAATAAGGTTTGAAGATAATTAAACAACATTTTGTAGCTTTGCTGCCATCTTTCAGTCTAGTTTATTGAACACCAAATTGAGGGGACTTTGCATTTCTGTCTCAGAATAGAAAATGTGTTGAGCAATTGAAATAGTTTAGAATTGCTTAAGAAATTTGAACGCAGAAATTTAATGATTTAATCTTCTGGAAGAACCCATCTGAAGGCTGCACATAGTGACGGGGGACCATTCCATTCTGGGCACTTTAACCTCAAAATCTTTTAATTTCTAATGTAATTTACAAGTAATAAATTCTGATTTTATTTTGTTTTTCATTTCCTCATCAGGCTTGTTCAGAATTAATTAAACAAAGGAGTAAAACAAAAGGGGGAAGGGGAAAGTCGGTTGAATAACTAATGAAAGACTTTTTTAAGGACTTATTTATCGTTTTATGTATAACCATTACTGCAGAAAAGTTTTAATAAAAATTGATTTTTTAAAAACTAATTTGCAGGCTTTTGATAACTTCTTTCTTAACTGTGGGCAATTTTTTAAAAACAAATTTGAAATAATCTGAGAAATTTAAAACATCAAAACAAATCAATATTGATTTTTAGTTAATGGAAATAGAAAATAAAAAACTCCATGCTATAAATTTTGATTGGACACATTTCAACAAAGAACCCTTTTGATGATGGTGAAGTAGAATACTGTAGATGAGAAATGAAAGATGAAAAAGAAAGCCAAATCACATAGTAAATCACTGTAGCAGCTCAGCTGAACAACCAACACTAATATGTAAACTTTATCATCCTACCTTTTTCTCTTTTCTAGATGTAATTGAGCTCAGCAAGTTTTCCTTCCTCCTATGTTCCCTTTCTGGTTAGTCTTCTGTCTTAGCTCGGGGAGGCTGGTCAGAGAGAAGCTTTATCCTGGTGGTTTATCCCAAGTCTACGCTAAGTAATCCCCTTTCCATAACCATCTGATTTGTGTGTTGGAGAAAAAAACGTGAGGTAAAACAAAAGTCCAAAGAATTTTCTGTCCAGTTGGATTTAAGATATCCTTTCTCTAAATCTTTTTTTAAAAGACATTCATACAAATAGCTTCATCTAGATCAAAACAATATCCTGTATGTTTCCAGTGTTTGACAGGAAAGTTAAAAGTTTCTATTTTTAGAGTCTGGTGGTTCTCGTGGCGTATGGACATAAGTACTTTACATTTTCCGAGTTAATACAAAGTTATGGTAATCCCACAAGCAAGTCTTTTGTACCCTGAAAAACATGACAACAGTCCAAAAGGCTTGCTCTGTTCACAAATTATATCAGGTTACCAACCCAGAAAACCATGTTATGCATCGAGTTTTATAAAACTGTGCAACTTGAAACATGCTACTGTACAGTGTTTTGTTACTGTTTCTTTCCTGAAAAAAATCCTGAAATAAGAAAAAACAATTAATCTCAGTTATATGTACAGTTGAAAATTCGAAACTCAGTTGAAGGTAAGTAATTTGAAACCCTATAAAGAAGGAACACAGGCAGATTTAGAAAACGAAGTCTATCGATTGTGTTGTGGATTAAAAGTGTATTTAATTCTCAAATGCTTGTAATTATCTGAGTGAATTTAGCAGCCACATGCACAGTGACATAACTTTCACTCACGTCACACATTCCATGGTTTTGTCCAATCACTCTAACCAAATAATTCATCCAGTCGCTGCATTACTGCTTCACAACAGGTTTGCTGAAAATCCTCAGACAACAGCCGGGGGTTGGCTTAGCAATTGAAAATGTATCTGTTTTTTAAAGAGAACACCATGCAGAATAAACTTTCTTAGCTCTTCTCTTTCATGTAATTAACATCCAGTCTTCACGTGCGCACACCAAAACATCATGACAATCTAGATTCTTTTTTAAATGCAGTTTGTCTATCTATGTTATATTTTGTGTGCATTTCCTATACATATAAATGTATAAAACCATTGTAACCTGTCTCTAAAATAACAACAATGCAAATTTTCACTTTTATTAAAAACATTTTTCCAACAGTAAAGAGCAAAAATCAAAACAGGATAATCCTCCAAGCGCACAGGTTTGTTTGTTAAATACAGACAAGCACAACTCAGGCAGGAGCTTTCATGAGTCTTCCAATGAAATGCTTTGATAGTTATGAGTAGACTTTGTAAATTACTTTTAAAACCAGCTACAGGTTTTTACATGCAAGTTTTTCTTCCTCAGTTCAGTGACTAATTACAAAGAACAAAAAATATTGACATCCTAGGAAACGAAACCTTAGACCTTATGCCGATTGAGCTCCAGCATTTTTGCGAGCGTTCTCACGTCTGCACTGTTGCCATCATGGGAACTTCACCAGTCAGGCATGTCTATCTCATGGTCATGCGGCACAGACTGTTGACGTTCCTCTGAGCAAAGCCTTGGCCTTGGTCCATGCAGACAGGGCGTGTAGATGAGCAATGTCACTCTTATCTGATACAACTCGAATGGATTGGATTTACGTTTGAATCCACTGTGTCTTGGTCGAGCTGTAAATGTTCCCGTACACACACGCTATTAAGCCTATGAGCAGGTGGACTGAAGCTGACCCTTGTGTACATACTCCAGAGCAGTAGCGATCGTCCTCATGTCCATCTCAATACTACGTGCCCAGTTCTCCACATCTCCAATTTCCTGTTTGTAGGAGAAAGAGAGTCAAAGGTATGTAGTCATCACCCTGAATAAAATCCCAAACTACAGACCATCAAGACCAGCTTCAAGTCCTCTTAAATTTAAAATGTATTTCTGGATATTTATCAGATCTGGCTGCAGGATTATGAAGGTCTCTGCCTAAAGTCCACTATACATTGTGTATATTGCAAGATGAAAATGCACCAGCATGAGACAATCTTGGATTATTTATTTGATTACTAGAAACTGTACTCATGTGACCTAACTCCTCAACAAAGCATTTTTTTAACAGTGGCAGAAATGTGGGACGATTATCTTGCAGTTTGACTGCTGTTACAACATTTACTAACCAGTTGGTTAAAGATTTACATTAAAACTAACCTAATAGCATATCATGATGATGATCCATCATGTCTTTTTTATGGTACATGGAAACCTGAAACCTTGCATGTACAGACCAGCAACATGCAACAACTGTGAAAAGGCAGATGTTATCATGTCCCAACATCTGAAACAAATATCTGGCAATTTTCTTACATGAGAATTTGAAACAGATTAATAAATAAGGACACTATAATTACAAACTAAGTAATTTCATAATTTTTTAAACTCGAGAATATTGTATTAATATTTGAATGGGGGTTTCTGGGTAGACCACGTAAGGATGGTAGGATTCTGAAATAAATGGAAACTTATTTGAGAACTTGCATCCTATCAGCAGCATTCAGATCTATGAGCTGACTACATGTGGATGTACATGTCCCTGAATCGCATCAGTCTGCTTTTGGTAAAGATAATAAAACAATTTAAGATACCTTTAAGGCCTGATTGAATCCTTCCACCATACTGATCCATTGAGCAGTTTGCTTGGAGAACTGGCTTGCCTGAACTTGAAGAGTCTTTACCTCATGGTCCAGTTTGCGTTGATTTACATATGCCTGGGCAACACTTTGGGGATAAAAAAAATTGAAAAATCAACGAGCGTTTCAGAATTATCAATGCAAGATCGCATAATTTCATATGTTGCTAGTTTGACATGAATGGATGGATTCGTGTTTGATAGTCCAGTATTTCTATAGTGAAATGTAGCTGCTTAAAATCTAACCACGCCACTGATGGATTTTGGTTTAAATCTTATATATAAAAGGAACAGTACAATAATTGTCTTTCTATCCACTATTGCAGCTTAAGTTGATTGTCTCATTTCTTCACATTTTTCACATGGGCAGCAACCTTGTAGAATTAATGGAATTTGTGCTGCAGGCCTATTTATCTAGCCAGGATTGGGCTGCTTTATTTCACTGGCTCAGAGACAGGTGTAGCAGGTCTGAAACCCATGGGATACAGTTTTACTTAAATCTGTTGTAGAACAACAGTACCTACACAATACTTACAAGTAATGTTCCCCTAAAAAAAAAATTTTCAGAGGCATTTGCAAATTACACACATACAGAGAGAGAAACAGACTGCTATGTTTACACCGGCTGCCAGCATTTGATAATCATACCACAGACTTAGTAGCTAAATAAAGTAATAATAAAAACAAAAGATGGGCTTGCATATTTTTGGATTATAACAATTTATTGTGAATATTTATTTTACGATGAGTTACTAGTCTTAAATGTTTTTGTTGCCCAATATTAGAAAGGGGAGTTATCTATCTTACAATAAAATAATAAAAATAGATGATTTCTTTCAAATTGCCTCCAAGCCATTTTTGATTGATTTCTCCTGAGAGATTTCAAATGTATCACTATATGTTCACTGTTTATGACAGTCTTAAGACAGCCTTGAGTAGTATCATGGGCTATTCTGACACAGATAGGGCTCTAGATAGACTGATCACGCTTACAAATGCACCTGGACGTGTATCAACTGTGATTGACTTGCAGGATTATTTACACATTTTCATACCCAACGTTGAGGTGGTCCACCAGGGCTTCCGTCAGACAGGTGGCAGCAGTAATTGCTTCACGTCTGCGTCTTTCTATGTAAGAAGCACGGTGCAGGGTCAAAACAGACAGCACGGTCAGTGGCAGCTTCATTTCTTTGAGTCTTGTTTTTAGCAGCTATTAGCAACATAGCCCGTGAAACTCACACCCACCTTGCAGCTCTTTCCGCTCATTTTGCTTCGCTTGGTGCTCTTTCAGAAGACGAGACAACATCTTATTTCAGTGGGCGGTGTGTTTGTGCCGCAATTGCCTGTTTATACGCAAAACAAAAAGGGAATTTATCGGTTAAACACGTCAGCTTGCCTGCAACAGCTATGGACAGCAACTGTCACGGGACACTGATCGAGGATAGCTTCTTCTTCGTCTATTTTTGCTTCCTCAGACAACAAATTGGCGCATTACCGCCACCAGCTTGTGTGGAGTGTGGACCAGCATAATTACCTTCTTATGAGTTTTTAGTAAATAAATTAGATACCGCTTAACTTTCTTTTAACTTGGGTTTTTCATTTTTACTGACATCTGACATTGTAACAAAGCATACTTTGTTTCCAGCATAGTGACATTTCCCATTAGAATGGTTCCCTATAATGAACAATGGATGTGCAAGCGTTCAAGTCCGAAACGTGACGCGATTGTCTCCTCTCCTATGTGCTTTTGCTATCTTTAATTCAATTAAAGAAATAATTTTTTATGTGTTCCTTGTTCCTAAAACTGATGCTCATGGATATCATTCGCACCCTAATATACAGCCGTCTGGTTTAGTCATTTTTTGTAAAGTGTCGTAATTGTTTATTATTTATGACACAGCTAAATTTGTGTCAATTTAAGTAACTTAAAACATGTTAATTTTCTTTTTTGGATTTGATTTAAACATAAAAATATCATTTATCGTGACGTCATTGAGTTAAAAACAGTAAAAACTTCTAAATAAAGGTATGCGACAGAAAAGAAAAATCAAACCCCCGTTTGGGGAAATAGATATGATCTGTCAATTTAAATATTACATATTACACGAGGTATTTTTAAGTTTTTCATAACTGTGTCATTTGGAATGAGACATAGATCAAAATAGCAATATCTATCATTTTGTGCTACGTTACTCTGTGTCATTTTATTTTGAAAAGCTCACGCCGGAAAAGCCGGGCTCCTTTAGCTAGCGGAACACAAGTTTATGCTTATGGCGGACTTCCAACTGTCAACAGTCTAGCCATAGCTGGAAAAAGAGAAAATCAAGTTCCCCAGTATCATCTTTATTTGTCAGGTATGAGAATTAAATTTTGAGTTGAATGACAGCTGTGTTCCGAAGAATCGAAGTTGCCTGAGGGTCGGTTACTGTTAGCTTAACGGGAGTTGATGCATAGTTAGCTCAGCCTCGTTGTTATTCTGAACGTCGGTGAACAAAGTTACTGTGGGTGTGAAACTCATTAACGTCTAATAGTTATTCTAAGGTATTTTGCAATGCTAAATTAATAGTCTTTTTTTACCACAGCACATAACCGGGAACATACAGTACTGTTAGAGGCTGTCAAGGCAGTAAATCTCCCGCTGGCTAACACTCGCTTTAATGCCAGGTAAACAAAGCTAGGTACTGCCATCGTGTTGCAGGTTTCCTCATTAACAGCAGGTTGGCATATGTTTTCCGCAATGTCACTTGACTTGAAATGAACGTTTTTTAATGCACTGAAAATTTTTAAAAAATGGGCTGTCGGAGTATACTGTCAGGCAAGGAAGGTAGAGTGAGGCATAATTAGCCAAGTTGATTACTGTCTGTTTCGGAATAGCTGTTCTAGAAATAGCTGAGATTAAAGCAATTTACTGGGTAACGTGTATTTTAGTATGTCCAAGGTTTGCGCACTAAAATGATGGCAAAGTCAGATTCTGTTAAGCAGATATAACGAATAAGGTCTAAAGTTTACTTTTGGAAAGAATAATTGAACAGAGGCACATATTAAGAGAGATTGGTAGGCTTTGTGATGGATTATGCGACAGTTGTCATGTTAACATCTATGACTAGAATAAGATAAAAATCTGTTCTTAGAGTTATGTATAGATCAGTTGATGAGTGCTAGTCTTATTATTGTGTGATATTTGTCTTGAATACCCAAGACTTGGAGGTTTTACCTCAATAATACTTTTAAAAAGATACCTGCAATTGCCAAAGCAGCAATCTGTTTTAACAGAATGGTTCATGAATATCTATTGACTATTGCATAGACAGCCATGTTACGTCACACATTACCTGCAGAAGATTAATCTCTAAGTAGGTTACCGGCATGGAGTGTCCCTGGTTAACACATGATGTAACTGGTTACAGGTTGACTCATTGTAGACAAACTAGGACCAGGTGTTATGGATGAACCATGAAGGCCCAATTGCAAGTCACAGGTAAGTTTTTGTTAATTATTTAGCCTCATCGATGCTAACAGGCTTGTCATGGCAATCCAAAACAGTGCTGTAACTGATTTTCTACTTTACTCTGAAGTTATTTCACTCTACTGAAATTGAATTATTCTACTAAACTGAAATAGAAATCTCCAATTATGCTATTAATAGACTTTTATGACCAGTGTAGACGAGGTCAACTCTTAATTCCACAGGGAAAACGGCTGTAGCAGGTTGGTTCAACGTATTGAGAAAGAGAAACAAAACTACATTATCACCCAAGCAATACTAATAACAGAAAGTTTATGGGTCAGGCAAAATCAATAAAAAGATGTGAGACCTCTTGAACTAGCCTTCAAATGGTTATAAGATCTATAGTCTCTCATAGCAGAAAAACTCAATTAAGAGTCACCAACAAACAGCTACAGCCGGAGGATGGAAGGAGAGGCGTGAGCAAAGATCCTTTCCCCCTTTGTAACTGTTTGTTTGCTATCAGGTCTGACCAGCTTTACTTGAGGAGAAAATACAAGACAACCAAAATTTAAAAAAAGTCAACAGCAGGGAGAAAGATGAGATGTGTCCTTAAGGGATACTAGGAATAATTAGTTGAGATGCATTATAATATTAAATGGTAATTATAACAGATTTGCTAACAAAGAATTCCACTAATTTAACATCAAAAGACAAAGGATAGCAAAGATGTATTTACTTTTTTGTCAGTATTTTTTCCAGCTGCCAAACAAGTGTCGTAAATAGCGGCATCGTTTTCTAATGGTCAGTCAGTGTTGTCATTTTCACAAAAAGGCTCATTGGTGTGAAAATAAACCAGCTTGAGGAGTTGTCAGTTACAGCAGTTTCGATTTAAAAGGTCATGGATTGTAGCATCTTAGAAAATAATGCTAACATTTTTGCCAAATGCAACCCCTGGTGACCTCTGATAATTTGTAAATGCACTTTTAACACCATCATCGTTCCTGGTGCTTTCCTATTTCTAGTACTATCGGCCAAGCTGAAGGAAAACAAAAAGAACTGGTTTGGTCCCAGTCCTTATGTTGAGGTAGCTGTGGATGGCCAATCAAAGAGAACTGAGAAATGCAACAACACACACAGTCCAAAATGGAAGCAGCCCCTCACAGTGTGAGTATGGATGTTGTTTGTCACCTCAGTGCAAGATGCTGCACATATGAACAGATGATTTGAATATAAGATGATGGCACAACGTGGTAAAGAAAAGTATATGTACTGAGTTCAGAATAGATCTGACAGTGTCTTAACGTTTGTCTTCATATTGTCAAACTAAATCCTTAAGTGTGGTACCACTAACTTAAAGTCCATTATGGAAAATGGTATTTGTAATTTGAAGCTTTTGATTTCATGATTACACTTTGGGTTAATCTTGTCTTTAAAATGCAAATGTATTATCAATGCAAACATCTGTCTAATGCTCATACACTCCTTGTGCCCCTTTTTTTCTAGTGATTAAAGTCAAACTAAACTCAGTTTTCTCACACAGTCTTTGTTCTCTTAATGCTACAGAATTGTGACTCCAGTCAGCAAGCTGATCTTTCGGGTTTGGAGTCATCAAACTCTGAAGGCAGACATCCTGTTGGGGATAGCAACTCTGGAGATCAGTAAGACCCTTAAGGATAACGACCTGAAATGTGAGTTTACATGAATGTCTTTCTTCTAGTGGCTTCTTGGGACTTTTCTATTTATCAGTACCATGGCAGTTGGGAGTTACATATCACACGTATGTGCTTCATAAGCGTCTGCCGGTGCTGTCATTTGTTACTTGTTGTGAAGGCTTTGAAAATGTGACTCTTAATTTTAGGCTCTCATAATTGATTTGCACAGAATACCTGGAGAGTATAAAAAAAGGCTAGATTATATTTCAGAATTTTTGTGGACCACATGACCCCAGGCTCAGTTGTTTGGTAAAAATGCTTATTGGGCCTGTGTTTATTACAGAAATGCTTTATTAGGTTTTGATAATATTAACAACCAACACACATATTGTTCACTCAGTTTCCTTTTCTGGGATCCTAAACATATGACTTTATCTGTGCTTGAAATGGCTTTACAGCTTATGTAATGGCTCCTCTCAGACTTGGTCAGCAAGCACAAACCATGTGACGAAAGCTCGAAGAAATTTTATGCTACAGCAGCTTGCTTTCAATTTTACAGCACAGAGCGTGTTTCTGAGCCCATTGTTAATTGCTTTGACCTCACAGTATGACTGACGTTATCTTTAAAGCCATTTCACTATCAGGGCTGAAATCAAAGTGTCTTCAGAGAAAACAGGAGAGCTAAAAAAAAAGTCATTCTCCGTTCATCTTATTCCTGAATGTCTTGCTATTCAAAATGTGTTTTTAATCAGTTATTCATTTTTAATATCTTTCCCCCCTCCTTAGTATGTGAAGTGGTGCAGACATTGCAGCTGTGCTCTGACAGAGACCCCCGGGATATTGTAGGTGACCTGTCAGTCTGTCTGGATGGTATGCAGGTGGAGCCAGAAGCCTTCGCACAGGCAGAGAGAGAACGACGTAAGGGATCACTCAACAATATGAAGCAATTTGACTATTTCTGTTTGTTTTCTTTAAATCAAAACCATCTGCACTATTCCCCCTTTAACAAAAAGTTTATTTTGAGTTCAGAATGAAGTATAATCAACCTATTGGACTTATAATTCCAAATGGATGTTGCCATTGCATATTCAGTCCACCAGAGGGCACTTATACTACACTATTTAACTAAAATGTTTCTCTTTGTGCAGATTTTACTCATACAATAGTTAATGGCAAAATTTAAGCTGATATATGTAATATGTAGTATTATTTGTATTAACTGCACCTATATGAAAACATATTTCTGATTAGTTTGTTGGCGTTTATCTTATATTAATAACATTGGTGATAAAGTAAAATGTTTTTAATGAAGCATCCTTCTTTTGCTGTCATTCTAGCGTCCCTTTCAAATGGAAAAGCAAGACAAAAAAGCGACACAGGCAACAGGTCTTGTAAACTATTACTCTGAATATCTGTGCATGCTTTTCTATTAAAATCGTGCTGCTGTGGACTTTAAAAAAGTCTTTAGTTTTATTGAAAATGTTTATGTCCAGTATTTTGGGATAAAGCTCAGGAAATATTTTGTTTTGTTTCGTATTTTTAGGTCCAGCAGAGATACTTCGCCGTCAAGTGACTCGGACGAATGGGTCATCGTACCTAATGGTCATGCTGCCAGTGCTGTCAACGGTACAGGTTCTCCCTCCAAGTCTCCAGGGGGTTCAGCTACTTCACGTCCTCCTAGACCTGCCAGACCTCCCCCTCCCATGCCACGCAGACCTGCAGCCTCACCAAGTAGGAACAGCCTGTGATATTAAGCATTTTACAGTTCCCCTGTCTCTAATTTTGATACACCTTTGATATGCATGGTCTTCTGCACTGACTGCAGTCAGTCGGATACAAATATGTAACTTAATTTAGACTCCCGAACGTCCTTTCTATCAATCTTCCCTGCAGCCTCTTCCAGTAGTTCATCCCCTAGTGAGCTGAGTGAAGCCCCGGCTTCCGATGGCTCCTCTCAAGCATCAGCAAGCGGGTGTTCAGACCACCCGGAAGAATCAGGTTCAGGAGCAGCAACAGCTGTGTCCTCACAGACGGCAAGTGGCCCCAAACCAGGCGCTGCTACCTCAGCAGCTCCACCAGCTCCAGCAGCTCCAGCAGCAACAGCTCCCAGAATCGCTCCCATGAACAATGTCCCTTTGCCACCAGGGTAAAGACTAAATCATTACACGTTTATATCCACAAGCCCTTACTCTTGTTTTCTGGAAAGATGAAAACATTATTTCAGCTTTAGCTGTATTTACATTATGTGTCTCTTGGTCTTATAGATAATTTTAGTTTCTTAGTGCTCTGTTCGATACTTTTTATATTTATTTTTGCAGGTGGGAGCAAAGAGTAGATCAGAATGGACGGGTGTATTACGTGGACCACATTGAGAAAAGGACAACCTGGGACAGGCCTGAGCCCCTGCCAGCAGGGTAACAATAAAAGAAAAAACAAATCAACAAACAGAAAAAAACCCAACTCTGACAATACTATGTTGAATTACAGTGAGCCTACACTCTGAGCAAAGACCTATTAATTAACTGACACTTAAAAATACTCTAATTATGCAGTTTATTTCTTCATTTTTTTATTTGAACTAGTGAATTTCTTTCTTAGGAGGGGCACAGTGTACAAGTCAACTCAACATTGGTGTCTTTTTATGTGTCCTCTGCAGGTGGGAGCGAAGGGTGGATCCAATGGGCAGAGTGTATTATGTTGACCACATAACGAGAACTACTACTTGGCAGCGGCCTACGCAGGAGTCTGTGCGTAACTACGAGGAATGGCAGCACCAGCGCAGCCAGCTGCAGGGAGCAATGCAGCAGTTTAACCAGAGGTTCATTTATGGGGTGAGTTTATACTTCTTATGTAGCGGATAGATTTAACTGTATTTTTTATTAACAGGTGAGGAATTAACAAGAGCTTAGTGAATCATATAAGATTATGCATCGTCCCCTATTTTTATTCCCGGCCCAGCTCCAAGACCAGCTTGCAGCCACAGCCACCAAAGAGTTTGACCCTCTGGGACCTCTGCCACACGGCTGGGGTAAGTAGACAGACCCGAGTCTAGGCTTAGTTATTTTAAGCTATCGTGAGAAACTGCAGGGATGCCTGCGATAGTAACACATAGCAGTGGGTTCACACTTATGGGGGGAAATGTGCTTTATTCCAGAGAAGAGAACAGACACAAACGGCAGAGTGTATTTTGTACATCACCCAACTCGGACAACCCAGTGGGAGGACCCAAGGACACAAGGGTGAGCATATGTCATGCTAATTGTGTACTTACACTATTTGTTTTTTATATTACTCAGTTGAAGTTGCCAATATTAATCCGCACAGCTGCACTTACCAGTGACAGGCTCTTAAAATATCATTTTGACCTAACCTGTTAACTTTGGATGATGGCAGGAACATCTCATGCAGTAACACTGTGATAGATTTAGAGTCTGTAAAGTTTGAATAGACTTAAGGATATCACACCTAACTGTTGAAATTACTAACACTCAGAGTAATGAAGTCTGGACTAATTATGTGATTGTATTTACATTTAACGACCTATATATATATATATTTTTTTTTTGCTTTATTCAGACTCCTGAATGACAAGCCCCTGCCAGAGGGTTGGGAGATGAGGTTCACTGTCGATGGTATTCCTTATTTTGTTGATCACAACAGGAGAACAACAACCTATATTGACCCCCGCACAGGGAAATCCTCACTGTAAGTTTATTTTTCTTTGAAATGGTTGAGAAATTAATAAAGCTGTTAGAGCAGAGCAGAATTCAGTTTGTCCTGGTCCTTGTTTCTTCTGCTGGTTGACTTATTTCAGTGTCATTATAGAACTGTTTAGTGTTAATAATTTTAAATAAATAAATATTTTTTCTTAAAAAACAAACAAACATTTGCTACACATGTGCGCATTGTCCCAATTTACCTTTTCATTTGAGAGAGTTAATTAATGTGTTTATTTCCACAGTGAAAATGGCCCACAGATAACCTACGTCAGGGACTTCAAAGCCAAAGTGCAATACTTCAGATTCTGGTGTCAGGTATGGGATTTCCTAATTGCTGAACATAAACACAATTTTATTTTATTTACTGTGTCTGTGCTTCTTAAATTTAAAAATGGAATGCTTGTGCAGGTGAACCAAGTGGCGCAGTTTGGGTCGTCTGGAATTCAATTAATTGTGTACATTTATTGTGTTCTTCACACTTAGCAATTGTCAATGCCTCAGCATATTAAGATCACCGTCTCCCGGAAAACCTTGTTTGAAGACTCGTTTCAACAGGTAAATAATATCCTAAGGTGTTAATATCCTTTCCTTTCCTGTGTGGTTTTACCGGCTCCACTGTGTTTCACACCATGTCACTGCATGTTGCAAAACTGATTTAATTCTTGGTTTGCTTTCAAAGATCATGAGTTTTCATCCTCAAGATTTGAGAAGACGATTGTGGATCATTTTCCCAGGAGAAGAGGGCTTGGACTACGGAGGTGTAGCCAGGTACTTTAAGTTTTTTTTTTTTCAGGTGTGTCCTGTTCTATGACTAGTAAGGTTTACAATGTTCTCACTCATGTATATCTTTTGTCAGCACCCACCCATCTCTGACGAAGCACAAAGCCTGTTGTTATAACAGCTTGAGATGTATCATTATATTCCTGAACATCAAGATTTTTTATCTCTCATTAACCTGTATGAGGGCTTGTATTTAACTCTTGCTTTGTCATCTGTCGTTTTCTTTTCAGGGAATGGTTCTTCTTGCTTTCTCATGAAGTACTCAATCCCATGTACTGTTTGTTTGAGTATGCTGGCAAGGATAATTACTGCCTTCAGATCAACCCTGCTTCATACATCAACCCTGATCACCTCAAGTACTTCAAGTTTATAGGACGCTTCATTGCCATGGTAACTCTATGTCCTTGAACAATTCAGAGTTATAATGACTACCATCCAGTAATGATATGATTTTACCTATATAAATGCATTCACCGGTTTATTATTATATCTGTTTCCTCACTTGTTTTATCTACATAATTTCTTTATTTGTCCGCTTTGTTTTTTATTAGGCCCTGTTCCACGGCAAATTCATCGACACAGGTTTCTCGCTGCCCTTCTACAAGCGTATTCTGAACAAACCCCTCGCTCTTAAAGACCTGGAGTCCATTGATCCAGAATTTTATAATTCTCTCATTTGGATGAAGTAGGTAGCTTACAGACATGTGTGAGATGGGCAGGGCTTAGGCCTTAGGAAACTGTCTGAACTGGCATTCATTGTGATGCTCCCTTGTTTATTTATATAGAAATGTACAACTTTGAAATACCAGTTTATGGTTTTTGACCAACCTAAATGTTTGTTTAGACTTATTTGGACACACATTTTTTGTTTTCTTGAGTTAATATTTTATAAATTAATTTGATACAAATTGATGGGATAATGTTTTTGTGATTGTCACCATTATGGTTTCATGTAGACATAAACAAAAGAAGCAGAATTTTCTTCAGGATTTTACATGGCTGTCTGTATATTGAAAAAAGTCATCATCATCATTTGATACATACATGGATTACAGTGGAAAAAAAGATAATCGTATCAATTAACCCAAACTATTTCTGGAGAAGTCAGTATGATATATAACCAGTCACACACATGAAAAGCTGACTGCTGCTTATTTTTTCATGTACCTGACACATGTATTCCTTATAACTGTGAGTGTTGAGTCAACCACACCACATGAAATCTTCTGCAAACTCACATGTATATTAATAATGTCTTAATAATAACGGTGACTGTTTGTGAATTGTAGGGATAATAATATAGAGGAGTGTGGTCTGGAGATGTTCTTCTCAGTTGACAAGGAGATCCTTGGTGAGGTCACCACTCATGAGCTAAAACCAGACGGAGGGAATATCCAAGTAACTGAGGAAAATAAGGAAGAATACATCAGGTACTGTTGTCTCCTCTGCTGCTTGTGCTTGTCACTATTGATGGGTTTTTTTTCACTATGTTTACATCCCCAGAAAAACGTCTGAAATTGAACACAACACTAGCTCAATACTATAGTCTTTGCTATGCAAGGACACTATTCAAACCGATTACAAACTGTAGTAGTTGCATACATTCTTTGAGGATTTACTTTACTTAACCTACTTAAATGTTCCTTTATTGGATTGTCGTCGTGTGTATGCAGGTTGGTGGCAGAGTGGAGGTTGTCCAGAGGTGTGGAGGAGCAAACACAAGCCTTCTTTGAGGGCTTCAATGAAGTTCTTCCCCAGCAGTACCTTCAGTACTTTGATGCTAAGGAATTAGAGGTACAGATTATAATAGAAATTTTGTGTTTAAGGTTTTTCTGTTAGTTCCTTTACATCTCATTTGTTTAACCTTTACTATAACGACCTTTTGTATGTCTGAATCATCCATTTAAGAAAATAAAAAAACATAAACTTAATGGTATAAAAAACATTTTCTAAACACAGAAACCCACATTGTGTTTTTCTTCAACGTGCTCTCACAAATGTTGTTTAAACATTGGCTCACTACAGAAATGTAATGATTGAGAAATTCAGCTCTGGCACTTGGCTCCCCAGAGTGGATAGTGATCTGTGACAGGATGGGGTCACTCTTTTTACTCCTCTCATCCAGGACACGGAGGCATAGAAACGCATAATAAAAAAGGAGTGAAATGGCCATTTCATATTTCATTGTCTTGGGTTCAGATGGTGCTGGAAGTAAATGAATAAGCTGATTTTACTCCAAAGTCTTATTTGTTTTTGCAACTAAATCGTCCACTGTGGTGTTTCCTCCTGTTCTGTGCTCACTTTGCTGTGTTTATTACTAAACCTTTCTGTAACTTACGCTCAACATTCTGTCTATTGTAAATGAGACAGTATGATTAGGGTAAATGAATAAAATCATTGACTATCTTGGGACTTTAAACTGGAGTAAAAATATTAGATTTATTGTTCACAACCTGTTGTGCCCCCCTTTGATCTGCAGGTGATGCTTTGTGGGATGCAGGAGATTGACCTGGTGGACTGGCAGAGAAACACGATCTATAGACATTACGCCCGGAGTAGCAAGCAAATCCTTTGGTTCTGGCAGGTTTGTCTTTTTTTTTTTGCTTCTTCCTCCCAATAGTTGTTTTTTTATGTTACAGGCTCCTCCCAGACTGATTTTTTTTTATCTAAGCGCTGCAGCAGCTGTTTTAGTTGTGGGCAGCAGGGAAGTAGTGTTCAGATGGTTGATCAGACAAACCAGGCAGGTTTGTTTGATTGTAAAAATGTAGCATGTGATTTGCTGCTTGCTTGTAGAAAAGTCTTCAACGGAGTAACAGCACTGGCTACAAGTTATTCCGGAGAATTCTGTGTTTCAACAAATGCTGAATGCACCAGTCCATAAAGTCAGTACATGTTTATTTAACACGGAGGACAATGTGTAATAATAGACTTGTCGCACATTTTCTTCCGTGTTGCATTGTCCACTGATAGGCAAGACTTTTGAAGGGCTTAAGATCCAGCTTAGGCAATGCTGCGAAAAACACATACTGCAGTAACTGATGAGAGCTAGTATTTAAGCAAAGTGTGCTTACGTTCATGTAATAAATATTCTCTGTCCTTCAAAACTAAACCATGTCTACAACTACAATCAGAATCGCTATTATTTGTTGTTACACACAGCATTTATTTATTTATTTATTTTTTTATTTTTTTATTTTTTTGTTCCACGAAGTCGATGCTTACAACTTTTTAATCTCGACTGATAATTATAACGGAGCATATTATTGTGAGATTAAAAATAAAATAAAACTGCAGTCACATGATCTCTTGGCAGTTTGTGAAGGAGATGGATAATGAGAAGAGGATGAGGCTCCTGCAGTTTGTAACTGGAACCTGCCGGCTTCCTGTGGGTGGCTTCGCTGACTTGATGGGTATGCAAAGTGACCAGACACGTACACACTGCCGTGATAACAGAGTCTCTTTCAAGTGTAATTTTCTTTGTCTCTTATGAATATAGGAAGCAATGGTCCACAGAAGTTTTGCATCGAGAAAGTGGGCAAAGAAAACTGGCTTCCAAGAAGCCACACATGGTAAGGTCTTTTTTCTTTTCTTTTGTTACAAACCCTACTCCATAATACTACATATATTATTTAATTTTTACTGGCCCAGTCTGTAGTTTTAGGCCTGAGATATGAAGACTTGTAATACTGAACTCCCTCCTATCAGCCAGTTAAAGCCTCAGAGGACAGGAATGATGGATAAATATCATAGACCAGTAGCATGATTAAGGAATGATTCAGAGTCCTCTTATCCGGGAATCTGCCTGCCTCCTGTATCCCTACTGGGAGCTGGAGTGGGGCCTTTTACTGACATTTCTACCTTATGTTCTCCCCCCAGAAGTCCCAAATAGTGTCTAAATTAGAGTCTGAGTTAAGACTTTTGTTAAGATGATTGTCAACAAACTGTCCTTCCCTGCATGATTGCTTATAACTCAGTGTCATAATCTGAGAACAGATGTACATTAAAGTGAACAGTTGAAATTACTTAAAGCAGAAATAATTCTGTACATGTAAATCAAAGTATTACTCGCATATAAATCTAGAGGATTTATATTAAGGACCATTTTGTCTCTCTTGTCTCCATTCAGCTTTAATCGTCTGGATCTCCCTCCATATAAGAGCTATGAGCAGCTGAAGGAGAAACTCATTTTTGCCATAGAGGAGACAGAAGGATTTGGACAGGAATAATAGAACAAGAGCAAGACCTGTGGAAAGGAACAGATCCGCGGTGGGCTTGGATTAGCTGCATCCATCGTAGAAAAACAGCTTATTTCTCCCTGCAGCACTGAGAGGTTTATAACCTGGTAGAGATCATCCGTCTCAATAGCATATTTGTGAAAAAATTCGAAGCTGTTTAGTCGTATGATTCATATGTTTCTTCTATGGAACTGTGAGTCCGCTCCCTGTTTCACCTCTCACCCTTATGATCCTGCCTAATCCACCTGCTCTCGCTTTGATTCACTCAATACTCACTGGGGACAAAGAGACGCCTTTTTCTCACTCTGTCGTGTCTGCACCTGCTCTCTGTTTGGCAAGGGCAGCCTCTGCACACGCAACTGTGATTCTTTGCAGTAATCATTTCACCAGAACCAACTCGTTGGGTCTATGCACCAAAATAGCGTGCAAGGACAGAACAGTGTTTGCATTTTTACTTTAAATATGACTATTAATAACTAAAAACAACATCTGAGTACTTTGTGATTTTGGGTCGTAGAGACTTTTTATCTTTCTGTTCATGAAAGGATAAATTAATGGAGTTTTTTTCTCTAATAGCTGACTGTACTGACTCCTAAAGCACATGCAGCTTTTTTAATTAACTTCGATCGGTGTGATTATGCTAACTGCAATAATACTTTCTCTTGTTTTCAGGTTTTTGCCTAACTTTTATTCTGAGTTCAAACATTATACTAGTTTGCACATGGTTATGTAAGATTATTGCGATTGTTCTTAAGAAAGGCTATTTTTATGTGCAATAGTTTTGTAGAGAAGACCTGCCCACGATAGAATCAAACGGTAATTAAGTTTGATTTGTTTTTCAGACATAGTGTTCATTATTGATTTAGATTTCACCATGAACTAGAGAGAATTTAAATACGTTCAAGTGTATTGGATGCCACTTGTTTGGAAGTAATTTGACTGGACAAATGTTGCCTTCACATGGCAGTCCCTGCTGTAAATAACAGCTCATGAGGCTATGTGTGGTCACCTTATTTTCACACACAGAGACAGAAACTGTGAAGGTTTTTCTTGATGATTATAAGCTGTTTACTGACGACCTGGAAGTTGAGATGTAATGTGTTTTAAGAGAGCGAAGGTTTGTTATATAATGACTCCTACCGAATGATTGTAAAGAGGGGTGATTAATAAGAGAAACTGCAGTCCACACAGTGGCTCTGAGAGCGCAAATCATTTTAAACAACTTAAAGAGCTAGTGATGTGTTTTAGTTTGTTGTGTTGAGCTCCTAAGACTGTATATCCAACATGAACCATGAGGAGGTAGAATCATAAAGATTTAGTTTTTTTAAATGAAAAATCACATTCATGTAAATACACTTCTGTAAGTATTAAAAGAAAAAGATATTTCAGTACTCGTAGATTATCCCGGCAGCGGAGCCCTTTTAGTTGCAAGCTAGAATGGGACGCCTTGAAGGTTTGAATCAAAATGAGACCAGGGGGCCCTAGTTTTATGGGGTGTGAGGTTTTCAGATTTCTATATTGGGCTTCCTGTCCTCCAAAGATTCTGTTGACTTTAAACTTTTTATTTTTGTCCCACGTACGGAGAATAACAATAGAACCAAACTCTTCATGGAATTTCAGCAGTGCATCTGTAAGCCTTTTAGCAGAAGTCTCAAAATGTTCCATAGTGAAGGCTTTTTCAGTCAAAGTCTGTGCATAGTTTTTATTCCACCATCTGATAACACGTCAGCACACCCCACACTCAATCTGATGCAGTTTAGTCCAGTTGTGGAGAGTATTTGGCATTTAAAACAAAAAAGAGCTGCTAAGCACTGAGGATGATTCTGAATTAGGATTTTGTTCGATTATGAAGCATTGAGAGCTTCATAATTGAAACAAAAATCAGTTTCTCCAGCTGATAAAGCGGCCGTAGGGTTTTTCCAATTTTCTCCAAGTAAATTATACTCTGATCTAATACTTTTGGACCACATATTAAAAAGACTATCAAAATTCCAGGTTTGAATCAACCCTATTTCCTCCATTTGTTGTTTGCTTAAAAATGGTAACAGGAAATTACTTAAAAGCAGGTAATGATGTGTGTATTATACAGAGAAAAAAAAACTTTTTCCAAAAACTTGAAGGAGCGAAAGTCTCAGAACATGTGTAGAAATATGAGAACTGTACTTCTGTACAATGTTTGACATAAACTACAAACTTTACATACAAATTGATTTTCAGAATCTACTGTGACTGGATCATTGGACTTCACTCAGCTGAAGGGGGTTTGATGTCAACACGCCTATTGGCAAAACTGAATTGTATACACAGTAGTGTTACTGTGTACCTGTTGGGCTTCTTGTTGCTGAATATAATCAGATCAGAATATATTCAAATAACTCACAGCTTAAGTGTTGATCGCTGTGCTTGGCCTGTGTGGTGTAGAGTTTGTGTTCCACGTTACTGAAAGCAGCAAACTTTCAGCAATTTCCCTTTAATTCGCTCTTCAAAAGAAGAAAAAGAACAGATTTTTAGAATTCACCTGTGACTCTGTTTCTATAATGCCAGTAAAGTTAATACATCAGAAGATTCCGGTCGCTCCTGCTGGCCTTATTTCCTCTTCTCTGAATGACAGCTCGCTCACTTCACAATTTACTGCTCCCGTCGCTCGCATCTCTGTCCTACGCTTCAGATCACCTCACACTTATTCCCCTGCTGGTGGTAAATTCAGTTTTAAAGCACAACAAATAATTGATTGTGTATCTACTGGTGTGATGATTTATTAAGAGTATGAAATGAACCAATGTTGACTGTTAAGTATTTTTACAGGTTGCAATGAACTAACAGCACATTTACACAGAAGCTGGTTGAATTACCCACCTCCATTCTCAAAACCACTATTTTCCTTAAAAATATATTGAATTATGCAAAAAGTATTTTAGTTTTACTGATGAATTGCAGCTCATTGTTTATAGTGTAATCACTGTTTTATTTTTATTTTTTCCAAACTACTTTTTGAAGTCTGTGGGTGAATACTATTTATTTGGATTAGTCTCATGTAACAGTGGTCTGGATTGATTAAGACAGAAAACAATAATAAAATGTGGAGATTATTCAAAGTGTTGTATTCATTCTTTCACAGTTGTGCCACAGCGTTAATACAAGTGAGTTGTTTTTTTTCTCTGAACAAATAATGCATGCATTCTTCAAGATATTCCTAACTTTCTATGGCAGCATTTTGACTTTTGTTTCACATCTTAAGAGTCTGACCAAAGCATTCTCTTCTGAAATATTGACACCACCTGTAAATCCTTAAATATTATATTAAATATTATTATAACTCAGAAAGTAGTCTACCCAGGTGTGGCGTGCAAAGAGAAGGGCATGCTCAATATTTATAGCCTGGTTTATTAAAGATGTTGTCTTGGCCTGCTCTGATAATTTACTGTATTAATGGTGGAATGCATGAAGATCATATGATTAACTGACACAAAATGTGTTTGCATATTGTCACATATGTTTTGCTTATTGGAGTAATCACAAAGTTTGGACAGGAAATGGGGGCTTTAACTGACCTGCAGCTACTACTGGCCGGTTTGAGACAGGCCGCGTCTTCGCCATTTAATGTTAAAAATCTACTCTATTGAATACTTTGTATTGCTTACTTATTCCGAGTTTTGAGTGGTGTTAAAGACGGAAGAACAAATTTACCATTTTCTTTAGAGCTACACAGGAACCTTTCTAATGGCGCAGAGAGTCGGTGCGTTTTGACTGTAACACATCCCCCCGTTCGTTGGCGTCCTCTCGGTTCCATTGACAGACATGGCAGGACCTGACCTGATAAGAACTCTCCTGTACACAGTCAATAACCTTTTGCAACAGGAGAAATACAAAGCAGCCTTAGCAGTTGTTAAAGGATTCCGAAACGGAGCTGTGTAAGAAAACACTTTATTTAAGAGAGTTAGCTTAGCTGGGCTAATTAGCTGGTAGTTTATCTCTGTGGTTAAATTTGCAAGTAGTTGTTGGGAAATAAACTGTAGCAGTGCTGGATTTTTTTTAACTTGACATGCTGAGTTTTGCAGACCCCGTTATAGCTGCAGTAAACTGAATATGCTAATAAAGATAATTGTCTCTTTTTACCGTGCTTTAATCCAGTTATGTCTGGAGAAGTTCTGACTAAAAAATGTCTATTTCTTAGATATGGAGCCAAGATCAGAGCACCACATGCCCTGGTTATGACATTTCTGTTTAGAAGCGGAAGGTAATTCATCTAACTATATGGCGTTTTTAATTTCCCTGTGACCACTCACACTATGTTTTTATTAACAGTTTGTTGTCGTTCTTATTAGTGTGAGAGATAAACTCAGAGCCATTTTGAAGGCCACCTACACACACTCTCGGAATCTGGCATACTTTGTGTTCACATACAAAGGACTTCAAGCCTTACAGCAGAGGATCCAAGGCAAAACCTTACAGCAGCACTCTTTTCTGGCCGCTTGTGTTGGAGGATGGTTAGTCTTTGGAGAGAACAACAACATTAATAGTCAGGTACAGACCATTATTCACCCTCACTTTCTTATTGATTGTTGAATTTTGAACACAGTCCGTTCCTTATTATTCCAGATCAATATGTACCTGCTATCCAGAATCCTGTTCGCTTTGTCCCGGCTGGCTGTGGAGAAAGGATTTATCCCTGCACCCAAACAAGACCCCTTCCCACTCTTTGCTACAATTGTTTGGGGTGTTGTCCTGTGGCTGTTTGAGTATTACCCGCACACTCTCCAGCCATCACTGCAGTCCTCCATGAACTACCTCTACCATGACAGCAATGTGTGGCATGACATCTCAGATTTCCTCATTTATAATAAACCAAGTGCTCAGAAATGAAGCTTTAAACTTTTTAATCTAAATGTTCTCTTTGTAACGAATGAATGATGAATTCTTTTCGATTTTATTTTTATAATGATTCTGAATCCTATATAATGTCATATTTTTTGTGGGATCATTGCGCTGTATATATTTTTTCTGTTTTAATTGATAGACCTAGTTATTTACGTCTCAGATTTTCCATTTTCCATCTAAAGAGCACATTCGAAGTGTAAAATTTCTGATTGAAAATACAATATGCATGTATCCTGTATTTCAGTCACACATTTATCTATTTATGATTACAAAGAATTGTTTGTTTCTGTTGACCAAATGTCAAATTTGTAGTATTATATTCAGCTGAGGGGGTTGAAAAATCTAAATTCCACCAATCTTTGCTTTAGGAGAGTAAAAAGTAATCAAAATCAGTGGCAGCTGTCATGGAAGTGGCCGTTCTGTTCTGTGATTCTTATTCAGTGTCATCATTATAATATTAATTCAACACACAGTCATTCAAATTCAGATATGAGAGGGAAAACTAATTTTTGTTAGAGAATGAAAAAAAAAAAAACAGAATATTCAAGAATACTCAAGTAGAGAACTCAAGAGTTGGCTTTAAAGAGCCTGGAAAAGTTTAAGTTTCCTTCCTGCAAAACAATGCCGGTGTTTAGATGGTGAACACTATTTAATCCCTTCAGATCTTTGAAGATTGATTGGTCCATAACTCACTCTACTGTGGGCAGTACTAGGAGTGTGTGTTTGTCAAAGCATTCATTAATTCATATTAAGTGCCTGAAGGTGTGTCATTATCGTGATAATTCTAATAATTGTTTAATAAAATGCTTCTTCAGTCCAACCTGTTTCCACGTTTGTTCTTCGAAAGTCTGACTCATTATTTCGGTATCTCTCCACTGTTAAGGGGAACACCAACGCCTAAATAGTGTAATTGTGAAATATCTATAAGAAATCCGCTGTGGGCTGTTGTAGTTCAGGAGGAAGTGACATCATGAACCACTTGGAAAAAAGTATGACAACAAAAGCATTTGGAGTTAATAGGTACACTATAGAGCACAACATATTTACAATTTATTAAACATTTGCATTTATGCGAAAAATTAAGCTTATCAGTATGCAAAATGTCAGATTTATACATCAGGATAGAATTCTGACAAACAAGCTCATTCCAAAAAATACAGAATCCACTATTTTAAATTGCCCAGTCTTCCCAAAAATGGTTGTCAGTATGTTTCTCTCTAGTACAATGCCTACTGCAATGCTTAGAAATGATTTCAAACTGAACTGTTGGAGTCCATTTAGGCTGGACAGACCAAAAGGCTGGACAGACCAAAAGGAGACAATTACATGGTCAGGTACAATTTATGTTTTACTTCTAATGTAAAGCTCTATAAGTCAATGGCATTTCCTTTTTCTATATTGTTGTATATTTTCGGTTTTCTATTCTTATACTTCATGATAACCACACAAAAACATGAAAAGGGGCTCTAACTTAGAGATAAGTGACTTTTATCTTTAAGATGTTCTTACCGCCATGTCTCTTGATAATCCACACGTACCAAACGCAAACAGTTTTTCATTTCTGCCACGTTGTTAGATTGTAGATGCACCTGTGTAGCTGCATCTGGCCGTGGTTGCATGACAACAAAATTATTTGGTAATAAATCAATTTTAAAAGAAAGTGTCTCACCTGCAGGGACAGCCCTGAGGCCCGAAAGCTTTTCATGATCTAAATGAGCGATTGCGAATGCTGAAATGTCCCTGTTCCCACCATTTGCTGCCAAATGTAACTTATAAGATCACATCTGTTCAGAAGTTGTGGATCTGGTCTGTCTGTGAATGGTAAATCCTTACAATTAAACAGATGTAAAGCTAGAAAGAAAATGAATCATAACCAGCAGTTACATCTTAGCTAAACCAATATACCAAATATATTTCACCTCATAATATAAAACTCAAAAACATCAATTTCGCCCAGTAGGCCCAGTCTTTAATTTTAGTTGTCCAAACATTTCCTTTGTGGATCACAAGCTTTCCAATGAAGTGGTGGCTGTTGCACAATGTAGTCAACAGGCATGTTTTTAATATGAAGGGAAACGACCAAAGCTGTGTTGTGCCAATGCAGTATAGGTCTAATAGTAGTGAAACTCTTTTAAGTACAGAGACCGCCCCAGGTCACATGTCTTTTTTTTTTTGTCATTTTGTGTTCCCACGCAACTTTGCGTGTGATCGCGATACGGTTTGCTCCCCATTGACATTCAGGATCTTCAGCCCACTCGATAGTTTGCGTCAGAGTGGACGCACCCACGGAGCACCCACTCCGTCTGGAGCTGTTTCCAAGGTTTTATTTTGAGATCGGTCTGCAATATAAAGATATTCACACTGCTGGGAACGCAAAAGTATTGCAAGGGCACGCGAAAAAGAATCTAACTGGTTGGCTACGTTTTTAATTCAGTCAACTTTACCGGAAAAATATCGGTTTCTAATAAATATGCCTAAAGCAGAGCAGAGTGCAAATGAGAGAACATACCGGAAAAGTTAAAGAATGTTGTCCATGAAAAACAAACATTGTTATACACTATCATGTTCACTGATAACAGTAAATACAACAGCTCTCCTCACAGATTTCTCATATGTGCTTTTTTTGTAGCAAGATTTTTTTTTAACCCTTTAAAGCCTGATCCAAGAATAAAACAAAACAGAAAATTACTTTTTTTTTTGGTTTGAAGCCTTTATTTGGCCTTTTAACAAAATATGTAAAAATATTAATATTAATGATTTATTACTATGGGATAAGTCAAGATTATTTTTCGTGTAGTCTTCTGCCCCCTGTTATCAGGTATTTCTGATTGTGTACAATAGGATTTTGAGCAAAGTTTTTACCATTAAATTATGCAAAAGGTGTCAGACGCAAAACATTTCAGAAACTGTAAGTATAAAATATGATACATTTGGCATTATAGGGTTAATAAAGCTTTTTTTTTTCTTTTTTGGGAATTTGATTACTCATCTGAACCTTAATGCTTGACGGATGCCTCACCCACTTTATGGGCGGAGGCAGGGGTTGAAATAAAATATGAAGTTGAGTGCTGGAGAAAGTATTTCTGTGACACAGAGGACAGACAACTGAAAGGTGAGCCTTGTGTCAACAAAGAATGCTGTTCCCCCAAGTTTGTTGGTTTATGTCTTTCAACTTATATTGTTAGGGGAATATTTTGCCTTCTGAATTTTGAATGTATTTGATGTTACATTTTTGTCAACTTAATTTTTCCGTCTTGCAGACATGAGTGTGCAAAATGTCAGCCTGGAACTATCTGAAAACCTGGAGAGACACAGGACAGTGGGCTTCAGCAGTTCCAAAGCCCTGGTGGTGCGGAGAGGAGATCCGTTCAGGATCAGCTTGCAGATGGCGGGACAACCCTTCAACCCCAGGACTGACTCGCTGAGGATCAAAGTCATGCTTGGTAGTCTGAACATAGATTTAAAAAATAAAAATATTGATGACTATGTGGAGCAAACCTTTCCTTGAATCCAGTCAAAACTAACCTTTTTTTCCGCCTCAGGTCAGCTTTCCGCGATGATGCCAGTCACTTTCTCGAGGACGGCTTCTTCCTCAAGCTGGCACGCATATATGGACCCAAAGGGTTTAAACCCTCTGAAACCCTCCATCTTTATTTGCCCTCCTGCCTATGCCTCTGTGGGCTCTTACAGGTTTCAGCTGTATCTGCTCACGCAGGGTGTCCAGAGCGGTCAAGCATTTGGAAAATTCATCCTGCTCTTCAACCCCTGGTGCCCTGGTGAGAAGAAATAATGGATTGTTATTCTATATTATAATTATATTGCCTTTCAATCGGCCAAGCAAGGTTCTCTCACCTATCCACACTTTTTTTTTATTAACACATAAACAACTTTTCGGTGTAAGCCATATTAAAGTTCTTTGACACACAGAGTTAATCATGTACACAAATGAGCAGCCGGGGGACAATGTGGGGCTTGATATCTTTTCCAAAGTAGGGCCACTAACCCATAACAGCTGCTCCTCCATCTCAGCTTCAGCTGCACCACATAGCTTTTCCAATTTAATATTGTTTTCCAATTTTTGTGAAAATATACCAAATCACATCTTAGTATGTGAGCCCAGTGAAGCTAATTGAACTTTATCTTTTTTTCTTTCAGAGGATGCAGTATATGTTCCATTTGAGGATCAGAGAGAAGAATACGTCCAGAGCGACTCTGGGTTGCTGTTTATGGGGACAGCTAAGAACCTGGTACCAAGACCGTGGTCCTTTGATCAGGTATGTCCAAATTTGTTTTCTTTAGCACTAATCATGTTCTGACTCTAAGACACTAAAATGACAATAGATACATTTTACTCCCAATGTCTTTTTATAAAGTTTAAATAATAATTAGACTAACTGAGAGATAAATGGTCAACAGATGCTCTGATAGAAAATGAATCCAAAACCTTTACATATAGTAATATAAAATGGGACCTCCTAAATCTAGCTTCTAACTAAGAATTTGCCATTAAAGAAAAGTAAGACACAAGTTTAACAGAACTGGAACACACTTCACAAATCATATTTCTGTTAGTTCCCTAACCTTTCGTTCTTTTCCTGTAAAGTATGAGCCTGGTGTCCTGGAAGCATGTCTGAATATGCTACAAGTCAGCCCTTACCACCAAAGAAACAGAAAAATTGACTACTTCAAACGAAATAGCCCAGTCTACATCGGCAGGGTGGTTTCTGCCATGGTGAGTGCGATTAGACTTTGAGAAATAACACAACATTTACACAAACATCACGGTGGGAACACATTTCTTGAATAAGACACTTCCCTCGTGTGCCTTCTGTAATGACGCAAATGCCATAACCTTAAATTAAAAGCAAGGTGTGACTTGCACACATTCCTCTGCATATCATAAAGAAAAACATGTTCCATCTGCGTCCACATGCAAACACAATGTGATTATAACTGTCAAACCATCTGTCAAGATAGCAATTTAACTGTCACTGACTCAAAATCTTGCCAGTACAGTATGTCATCTGGGTTGATTGCAGAGCTGATTTGGAAATTTCCATTTGCTTTTTTTTTTTCTTCCCCCACTTCAGATTAACTGTGAGGACGATCGTGGCGTGCTGAAAGGGAACTGGTCAGGTGAATTCAAACAAGGTGTCCATCCCTCCAGCTGGACAGGGAGCGGTGACATCCTGAAACAGTGGGTCCAGTCTGGTTACAACCCGGTCAAATATGGGCAGTGCTGGGTGTTTGCAGCTGTCATGTGCACAGGTAACTTTTTTTTTTTTTACAGGTTATACCAAACTTTCAGGGAATCAAATCTTTCATAAACAATACCAACCATGTACCTTGTCCTTTATCCAACTTTTACTTTTTCTTAGACAAATACCACCTCAGCGCTAAAGCGAGATTCAGGTCCTTCCTGTCTTGCATCAACACTGACTTGTTATGTTCGTGACACAGTGTTCAGAATTGTTGACCATTCTAAAAATGTTTTTCTTTGTTGTGATTGCGTCTCTCAGTTATGCGAGTTCTTGGCATCCCTTGCCGTGTTGTCACAAACTTCAACTCAGCTCATGACACCAATGCCAACCTGGTGATTGAGGAGTATTACAGCGAGACGGGGAAGAAGCTGAACTTCACCAAAGACAGCATATGGTCAGTGATGATCAGTACCTGAGACGTTTGAAAGGAGTTTCTGAACTGCTCATTTCATGTCCATTCAATAACACAGAATTTGCTCCACACTTAACAGGAACTTTCACGTGTGGGTTGAATGCTGGATGACTCGCAGAGATCTGGGACCTGAGATGGATGGATGGCAGGTCCTCGACCCGACCCCTCAAGAGCGGAGTGGAGGTGCGTCAGAAGTGCGTTTTTATGGATTTTTTAAACGTATTCTTTCATTCACGTGTAACCTCCTGTCCTCTTATGACCGTAGGAGTGTACTGCTGTGGCCCTGCTCCTGTCAAAGCCATTAAGAGTCAGCGCATTGACTTGCTTTATGACGTCCCGTTTGTCTACGCTGCGGTCAACGCCGACGTACACACGGTCATCGTGGAACAGGGTCAGATCCTCGCCATCAGCAAAGACACGGAGAAGGTTGGAGCCCTCATCTGCACGAAAACCATCGGGTTCCCAAGATTGCACAACATCACGGCAGACTACAAACTCGTCAAAAGTATGACCCCCGAACAAAGAAATATATATCTGACCTTTTGCACTCAAGTGAAGTGAAATAAGCTTCATCCAGGAAAGCTGCTCACATTTTTATTCTCTTTTTTACAAAATAGGCCCAACTTCATCACTCTCATCAATGAGCTCCAGCGTTTCAGATGTCTCAACCTTAAGCAGAGGTAAGAGGTAGCATTGAAAATGTTCAATTTTTTTAAAGAACTTTTTTTTTCTCAAAACATTCACTCATTGAGGCTGATTTTTTTCACATTCAGGAGTTTCATCCAAGGGAGTCAAGATCCTCCTGATGCTAGACAAAGCCCCAGTCTCTGGGGAGCCAATCCTCTTTACAGTGAAAGTTAGGAACAATCAGAATGTAACGAAGACGATGAGAGTACATTTCAATGCTCAGGTGAAAGAATACAACCACAGCCCCTCTGACACCTTTTGGGAAAACCATGGCATCTTACAGCTAGCACCCATGGAAGGTAAATAAACCGATCTTTTAGATTCACGAATAGTATTGCTGTCAGCGTTGGGATTTGATTTGATGATTTTTTGCCTCTTCTCTTTCCAGTTAAGCTGCTGCGGCAACAGATCCTCCCTGACCAATATGAGGAAGTGGTGGGTGATGACCTGATCAATCTGGCAGTTGTCCTGGAGGATATGGCCAGTCATGAGCGGGTCCTTGCCTCAGATGAGTTCAACATTGCCAGCCCGCAGCTCACCATACAGGTAGATTACAAATACCCTGAAAACAATGTGTGAATGACCTACACAAAATGAAATGAACTTATTTTGCAGACATATTTAAGGACATGTTCTGGGTTTATTAACATGATTTTCTTTTAGGTTGCAGATGAAGACTTTATTGTGCCCCAGAAAGAGCACACTGCCATATTGGCCTTCGTCAACCCCTTCACTCATCCAGTTAGTGGAATACTGACGGTATCAGGGGCTGGGCTGATACACAGAAAGATTGAATTCAGGTAAGATTGAGGAACAAGGCAATAGGGCTTAAAATGATAAGATCAAGAGATGTTCTGGTTAGGAGTGTCACTTAATGCTACATTACAGACGAATGTGTCAGTGCTAAAGGAATGTAGGTGTGTAATGTTGCATTTTGCAAGACTGCAGGCAGCATATCCAAAAGACTGTAACTGATTATAACTTTTTTCTATCTCTGCAGGATGCCTCCCCTGCGTCCGGGAGGGAGAGTGGAGCAGCCCATTCCATTCGTCCCCACAATGGTGGGAGTGAAGATGCTGCAAGCAACTCTCTCACTTGCAAAAATCAACACCACAATAAGAGGATTTAAGATGCTCTCTGTCAAAAGTATTTAGCTAATGCCTCATATGTCCATGAATGATACAAGCAAAATGTGAATGTTATTTATTTTGTTTATTATTATTTATCGTCCATATTTATATGTTTGAGCCATGAACGTATTTTTGCTATTACCACCCTAAAACTTGAAATTGACTTAGATGAATGTTTTTTAAGTGGATTTTTATTTGATTTTTTAAAAAACTAAATAAAGAAATTAATGATTTTCCAATCATGTTGCATTTTCTTCCGAGTTTCTTCAAGTTCTTTTCAGCCCTGTAGAGGGAGATGTTTCCTCAAAGAAAATACAGGCCACTTGCACGAAATGCTTTCCACTCTTTATATTATTACCATGTAATTCACACCAAATTCACCCATCATTCTTAAGATGTCATTTAATCCTACTTGTTAGGCATGTATGAAGTTTAAGTAATTGTGCAAATTGAGACGGAACTCAACACAACTTTGCAATGCAATTAATTTATCTTTATTAATCTACTTTAACTGTCTGTCAAAACAGATTGACAATAAAGCATTATATACAAATAACAGCTAAGCTGACAGGCAGTTTAATCGGCACATGCACAACCATACCTCTTTATCTATATTACAAACAGGTTAATGGCAAACATAAAAGCAAAAAGAAAACAATGTACAACCCAGAATCCAAAGAAAGTATTCAAGCACTGGTCTATAATACAACAACATGAAGGAAACTTCTTATCAAAAACACTCTACACGAGTTTAACTTTGGTCTTAAGAAGATTAGATTTTTAAAAACCTTTTTCTATAGCCAGCTCCTACACTTTGCAATGTTCTGTTAAGTTGAACCAGTAATAAATAGCTCTTACTCTAAGGGCAAAAGACTATTTTGATAGCCCTGAACTTTAGGAGAATCCTATCTGACAATAATCTAAATGTGGTAGTGGAAGCAAAATCTTTCACACAAAAAATATCTGTCAACTTTTGTTTAAAAAAAATTGCATCAACCACAGAAAAAACAATTGAAAATCACACAGCAGAACAAGCAGTCTGAGAACAATTGGAAATGATCATCGATCCAGGTGCACTCATTGTGAACAGGGTGTAAGAATTTGCAATCAGTGCAATACTTTGTGTACAAAATGGGGTGTCAGTTATATAATTGAGATGAACTGACAAAAAAACAATGCTTTATCCATATGGTTTTATTTCTATATATACACACACACACACACACACACACACACACACACATATATATGTATATGTATATATATATAAACATATGTATATGTATTTAATACTTGTAGTACTAACCATAGTTCCCTGGGATTAGATAAGGTTTGGTCCCTTATTTTACTTTGGTCTTTTATTTCGTTCCAGGGTTTCAGGATTTATGTTGTGTGTGTCCCACTGCAGCCTCGCTTCAAACTTCTCACAGTTCATTCAACTCTGGTTTCAAATTGTCCACCTGGGTGTCAGTAAAACCAGCAACACTGCCTCTGATTCAGCTTCTACAGGGAACGTCACGCTTTGGCGGTCTCAGGGACTTCTTGTAGTTTGAGTGGAATCGCAGAACTTGATCTGTGGTACCCTCTAGAGGTAGTCCAGCTCCAGTGCATGGCTCAAAGCCTCCAGATCGGCCCGACAAGACACCCTCCAGAAGGGCATATTTTTCTAATAGAACAGACACAGCACAATGGTAGAGTTAAGAGTAACAGCGTGTCATGCAAACTTAGTCTATGACAGGTGCGTTGTGGTAGCTGTAAGCTTCTGAGAATAAATAGGAAATATGGAGTGTTTTAAAGGGGAATGTATTATGTGACAAAAAAAACATCTGGACAGCATGTTGGCTTATAGCATAAAACGCAAGTGAAAAAAAAAAGAACTCTACGAGAACGTCTGACAATTTAATATGAAGACATAAAAAACAGAGATGGCAAAAGTGGTTGCAGAAATTGAGATTGCCATGCGGTTAACTGATTAGTTGTGGTCTGTTTTTTTTGTTTTTTTTAGGAGTCAGCCATAATAAATAGACTGAATTGTACCTTTTTTGCAACGGTCTCCTCCTCAGCCCCGTCTCCTATCACCACATAGACAGCTCTGCGACCAAACCTCTGAGACACACGCTCGAAACAGCTCTCTTTTCCTGTAAAAAACAGACTTTTAAGGCTGAACTCTCGAGACTAGATTCCCTGACTGGATCAACCTAAAACCGAATAAGATTATTTTACTGATATATGTTATGTTGAAAAGAGAAAGATTGTCTCAGCTTAATTCATAGTATCATAATTTTTTAAACCCTTCTTCCTAAATGTTTTCTTACCTGTCTTGGTGGCACTGTATATGTTCTCAATTGGAAAGGCTGAACCAAGGCCGTATAGTAACACTTTGGAGAGTGCTGGGATAAGCTGAGTAGTGGTCACCAAAACATTCACACAGTTAGGTCTGGAAGAAGACAGTAAATACATTGTAATTATTTCATGAAGCTGTGTCACGCAGAGTAAAATGACTTCATCATAAAAAAACAAATTGTAAATGGGAAACAGATATAAAAACTAAATAATATCCTTTGTATATCAAATGGATATTCCCCATATTCGCAAAAAAAAAAAAAAAAGCAGTGTCAGCATGAACTGACCTCGAGTTAATGAGAGCCAGGGCTTTGAGTGCTTGAGTCAGCCACAGATCCGTCAGGACCTCCATCTCTCTTCTCAGCTGTAGCCACTCCTCCCGTTTGGGGCTGCCCAGTAAACCTGATGAATAAATGTACGGGTGTTTAGAAGTTTGTGAACACCTTCAATCCACTACATTTCTCTTTACGCACTGTGACTCAAAACAGTCCAAAACTTGGAAAAGTAGATGCAGAGAACCATTTAAAGGAAGAAGTCAAATATTTGATTAATTTTACTAAATTTTCCTTGTGCAGCACATACTGAAAAAAAATCCCACTAGCTTTTAATCAGTTCATTTTATTAAATGTTATTTCGATCAGCTTCACATCAGGGATTTTACTTACACAAATTGCCATCTTGTGCTAATTCCATAACATTAATGTAGGATTATAGTCTTGAAATGTATCTTATTTTTCTTTCACCATTTTTTAGTAGAACCCACTGGTGCTTACCTTGCTGCACGACTTAGTAACTGAGTTATGAACTAAAAATATTCAAGTTGACACATTTTTTAGCCTTATTGACATTTTTTGTGAATGCATTTTTATGTGGATTAATGAATATTTAAAGACAGAAACATCTGACATGCTCAGTATACATGGTTACTGGACTGTGAAGTGTCCAGTTGTGTCTTACCTCCCACATTATTCTTGTATGCATTGTAAATTTCCTTGACTCTGCGGTATCGGAAAGCAAGCTTCCTCATCCAGTCCACGCCTCCATGGACCCCTGACCCGAGGCACAACGAGCCTGCTCCTGCTGGGCTCTGGAAGCCATCCGACCCAAAGTTATAAGTGCTACAGGATTACAAAAGCAGGAAACAGGCAAGGTTTAGATGATATAGACTCAATACTCATCAGTAAATCCAGGATCAAGAAGATACTCAGTCTCAACAGGTATAACCCTGGATGCATTTAGTGCATTATGTTACTGTAGAACCAGTTAGGAAAAGTTATTTAGTAATTCAGAAAATTTGGGAAAATGTGCAAGTTCAAGGAAAAACGCAATAGGAAAAGAGGAAACCCTTTAAAAATGTATAATCCGTTTAATAAGTCCATGCTAGTAAAGCAAACAGTATATATACACAGTAAGAATGGGATAAATACAAAAACATATTTGACTGAAATGGGTCAAGTTCAATAAAATAAATATGTCAGAAAGTACTTTGGCTGAGTCTGGCTCTTTCACTCTTAAAAGCATGCTAAAGTTCTTAAATACATTTATGTAATAAAATGTCTGGACCGAGGGAGACAAAGAGAATGAAAAAGAGCTATTTTGATTAAAACTGAAAGCACTGGATAATCCTGTGACATTCTATATGACTGTGGAAGCTGAGAAAATAAGAGTCATGCAAGAGCTTGCATGCTTGAACACACACAGATGCACGTTAATGCACACACTCTTTGTTTCATCTGCTAGCTGTTTTCTTCCCGTGCACTAAAAACCCAGAGGGCATGTCTGGTTCACAAGCAAAGGCAGAATGGTTGGAGTTGCTCATACGAGCTCCGAGGACGAAAGGTTTACCTCAGATCCTGTCCATTGTCGTCTGATGCCACATCATCAATATGAACCTGGTCGCATTCCTGGGAAATGAAAAAGAGAGAGAAACCATATTCATGGATCTGTTTCAGAGTAAATCCCTGCACGGGCAGGCCTCTCCTCTGTTGGTTGAGCCTCAGGGAATGATAGCACAACAGAAATAGAAATTACAATGAAAGAGAAGGAGGAAGTAAGGTGTAAGCACATGGGACAGAGAGGCGCCAAAGGTAGACACTCAAGATTGTGGTGAAATTCTAGTTAAACCACACGGTAAATTTAATTAAAATGCAATTGATTTTGAACAAAACATCTTATACAAAAAAAAAAATCCCCTCAAATGGCCCACTCACATAAAGTGAGCACATTGCTCCTGTCTACTGAATGTAAAAGCAAACAACAAAACTGCAGGAAAATGATACAATACTGTTGCTCCAGTGTGTGTTTGCTACCAAAACACTGTCAGGAATGATCACGCAAATTTAAGCTGGACACACTGCATGAAAACGAATGAGAAAATAAAACAAAAACAACTGTCTTCACAGATCACTGTAGATGCTACCATTACTTCAGATTCTGAATGCACACAGGGCTCCACAGAGACCAACACTGCGTGTGCAAAACAGCCCTGGTATAACTATAACAATGAACCATGACAGTCCGACCCCTTGTATCACATTTCAGTCACACAGGCGGAGACACTACCTCATCCACCTTACATTGGAACAAAACTTATTTTACTGAGTAGACCCCTCCACCAACCACGGTGTCGTTTATCCCTGCAGGGCTGCAAAATACTGACAATATAGAGCTCATGACCTTATCTCCTGGAGGCACGTAGTGAGATATAGACAAAGCCCAACACAGTGCAAAAGAGACTGAAAAACAATGTCATATCGATTCATTTTCGAGACCTGTGTATAGAAAGAAATATGACAGAGATGCACTATACTTTGCTTTTCAATCAGAAAACAGCACTTTTTTCTTTGTTTGGTCAGGCAGTCATTGCGGTCTCTTGGAATTCCAGTCATAACACTTGTAGCCTGTGGTGTGGTTACTGACAAGATAATTGTGCCTCAAGACTTAACAGGGGTTGTCAGCCTGACGTGAAGTGCTGCTTATGAGATTTAGTCAGCCCTGACAACAAAGGACGGGATAAAAACTGCGTTTGCAAATGGCTTTGTTGGCCCCTTTCCCTTCTCTTGACTGTTCCTCCGCCCATTTGACAAATTTTCTTCTCCGATACTCAGACACACACCTACAATTACAGCACAATGTGTACTTGTTCTCGTTCTCTTTGCCCTACTTTAATCTTTTTCTTTTGTCAGAACAAGACAGAGGAATGTGGGATGAAAACCAGAAGCACTGTTCACTCACAAGAAGGTACTAAAAAGAGAGCTCTTTCTCTGTTTTGAGGAGTCATCACTTTTATGGGTTTCTTCAATATATATATATATTACATTAGCTGCACTTACTGTGGAGTACTTACTCCAGCAAAGACGTCCTTTTAATATCCTTGCAGTTACGTCCCTCCAAGAGGGAAAATTGTTCGGAAAATGCTGTAGAAAGAATATATACAGGATTTCTACACTGACTGCCACTGTGCTTAATGCCAAGTAAGAAAACAGCACCCAAATGTCAAACTCTCACTAAATTGTGGCAGGCAAGGTTTTCTGGTTATGCCAACTCAGTGCTGGATATATTCTCAGTGCTGCAGTTTTCCAGCTTACTGGAAAATGTTTCTGCTTCGATGAAAAATAATGAGATCCACTGTGCTCCGGAGCAACTATGAAGGTCCAAAAATACGACTTTTGATTGAAATAAGTTGTTATTTTTGAAAGTCCGGCGAAAGGGGAATGGTAGTCAACACAAAAAAATAATAATATCTGTAAATGTTTAAATATGAGCCTCCCCACAAGATGATCATGAAATTCTAAAATCTCACCTCCAGGTCATTGAAAAACAATCTTGAGTCGGCAAGATTGAAGATCATTTCCTCCATCCACAAGCCAAGAGACACTGCCTTTGAAGAGTCCTGATGAAGTGAAAGAAGAAAATTAAAACTCCTGATATTGCGAATAATAGTAGTTTGAATTTTTTTTTAAACCTTTTTTCAATCCTAAAAGCAGCAATGTTTTTCACTATCAGATCTTAATATGACTTAAGGATAAATATTACATACACACATTGATGGGGTTTTTGTTATGTCCACAGAAAGTTAAAAGAAAAGCTGAAGCTTCAATGAGTGACTGCAAACAGTCAAATAAGCTTTATTATCTCTTCTTACATGCTGTTTCGGAACAAAGTCATGTACTAATAGTCCAACACTTCAAGAGTAAAGCTGCAAAGTTGGCTGGGGACTTCTGAACTTGTGTTGTGGATACATGTGTCCTAATGATGACCCTCAGCAACTCTGGGCAACAAAGTGGACAATTAACATTCAGTCTACATGATTTCCTTGAATAAATAGCCACCTGGTGCACCGATGAGTAGTATGAGTACATAAAAAGTATGAAGTTAAATGGTGTAAACAGTTAAAAGTATATTTAATAACTGAGGAGCACAAATCATCAAACATATTCACCAGATCACAAAGCTGAACAAGGATCTAATCTTTCAACTTTTCCAGACACCTCATCCAGCCTCTATTCCTCTGTTAATTCTTTCTCACACGGAAAGAAAACCAAAGAACCGGGAGTTGCATTACATTGGCTTCAGTTGATCAGTGTAATGAGAACTATATAAGACCTCACAAACAGAAATACATAAATCATAATGTACCTAGCAGACAAACAGCAGGGCCATGCTGCCTCCAGACCACAATAGCAGGTGTGTGAATTTATGTGTGGTGCATTGTTTTTGAAGGAAGCACTGACAGCGAGCCAGGTAAAGCAGAGAGGTGTCAGCCAAAGGTGAGCATCTGATTAGTCAATGTGAGATGACAAGCCGAGGCTTTCTCCTGGCTCAGAATGATTATATGGGCCTGAAGACACAAGTAGGGTAAATGATGGCAATTACCAAATGCTTTCCTCCCATCTCAAAAGAAATGGTGTAAAAAAAAATAAAAAGGTAAATGAGGACAAGGGGCAAAAAGGTTCAGTAGGAGGGACGAGAAGCACATCAGGCAGAAAATGACAGGGGGGGAGGATTGAGTAAAGGATGAGGGAGGGGTTAAAGGCTTAAACAAGTTTTGTTCTGTTTGTTCACAATTAGAATAATGATCTGTAATTATCCTTCTTTTTTAACTACGACTACAAGCACACACAGACAAACAGAAGACTGAACAAAAACTCATTCTCTTTTCGGCAGAGAATTAAAAGTGGAAAAAAAATCCACAAATCCATATGCTGTTGTCTGATGGATGAGATGCAGGATGATATGATGTTGAATGAGGGATCACCCCCTCAGGTAAACGTTTGGCACATATGTTAGCCTTTTCTAAGACAGATTATGGTCACACATTTACAGAAAGATTCACACATTTATCGCTGATGAAAGTTTGATAGGACTTATTTGGTAGTTGAGCGAGTGGAAAGCAGAGCACAAAGTAGTGGTAATAAACTAATTTACAGTTATTACATGTCTGTAAAAGTAGAATGGATTAGCTAAAACCTAAGAACATAGAAATCCAAAACAAACAAACAAAAAAAAAAGTTGACATTTTGGAGCGTGAATCCATTTCTTTTCTTATTTATTGCCTTCGCTGCATGTCTAAGTTTTGATGTAAGACTCTGTGACTCTGCTCCCCTGGATTCAGCAGTAGGGTGTTCTGGTGGTGGGAGGAATTTTTGGCACATGAGTCACATTTCAACACGTCCACAACGTCTAACTCTCATTCTGGCTCTTCCTCACATTTTCTCCTCAGTCCTCCTCTGAAAGGACTGAAGAGAGAAAGAAAAAGAAACAACTGCGTGCATGGCCGGCCGGGGGGCTGAACTGATCGGCAACGCTGCTCTCAAACTCCCATCAGCCTTGTGTCAACCCACGGGGGGACCGTGAGAATTCAAAACACAAAGCCCCGGCCAAAAACAAGAAACACACCACTGTCTGCCCCTTGTCAGCTGCCTGTCTGTTGTGTAAAGGTCCCGCTGGCTGTCAATCACGCCGCAGGTTGTCAGGGTAGCTAAACAACCCCGCTGCATTATGAAAAGAAACAGGAGGGCAGTGAGGCAAAACACAGTCAGCGTGTGAAAACGCTCAGAGATGAGACCCAAAGGTCATGGAGTTATGCCGCTAATTAAATAAGCAGTTAATCGCGAAGAGGGGATTTTCCTAAAGCAGGATTTCTGTGTGGTTCTGCGTTGGCCGGGGTGGATTTTCGGCCAAAGAAACTGTGCCCATCAGCTGTTGCGAGATGGTGATTTGCAACAGAGCACATGCTTCTCACAGCAAATGACTAAAAGGGAGGGGTCACACGACCTTACCTTGCCAAATCGTGAGGAGAAAGTTCCCGTGAGGAGTGAATGGAAAATGATGATGGTTTCATCCAGATCCCAGATAAACACTCGCTGCAGTGAAATAACAGATATGTAATGTTAACCACATGCCAGCTTATGTCTTTTTTGCGTGTGCGTGTGTGTGCCGCGCGTGTGTGAGAGGGAAGGATAAATGTTATAGAAAAATACAGATAATTTCCAACATCGTGCGAGAGCGTGTTTACCTCTATATCCGAGTCCAGAGGAGGAGCGGGGTCGTTGACTCTTTTTCTTCCTCTCAGCTTGCCATCTGACCCTCTTCGCGCTGGGATCCCGTCCTCCTTACCTGGTGTAGGGGGGCTGGGTGGAGGGTGGTACTCTCCTAAAACACACGGATTTTAGAGGATTCCCATGAACAAATGTTAAGAACATCTCAGTCTCAGGCGCAATCATTCAATTCCTCGTAGTGTGACAGACAGACGGATGAGGAAAAATCTTTAGTGACTTTTTGGGAACATAGCTTCCACGTTAGAAGAAAAAAACAAACAAAAAAAAAGAAATAAAGATAGAATTAAAAAGATTACAGATGATGGAAAAAAAGTGTCTTTACCTGTATGTGACTCCGGGCTGTGATTGGGCATCATGACAGGATGCTCTGGGTGCTGATAGGTCAACGGCGCTGTGATGGCAGCTGGGCTGATGTTGCTGCTGGTTATGTAGGGACTATTGTAGTGGTGTGAATTATAATATGGAGAGTACTGGCTCTGGCTGTAGCTCGAATAGGCAGAAAACTCCTGATGACACAAACAAGAATGTCCGCTGTGCCATCGATTCACAAAAAAAATGGGAGCAAAGGCAACTGACAAATGACAAAATCTAACTAGTTTCTAAGTTTTCGCCATACAAAATGTCTTCAAGAAAATTTAATATCCTCACAGTTCTCTGAAGTTACAGTCAAACTCACTTGTTGGGCCGGGTTGAATGGGGTTGAACTTGATATTGCATGAGTCCCTTGAAAAATTCCAGATGAAAGACCGCCACCTAAAAAAAAAATGAAACGTGTGAATTCAAAAAGGTCAGCGCTTAATAATCATGCAGTATTAAAGACTTATTATGAATCATAAACTGTTGGGATGTGTGACTAGGGTCAGTCTCATGTTAGTTAGTAAACCTGATGAAAGCCACAGCATCAGATCTGACATTTGAAGCTGAGTGGGGAAACTTTGACTCCTTTCTTGGTGACAGCTCAGAGCTGCAGGAGCTTAGAGCTGGATTTATGACCGACATGACAATACAGGTGGGAAAGTCTGCCTGTTCTTCCTGCTGCCCTGAGAATTTTCTAAACCTATCAAGCTGAGGCAAGAATGTCTACCTCCAAGCAATATCTCCCCATCTGCATCTTCCTGTTAAGTCTGTCTGTGATGATCGCATGTCTGGTTTGGCTTTTTTTTATTCAGGAAGCAAACAGAATTTTATGTTTCTATTTTTCAGTTTCGAATATGAGCTCAAAAGTCTAAATTCTGAATAAACATTACATTTGCAGTGATGTCTGATATGACCAAAACTAAACAAATAAGACTTTGACCACAAATTAGCAAAGTGCTGCATTGTACGAGCACTTCTGCAAAGCTTGATTCTCTCACAATAGTAAGAACCATGCTATATTTGAATAGTGAAATTGCTGGCACATTTGAATGCATTCCTTACAATGACAAGAGGCCTTAGTCACAGATACACTATATTGCCAAAAGTATTTGCTCACCTGCCTTGACTCACATATGAGCTTAAGTGACATCCCGTTCCTAATCCATAGGGTTCAATATGACGTCGGTCCACCCTTTGCAGCTAGAACAGCTTCAACTCTTCTGGGAAGGCTGTCCACAAGGTTTAGGAGTGTGTTTATGGGAATTTTTGACCATTCTTCCAGAAGCGCATTTGTGAGGTCGCACACTGATGTTGGACGAGAAGGCCTGGCTCTCAGTCTCCGCTCTAATTCATCCCAAAGGTGTTCTATCGGGTTGAGGTCAGGACTCTGTGCAGGCCAGTCAAGTTCATCCACACCAGACTCTGTCATCCATGTCTTTATGGACCTTGCTTTGTGCACTGGTGCACAGTCATGTTGGAAGAGGAAGGGGCCAGCTCCAAACTGTTCCCACAAAGTTGGGAGCATGGAATTGTCCAAAATGTCTTGGTATGCTGAAGCATTCAGAGTTCCTTTCACTGGAACTAAGGGGCCAAGCCCAGCTCCTGAAAAACAACCCCACACCATAATCCCCCCTCCACCAAACTTTACACTTGGCACAATGCAGTCAGACAAGTACCGTTCTCCTGGCAACCGCCAAACCCAGACCCGTCCATCAGATTGCCAGATGGAGAAGCGCGATTCGTCACTCCAGAGAACGCGTCTCCACTGCTCTAGAGTCCAGTGGCGGCGTGCTTTACACCACCGCATCCGACGCTTTGCATTGCACTTGGTGATGTATGGCTTGGATGCAGCTGCTCGACCATGGAAACCCATTCCATGAAGCTCTCTGCGCACTGTTCTTGAGCTAATCTGAAGGCCACATGAAGTTTGGAGGTCTGTAGTGATTGACTCTGCAGAAAGTTGGCGACCTCTTCGCACTATGCGCGTCAGCATCCGCTGACCCCGCTCCGTCAGTTTACGTGGCCTACCACTTCGTGGCTGAGTTGCTGTCGTTCCCAAACACTTCCATTTTCTTATAATACAGCTGACAGTTGACTGTGGAATATTTAGGAGCGAGGAAATTTCACGACTGGATTTGTTGCACAGGTGGCATCCTATCACAGTTCCACGCTGGAATTCACTGAGCTCCTGAGAGCGACCCATTCTTTCACAAATGTTTGTAAAAACAGTCTGAATGCCTAGGTGCTTGAATTTATACACCTGTGGCCATGGAAGTGATTGGAACACCTGATTCCGATAATTTGGATGGGTGAGCAAATACTTTTGGCAATATAGTGTAGTAGTCCAACCTATCTGATCTACTAAGGTTTAAGGGATGACCAGAAATGATCAATCTTCCTGAAATTGTCTCGTTAAGTTTAGCTGCCATCAAAGCGACTTCTTCATTTTGTTTGATATGCCATAAATGAAAATGACATGCAACTATTTTTCCCCTTTTCAGTCTTTTTCTTGAAAATGACCGCACATTACTAAACCAGTCCACCACTGCTAAGTCTCACCCTTCATTCTTTGTCCGTCATGCCAAAATGTATGACACAAAGGAGATAATGACTCAATGGAAGAAACCTCTCCAGACAACAAAACAGCCGTCAGAGTGACTACAAGAAAAATACAGGATGTCTCTCCAGTAAACACAGAAAGGCCTTCATTTGGTTTCATCTGGACACACACCATACGGTAAGGGAGTGTGTTTGTGTGTGCATGTTTGTGTACTGCATGCACAGTAATGGATGACATGGAAACATTCTCAAATCCTTCAAACATTTGAATGCTGTGGCAGTTAATTACCCTTTGAAGTTTGCAGTTAATGATTTATACATAAGAATATTCAAACAAATTTATTTTGTTTGGGAACGCTCCTTCATATTCTGACTACACTGTTAAAAATTGTTTGATGGTTCAACAGTGGTTCTCGAACAAAGCACAGTAACTGATGACCGTGCAGTTTGCCAAAGGGATCCATCAAAAGCTGTTTACATGAATATTTACATTCCTGTGTAATGTCTCACATCTGAATATTCTCTTAAAGAGAATGTAAAATGGAAAACACTAATTGTAATCAAAGAGATGACATATTTTTGATTGGGACAGTTGGGGAAGGACTAAGATTGCTGTTTAAACTACACGAAAAGAAAAATACTATTTTGACCTGGTATTTCACTCATTTCTAAAACCAAAGTTTCAGACTGAGTAATTTCATTGGCAAATTCATTTGCTAAAGCAAAGAGCGAGAGTCAAATGAAAGCTCTAAAAGGAAAAAATGACCTTAATAACTTTAAAAAGGGTATATATACAACTCCCAGTAACATTTACCCTGTTCCAAACCAAAAAAGAATTGTGACTTAAAGTAAATTGTTCTATTGAAATAACTTCTCATAATTGAGAAATGAGCTTTCAATTATCAACTGAACTGACTGATATATATTTCTACTATATTTGTAGTAATACAATATATTAACCAATCAAGAGGAGATTTGCTAATGATCTATGAGATCTGGAAGAGGTACATTAGGATGAGGAGGTCAGTAATCTGTGACCCCGTCTTGGATAAACAGAATAAAATAAATGGATGGACAAAATGTGATACTTTTGCATTATGAATCTGAAAAAGACATATGCACGACTAGAGATATAAAGTACATAAATCTACACACATGGTCAGATCAGAAGTGATGATTAATGGGCTCCTAGTTTTGTTAAATGCAGTTCTACTTTCTTTGATCCTTTTCTGCATGTAGTTATATGAAAATAATGCTGAGATTTTAAATTATTGTTAAACAACCTAACAAAAAGATACTGTGTTTCTATTTCTGTTTAAAAGAAGAAGTCACTATCAGATATAGAGTTTAATGTTTGGCATTTTTTTCCTTTTTTCCCCCTGCTTATTGAAAGGTCTGTTAGGCTGCACTTCTACATTACAGAAAAGCATTCAAATGCTCGGATTCTTATTAACCAGTCACGTTGACTTTCTGTCAAGGAAGCAGCAATTGTGCCAAATGTTTTACAGGAACTAGTGAGTAAACATGTTGGGATTTCCCTACTAGACTTGTATTCATGGCTTATGACAGTTAAACTGATCAAATTTGTACAAAATCAAGCTGTATGTCCGCCAGTCCTTTAAGGTAAAGTAATATATCATAATTACTCTGGTATCAGCACAGATGTTTCACTCTCCCTAATTTCTTCTTCTAAAGTGAGGCTGCACAAGTTTAGTACTGATCAATGCTCCACAAAGTAATTTACTAAATAAATCTGACTTGACGTGTTTTTAGAGCTGATCTATGCAGCATTTTAAAATAAGCATTTTGTTGGTCTGCTCAGCATTGTTCATTATTCGCTTCAGGCGGAAGCCGTTTCTACTGCTTTTACGTCTGTATATATATACATTTCAAGCTTAATTGTTTCTTTCCTGATGTTAGTTCCACTGGCAGAGCTCAACATTCAACTCCAACTTTTGAATTAAGCACCAGTAAGACAGATGGTCCTTCTCCACTTTAGCCTGGAGGATGTGGTGTTCAGCATTTTCAGTAAGAAATGCAAAATTTTGATTAGTCTGACCACACAACAGTTTTCCACTTTGCCTTAGTTTATTTTAACTGAGCTTTGCCCCAGAAAAGATGGCAGGGGCTCTTGTTGTGGAGTGTGTTAAATTGGGTTTAATCTGTGCATGCCAGAGCCTTAACCCAATTTATGGAAGGACTCCGATCATTGACAATGTTTTCTGAAGGTATTCTTGTGCAATTGCACTGATTTCTAAGACGGAATAATGTCCTTAACGCACAAGTAAAAATGGGCCTGAAGATCACAGAATTTCTTATGATGATTTTCAGTCATATTGCAGAGATTCTCACAATTCTTCACGATATTTTTTACTTTAGATTATAAAATATTTAGACTTTGCAACTCTACGTTGAAAGGCACTATTGTCAAAATACTCCATAATCATTTGAACGTTTTTTCATATTGCTGAAATTCTCTACATCTTTTCTTCTGAGAAATTCTGTTACTTTAAATTTCATCGTTTTTAATCCCCATTCTTATTCCTGAAAATAAATCCACATATGCATATATATTCAAATGATCTCAGTTACCAAAATAACTTCAGCAACAGGAATATTCTGCTGCTGAATCATTGCAACACCTAATCTGTTTACACTTCTTCAAAGTTTTGTCTCCCCCGTGTTTAATCTATACAGTTGAAATGGCTCATGTTGTGTCTGCAATATTAAACCTGCTCACCCCTCTGTAAAATAGCCCTTAACCTCTCCCCTGTCACACACAAGGTCAATTTCATGCCGGTTTCAAAGCCATAAAGTCGCATTGAGCAAGTCATGCTTTGGGCGCCGGGCGACTGAGGAATGTGCACAGAACAGACACTCAATCACACTCAAACACACACTGACATGTGGAGAGCTGCACCCACTCCAAAGCATCATACATCTTCATCAGGATTTCTTTACGTCGGGACGCTCTGCCCATCTTTTCTTTTTGTGACAAGTCTGGGTTTTTTTTTTTTTTTTTAACCACTTTTGCCGGTCTCTTTATCTGCCTCCACATATTTTACTGCTCTCTTTTTCTTTGGAGTAACAGAAAAAAAAAGCAGTTGCATGCTGTGTTGTTGGTCTGAGTGGAGAAAGGGGCCTGACCCTGAGAAAAGAGGAGGGGTGGAGAGACTTTTGACGCCAGGAGTCCAGACCGCAGCTAATGGAGAACAGGTGTTGAGGAGAGGAGAAGACAGGACAGGAGAGGAGACTATGGGAATCATGGATGCTCTGTCCAGCTAGGCCAAAGATGATGTACAAAAGCACTGTGTGCTCCATATTTTCTCAAATCCAGACTAACCATGAGTGTGTGGGTAGCTGTACAGGCTTTGACTTGGAGGAGTGCTGCTGAAGTTTGAGTAGCCCAGTAGTCCTGTCTGTCCTGGTGAGTGACTCAGGCCGTCCTCGGTTTTTATATCTAGAACGAGAAAAGCACAATATGTGTGTTACCATCACAATAAATCCAGCTGGCATGTAGCGTTATAAAACTATATTATTTAAGCGTGGTTTAGGGACGTCACATATGAGAAACATTTAGAAAAAAAGCAAACAATTATTACCGTACATTTTGAAATGTTATCTTAACGCCAAAGAAAACAGAAGTCTGGGATTTTTCTATGACAAAACTTTCCCTGACCATGTGAGTTTCTTTGTATGATAATCTTGTTTACGCTTTTAAGTTAGGCGTGAATTTGTGAAACTGATTACTTGTTGAACTTGACTTTTTGATTAACAAATACAGTATGAATAAACAGAGGATGTGCATGTGCTTGTCTATACATGACACATATTTGTCTCAGATTTTATTTCTTGCAATGTCTTCCAAATTTCTCCTCCCTTTTCCTTGTTGTGTGATGTTGTTATATTAAACTGACAAGAAGTAGTATCAAGCGCTGCTCTGAAGAACTAATCAGATGCAAATAAATACCATAGAACAAGTACACCTTTGCCATCAAATTAGAAATATCTTTTTTTGATAACATTTCCAAAGAAATCCGCGATTGATCAAAAATAACACCTCACTAGTTTGTACTTACTGTAAGATGGCATGCTGTATCCCTGTGTGTGGTGAGTGTATGGTGCGTACGGCCCTGTGGGCTGGAGGGCAGGGCTGTACTGAGTCTGTCCATATGCAGCCATGACACAGATCTTGGAGAAGGAACACAGAAAAAGAGGAAAACTTTAAAAACTAGTTCCTTTTTTCGTTGTCTTTCAGAGCATTTGATCTGCTTTAGTAGCGAGTGCGAGGAACTAAATGTGAGGAAGGACTGTTTGATGCCAGGAATACATTGTGAAAATCTAAAGAGATGCTTCATCTGATAAGAAAGCAACAACTGATTAAAACACACACACACAAATGGACGCTGCAGATTCCTCATGACAGCAAAAACCCAAAAACCTGATGTTAAGAAATGCCCATTTAAGTTCTTATATTTCTGAATAAAAACGCCAGTGGATATCTTGATGAAAGTGAAGCAATTAGGTACGTATTCTTGGTAACAAAACTCATGAACAACTCACCTGCAGAAAGTGTGATGAGTGTACAACAGCTAATAAGAAACCTTGTGAATGATGCAAACTGGGGAACTGAAAAAAAAGTGAAACCCATTATGAAATTAATTATACAAAAGAAAAAATGAATAAAATTCAATAGTAGTAACTGGCTGTCAATTACCAACAAAATGACTGTAGGCCTACGTCAATGAGATAGCAAATGAAAAGACTCCTTACTCATCTACAAGGATATTGCACACTCCTATTAGATGGTTATCAGTATGCATAGGTTTACTTTAGGGCATGGAACCTGTTTGATGACTTTAAACATAGATGATCTGCAATTTGGTATATGTTTTTGTTGCTTTATATTTATCTCACCTTCCCCTATCAGGAGATCTGGATCCTCTTTATCCTGTCTTTCCGCCGTTAGTCAGGCTCCTTCGAAGCTGTCAACTCTCCTGAATAAAACAATGACATATTTAATACATCAAGAAAATGAAATGCTGCTCAATGACTTTCTGACTTGTTCTGAGTTATCTTGTATGTCTGTGACGTAAACACAACAAGTGGAAAAAGTGATAAGAGATAAACTGAAAAAAAAAATAGATACAGATAAATTTGGAACTGATGTCAAGAGTTTTTTTTATGAGACATTTAGACAGCCAAAGTAAATTACACACAGGTACAAGCAATTCCAGCGAAATCCTTGTTTACTCACACTGCTGCTGTGTGACCTGAGGCAGGCATACTATTTGCAGTCATGCAGGAGAGATACCAAAGAAAACTACAAGGATGTGATGGAAACTGGCAGCAGGCTTCGGGTGGTTCAGGTTGGCACCAGTGCCAATCACAATTCTCAGGAAATGATTTTCGATGACACGAGAAAACAATAGACCCCAGTGTTTCTCTATAGGTAACTAAAAGGTTTCATGATATTTTGGTGATCGTTTATACATTTTTTGCAATCGCACATTTAAAAAAAAAGACCACATCAAGCAATAGAAAGATACATTTGTATGAACACTTTACTAGTTTAGGGTTAAAGCTTTTTTCCGTACAATTATCTGTAATAAGAATCCTGTTTGGAGAATATGAAAATAAAATTCCCTAACCAAGCCTTGTCGCTCCACATGTGCACGGTCCGTTTACATACACAAAAACTGGATTTTACATGAAGTCGAAAGCTCACACCCCCCTGACTTTTTGTTTCCTATATATCTGAAATTAGTTTTCCCATATATCTGAAATGATTACTTTCAGTGAGCATTCACCGAGTCCCAAAATGGGCAGTAGAAACCTGCAATCCTGGACTGAATATTTAAAGAAGAACTTTGCTTATTATGAGGAATGATTAGGTAAGCCATGACCCAGATCAAAAAGAAATTTTGCAGAAAAACAGGTTGTGTAAGAAAACACTAGCGTACAACAGCTAAAACACAAACCTGTTCTACGCTAATGTGCAAGTTTGATCTATAGTTACTGGAAATACTTAGACTGATGTTGAAGCTGCATGAGAGGATCTCATAAGATACTAGAACCACAGGTCTACATATTCTTGTCTCTCATGTTTTTGTAACATTCAAGTTTTTTCCTAAAATAACAACACTGCAATATTCATTCTTTATTCTATATCATAGTAGAATAATTAGAGAATAACTGCCATTGGTCAGCATTATTGTTATTCAGCAATATATAATATTTTCAAGGGCTCAAAAACATTGTTCACAAGTATTTTGCTAATGTCTGTCTTTCCAATCCATTTCTTTTCAGCCTTGTTTTGTCTCTGTTTCAGTTTTTGCCTCTGGGCCATTCTATTTTGGCAAAGCTGCAGCTAACTGCTTGACCTCCAACCTCGCTGACAACACAGCGACAGAGACAGATGACAGTCATGAATTATTAGGACAACAGGGGTTTTACAGCGGTAGAGAAGTCAAACCGACAAACAGAAATCAGAAAAAGGAAGATATTGAAATATGGGTTAAATATGGACTTTTAAACCTGGACACAAGTGGCCTCTGTGTATTTTCTTGTGCCCTTAAAAGAGACAGAGAGGAGCTCAGAAAACGTCCACATTGCATATGAAACAGAAACAAAGTATGCGTTCATTTGTTTAAGTCTAAATCTGACCTGAACCTTAGATCGCCAAGTTTTAACCTAAATCCTGAGCACATCTTTTGCTTTCATGTTAATCCTTTGGTTTTCGAAATAATCCACAATTTTATTTGATCTATAGCCACCTAAATTCATCATTTGCTAATTTTGACCTATACCGTTTGGCAAAAAGGGGATGTTCACTGTGCACTTCCACTGACTTTCCCAGGGTAATAGGTGAAAACATCAACTTCGAAGCATCCTATTGACTTCAGTTGCACAATTGCACTTACACAAACATAAAAACTGAGCGTGACAGCCAAGGCACTTCCTGGTTCAGGGTGAGGCCTGGGAGGAGGGCGGCCAAGGCCATGGGAACTACAGGACACCGGAGGGAAGATGAGCAGAGCTCAACAGAGATGTGGAGAGCCAAAGTCTGAAACTAAAGCTAAAACAAACCCAGCAGGGCCACAGGGGGCCATGGGGCCACAAGGCCAGTCCCACCAGCTTCACCTGGGTCCCAGGGTTCTGCTAGACCACCGCTTCTTTCACGGATATCAAATTCTTGCCTTTGTGCTGCGTATTGTGCTTCAAGTTAAAAAGTCATTCGATACAGTTCAAGAAAGACACAGTGCTAATGTCGATTTACCAGTTCAACGTTTACCATTTAATGAAGAAAAAGATGGATGACACAGAACCAAAAAAACGTCAAATCTAAGAGTGAGCTGATGTCGTTTGTTTTGTACAAGGGCAACGAGTCCCAACACCAGCACTTTGTCAAAATTGGCCTCTATTTTCATTGAGTTAGTTATGCCCAGTTGACCAGATTAGATTTGGCTTAACCCAAGCAGAATTTCTGCGAGATAAACTGATAGAAACATTACTGAAACCTGGACCAGCAGTCAGGAACACATCAGTTCCTTTAATGTGGGTGCCCACGAAACCAGTTTTGCTCCACGGCATGTGAAAGCATGTTCTGCAAATTTGTGGTCACCACAAGAAAGCAGTTTTCTGGCACTTCTTTGGAATAGGCTTCAATGGAGCCAATAAATATTTATAAATATTTTTAACTTATTAAGCTGAAATTTTATCCTGTGTTCTGAAAACTATGCCTTTTCCACATAATCATAAGAAATAAAGTGAAACCAAATGTTAACACTAGTAAGGTGTAGGATGGTTTTTAGATTTATTGTACATAGTTTTAAAAATAGACACAATAAATAAATTCAGAATGAGAGAGTGCTCTTAGAACAACAAATAAACTGAGGGGGTTTCTGGCTTCAACACAGGATGCTGTGAACATTGTAGAATTCAGATTTCTGTTGATGACATGTGTAACAGGGGTTCCAAATCTGGAGTCCGCTTTCCCTCTTATGGGGTGCAACAAATCATCAAGTGGTGTACAAAGCCTTCAATCAAAAAAAGATGGTCTGTATTAAACACACTGCAAAGATCAGAGTGGCTTGACCTTTATTGAAATACTGATTCGAAATAAGCATCCCAAATAGGTGACTCCCCAGTCTGTAATCACGCCATATGGGACCCCACCTGGAGCCCTCAATTTGGACAGTCTGCATAAGTGCCCCAGGGACTTTGGGGGTTGGATCACAGTTGCACACAAACCGCTCTTCTCAGCTGATAAGACTTAGAACAAGGGGCCACTATCTGGGTGTGGGCGACACTGTCTGTGCTTTTTTTTCCTTTGGAAAAGCAGTGCCATCTGCTAACTACTGTGGTTCAGTGTGGCAGGCCAAAGCAACTTATATAAGAGCACATGATTTCCATTGTTACATGTCAGAGTACTCTCTCTTTCTCCTCATACTTTGAACAAATACATTGGGCAAAACCTGCAAATACCAAACACAGACACAAAGAGCCCGCATCAGGATGAAGCCATTACCAATTCAAAGCTGAGGATATGAAAAGCATGGACACAGTTATCCTTGAATATTTTCCCCAAAAAAGAAAATGTGGGGTTGTACAATAGGTAGAAAGCTTTAAAGGTTTAGTTTCACCTTGTAGATTTCACTTCTGCTCTTTCATTATTGCACTCTACTGTAATTATTTCATTTTCAGTAATTTGATTTTGAAAAAGACTTTAACCTATTATCCTTAACTTGGCTGTTTTACTTATGTAGAACAGCCCTGTGTGCCTTTAATCGCCCTCCTCAGACAAAATTAAAAAACAATAACTGGGTTAGCAAAGAACTTGAAGTTTAAGTCATTTTTGAACATTTCTTTTGCCTTTGTCAGGATATTGGATTGTGAATTCCTTTGACCATGAAATTGTGAAATAGAAAGACGACGAGGTTGCCGTAGGAAATCATTGTTTCGTGGAATGGTGTTGTGTTACGTGACAGGAGCCGGGGCCCAATGAAAATTAAACTGTACAGTCCATGACAACATTGTTTTCTAATCCTAGCCACTTATTTCCCATTGAGTGCTGAGATTGCTTTGATCCCATTCTTTATCCCCCAATTAAAAGTACAAACATTCCTAATATCCTAATGCTTTTGTTAAAGCTGCCAATGGCCGTTGTTATAGGTAAGTGGGTTGAGAAGGGAGAGTTAACAGAGCTAGTGAACATCTTAACTGAAGCAACTCAAGTGTTTCAAGATGAGTTTTTAATTCATGAACAAAAAAACAAACAAAAGTAAAAAGTAGTAGTAAGGCCCTCTCAGTATTTTCATTGAACAGTAATGCACATTTAAATTTAGTCAATGACTGTGACTGACACATATAAGAGGCGATCACAAATAAACCCCCGGCGTTTTGCTATTTGAAATGTGTTCATCATCAGCTGGTACGCTGAGTAACGGCAATCTAATATTGTAATGGTATATCCAATATCTGTCAAGCCATTTTAGTCCCATAGGAGCCATTACCAATTCTCGCAAAACATTTTGGCACATTGAGTCCAAAAGGCAACTAAACAAACCTTCCATAAGCGACTTAAGATGTGAGAAAATATCATGATTTTGGATGAGGAAAAAAAGAAAAATGTTGAAAATATTGTTTACCAACACACAAAGATATTGACTTTTTCTCAAAAACCCACACCCATATTTCTGCTGGAAGTGGGAAAAAGCAGAAGAAACAGTCATCTTGTTCTGACGAAACGCAGACTATTGCTGAGACGGGGAAAAAAAAAAAAGTTTCCGTGCTTTTTAAAAAATCTAAGTGAGTTATTGTTTGTTTACACAATCAAGCAAATAACTGAGAAAGACGAGTGAGCAGTTTGAGAACTGTGGGTGAAGTGATGAATCTCTGCATCAACTGGTTCAAAAGCACACATGCACAAAAAGACACCTGACTAGAAGTGAATGCAGTCATACAACAAGAGATACAAAGCGCCTTTCACAGAAACACAAGCTTTCTACAACGGAGTCCAATTAATCTCTGGCAGCACTGAACCTGTTGTCGACTGTCTGCTCTCTGTAACTTTACCTCCAGCCTTGATGGCCTTTTCTCTTCACTTGAGTAACTCCTGCAATAAGACTGCCTTAATGCCAGAAGCCCCCCGCTCCCCGTGTCTCACAGTAATCAAAACCTCCTTGTCCGACAATGCCAGTGTCTATATCTCTATGATTCTCCAACACACACTGTTTGCTGCTTTTCCAAATGACCTCTCAGAAAACGCTGGATTCTTTTCCTTGCTTCCTAATTCCTTCTTTCATATATTCCAACCTTCGGGTTCACCGCCCGTGTTCAAGGACTAACGCTAATAATATCCTTAACAATTTCCCCGTGTAATATTGCCACATCCAAAAGGGACCACCTACCCAAGGCGCAGACTCTGTCTCCGGCAGAATCAGTGCCCCGGGACGAGGGTCAGGGAGAGGGACAGCTGGCAGACCTCCCGGCAGCCTGAAGGAACGGGTGTGGGTGTTGGAGGGGTAAGGCTGACCCCAGTCAGATGGTGGTCTGGCTCCCAGGTATAAAACATCTGGTCCGGTGATGGGAGGGTGGTCGAAACAAGCGCTCACACATTCAGAAATGACACACTCGGCTGGCTGCATAAGCGCTTCTGCGTTCTCTAATGAACTTCCTCACACACACACACACACACACACACACGTGTGGGCGCACACCCTCAGACCTGTTGCTTTATTAGTCATTAGAATGAAAAGGTTTGCCCTCCATCACTCTCCTCTGCACGCTGTGGCAAGTGGTCACCCTAGTTGCTAACAGCTGGCTAGACAGAAATTGCTTATAGGTGAAGCTTGAAGGCGCTACAGACAGGCTGAGGCCCAATTACTTTACTAATGGCCGACTTGATAAGTCAGTGAGGGTATGAAAAAAAGAGAGAGGGTATGAGGATTTATTTATTAAGACAAAAAAGTAGATATTGTATATTTGTTGATGCTAAAAATGCTAAAAGCAGTCAAGGTTAGGAACCAAACAGTGAGAGGAAATATCTCACATCCCAAGAAATATTCCAAGAACTGCAAAGGATTGTTCTATTCTATTCCTCTGGAGAGTGGCCACTGAGAGTAGAGAGAATTGGAATAAAGTCAGTGAAAGCGTTGCAGCGATGTGTGTGGCTTCACCGCTCTGAAGATGAGATAAGGAGGGCAGAATAAGCCACAGAGACAGCTGTTGTCTGCTGACGGCACATGGGTTTATTACACACACACATCACCACGGGGGCCTCCCCAAGAGCTCTCTGGGGACTTTGGGGAATTAAAAAGGGAGGGATGGGCGAGAGGGAAGAGGATATTTAGAGGAAAGTTTGATAACTTCTCAGCCTTAAACTTTTTTAAAAACCAGTCAATCTTTCTGATAGCATGTTAAACGTAATGAGAGAGTGCAATTTTGAACACGTCTTTAATTTTTCCAAAAAAGCAAAGATCAATTTTCTTACCAGCAGACTGAATTACAGCGATCAAACCTCCGTCATACAGATCTACTCATGCTAAAAATATAACTGTAGAGTGTGCTGGTATAAAATTCAATAAGCACTAAAATAATCAGATTGAAGTCATCTCTGATGAGGATGGTCAAATGTTTAAATGACCTCAATGACTTGGACATGAAAGCCGCGGCACCAGACTGCAGTTTGTCCAGACAGCTGCTCACGTCAGGTTAGAGACTCCAGTGATGCCTCTGAAGTTGTATAAAGCTGAACAGTTGTTCCGCGAGCTGAAACCTTAAACTCTCAACATACCCAACCAAACTAAACTCATTAGCCTCAAATCTGAGTTAACATTTACAAAGTAACTCTCTGTGGCTCCTTCCAGACAACAGACAGGACAAACTGGTTAGCTACAATACTTCTCTTACACTTGACAAACACTGTGAACAAAGTATAGGAGCGAGGTTATGTTCTGTGAAACCAGCAAAAAAAGGTTTATCACACACACATTCAGAAAATGTTCACAACCTCACAGGGTCCAGTGAGAAATAATTTTGTGAGTGAAGAGTAAAGTGTTGAAAATAACTTTTTGAAGGTTGAAACTTCTCTGTATGGAACACAATCGTTACAGTACAGAAAACGGCAGAGTTTTGAACTGACAGTTGTGCTGTGTGCTTGAATTCAAGTGAACTACGATCAGGGAGGCAGGGTGCAGAAGAAGTGGAAGAGGGGGACACACAGAAGCTGAGCAACAACAAGAACTGAGCAGCTGTGAAGAAATATAATGAAATTGGTGCAGATAAAGTCAGGAAGAGGAGAACTTCCTATGAAAATATTTATCATTCCAGAAACGTTTGGCTACAGACCGGTTTGGAATTAATTTGTGTTTTCTTAAGAGGGGGTGCCTCGCGCTCAGGGTGGGGAATTCTCCACAACCACTGCAGACTTTTTGGGCTGCTACTTATTCCCAATTTATTAGAGGTAGTAATAGGAACCATGACGGCCGAAGGGAGAAAGGCAGCAAAACTGAGAGGGTCTTGGGTCAGCAGCAGAGAGGGACTCCAGAAATGGGGCCTAATGTTATTAGGGAACAACCCACAGTGTTAAATCAAACACGCTGGAGTACACACCTTTGGTATGTGGTCCGAGCACACCTCTGGGTTCCTTCCACCAGAACCCTATAGATGTTAAATGTGAAGGTTGATTACAGAAGATTGCGTTGAATTTACAGCCCGCCAAGAATCCATATTTGAAAACAGCTTCCATCTGACAGAGAATATGACTGGCCATTACGCCTGCAGGCTTCTTGTTTTTTTTGTGTGTTTTTTTTTCAAATAACTGACCCTGTTCAGTTTTTTAAAAAATCTCAGCAACTTTTTTAACATTAGTCTGTGTGTAAGGCTTTTATAATGTTTGATATTTGAAATATTTGTAAGAGTTCAGAGTTCATATTTGTAACCCAAAGTTCAGCACTTGCAAAGCAATGTAAAGCCAATTTCTAAAACTTTGAAAAGAAAAATGGTGTTGAAGTGCAAATATAATTTAAGTACATTTATTTAGACAACTCTCCAAAAGCTGAGAGGGCCCCATCAATTATTTCTCTTCTCACTGTGCAGCTGAGAACTGTTGGGGCTTAAATAGTTGGCTAAACACAGACACTGATATTTTAGTCTGAAGCCATGAAGGGGTCCTTGAAAAATATGAATACCAGGCTTTGAAAAATCCTTAGCAAGGTTCCTATAATTTCCTTTAATGAAGGTCCCTGTTGAATGGGTGTCAGTGATTTGGGTCTAATCTTCTGTAGTTAGGAGAGAAGAAAGTGTTGCACTAATTCAACCAACGCTAGGAAAAACAAACAAGCTCAGTAAAAAGTGTATGGTTCATCACAATCTTCTAGAAAATATATGTCTTTTTTATATTAGTGTATGTATACATATTTGGCTCTTGTGAATTATTCTGACATAAGAATAACAGACTGATTGTAAAAATCTAATTAAATTAGTTATCACAGTTGACGGTAAACTTCAAGGGATTCTTAAAAAATAGCTTTTTTTATTTCAGCATTACTTGTTCAATTATTTTTCAATTGCCTTTTTTTTTTATTCACAAGATGCAACTGTTAGACTCATGGCGCATGACGTTTACGTTGGGCCTTTTAAGCTTTGTCCTGAAAATAAAATAAATAGGTGTTTTCATTTTCCCAAATAGCAAAAAATAACAAAAATGTCACACAAATATTCAAAATAAAATAAATATACGACCTCCGACAAACGGACAAATACAGCAGCCTGAATGCAAACGATATATGTTGGTTGGATGGAGGCAACAATCATCTTATTACTGACTTGCCAGAGACGAAACTTTGAAATGAATATATAGCTCAGCAAAGGTACAAAAACAAAGAAGTAGTCAATATTCTGATCCTGACTTGTTGAACAGGAAAAAACACTTGGACGCCTGAGGCGATAAGAACCTGGTTCGTTACTGTTAGATACTGTTAGATTTTTGTAAGACGGGAAAGGTGGTCAGTGTAGTCGTTACCGTGGCAATATGATGCTTGATCATTAAAAGACAAAAAAAAACTTTAGACCAAACTTTGAAAAAACAAACTAAACAAAAAACAAAACAATAATAATAATAGAATTTCCACTTACCATTATTTACGATAAAGCCAGTGCGAGGAAAATCCGGGTATCAGTCAGAGCTGCTGGCTCTCCATGCCCAGAAGAGTCCCGGCAGACTTTTTTTAAAGCAGCACCGAAGTGAGCGATCCTGCTGTCTTGGAGCTCCTGAGCTGATGAGGAAGAAAGAAAAAAAAAACCCCAAAACCAGCCGATCTAGGTCGATGCCTTCCAGGTGAGAGCTTTCTGGGACTCCCACTCGCATCGATCTCACCTTGTTTCTGCGCAGCTTCAGGAGGAGTGTTTGCTTTCCCGGTGGTGGGGCAGTGATGTTAAGTAAATGAGCGAAGATTTCTGGTTCCTCCTCCTCCTCCTTCTTCTCCAAGGGGCGCGCGCACTAACACGGGACTCGCGCGCGAACGCGAACGCGTGTGTGCGCGTGCCCTCTTTATCTCCACCACTCCTCACTGAGCCTCGGCGGTTGTGCTGATTTTTCTCAGCGTTTTTCTCTGCGTCCACGCTTCAGATCTTTGTTTGGTTAAGGGCTCTTCCACGCGTTAGTTTACAGAGACACACTCGAACCTTTCACTGGGACTCTGATGCTGCAGATCCTCAGTACGCACTCCAGGAAGATTTCCTTGATTATGGCAGATAACCCCAGGCTGTTGACAGGTTTATCAGGACGTGACTATTTGCTTTTGAAAGATGTTTTTCATTCCCTTCTAAGAGGCTTGTACATTACAAACTAATGGCAAAAACAAAGGTGTTCGACATTCATATTCAATAGTTTAGCTCATTTTTCTTTGGATATGCGCACAGTGGAGTAAAATTTATATTTTACGCTGTAGTATAAATAGTTTCCTCTTTTTAATCTAAATCTTCAAGTACATAAACTTGATATAAATTCATATTTCCGTAAATCGCACAAATACTAAAGCTCTCCAAATTTTTGAAGTGGGAATCTTACATGTCTTTGCCATCATGTGTGTCACCATAAAACCAATGAACAAAAGGAACTGTGATATCAGGGCCATCTTATCATCACATAACCTTCAGATGTTTCGCAGCAAAACTTATTTTGGTTGACACATTTTAAAAATCGCAATATAAACAGTGCAGCATTTGCTGTCTTTTCCCCCACAGATGTCTTATTGTTCTCATTTTCACATTTAGATTAGCTTTTACCCTGATTATTAGAATTTGGGACTCCTAAACAAATATATTGAGCACCCCGTCTTGGCTGTGCTCATGGAAAATATGACAGATCTGTTATCAAAACAGGCCTGGGGATGTTGAGTCTTAACAACACCTGCTGAAGCGGAAGGCGACGTTTGAAAGTCTTATCTAAGTCAACCGCCATTCCCATACGTTTCCCTGAAACTGAGGAAGCATGGGGCATTTTTGTTTGGTTTCTTTCATATGATGAGAACGTGTGTGTCTCTGCCCGCGTCATGTGTGACCGACATGTGTGCCATTGTTTCGGAGTGTTTTCTGTAACTCGAGGAGGGCTGTGTCGGAGCTGAGAGACATGACTCAGGAGGAAACAGGTTCCCCTGAGCAGGGACAACAGGATGTGCTCGCTGACATAGTCGCAGACATATATGTGTGACAACACCTGGGAGGAGATCCCTCCTGCTTCTTGCTTCTAAGATGTGATTTTCAGCTCTATAGAACAGAAGCGGTGAAACCAAATGAATTAAAGACATGGGAATTGATTTTTTTTTTTTGTCAACCATTCCTTCATGAATATTCCATCTCTAAACGACGGCAACAAGGCGTAAAAATGTATTGCGCATTAAAGAAAGATGTAGAATGAGAAATTCAGAGGATATGTTCAGTCAACTTTTTTTTTTTTTTTTTTTCCATATGATGCCTTCTTTTGCGCTTATCAAGAATTTCCTGTTTTACTGAGAAATCCTCCCACCATCCCACAAAACATGGGTCTAAACCTGTTGCTCTTGGCACATGTTTAGCAAAAGACAGACTGAAAGTGTTAGCAACTGAGAGGTGAAGAGTTAACAGCCATCATTACCTACAGCACAGATTACAGCAATGTATTTAGGTCTCTTGAGGTCACTAATGACAGAGAACATAAATGCTGTGCTTTAAGCCATTTGTGTTTAATGACAGTGTTCACTGCCAACACAAGTACTCAAATGAAACAATGCAGCTCAAGAGTGGGGCCTTAAGATACCAGTGGTACAAGGTTCCTCATTGAGGGGGCTCATCTATTTGCCCCACAGTGTTTTACAGTCATGTGTGAATGCATTTTGTGGGAAGCTGAACAGATGATAACTCCTTCTAAAAAACTTGGCACTCCATACATTTCACTGTGATCTGGGATCAAGGTATTCCTCAAATAAATGCAAACTCAAAGTACCTGGATGTGTTTATTCTGTGTTCTACAGGTCAGGTATGTGCTGCATTTAAAGCAGACCTTTAATACAGCAATGTAGTGCAATTTGTGTTTTTCCAAATGTTAGGTGGACTTACAGCATTACTGTGTCAGGCCCAAATGATTAAATTTCTGCAAACGACCAGATATTAACTGGGAAAAATTATATAGCTAAATTTAGAGTGCAAATGTCACTGTCCAGCTCCATCTCCTTGTTAAAACATGGCCTCCTCTAAGTCTGAAAAGACCAACATGGCAACCACCGAATTCCGAACCTCAGCATTCCCAAGTTCACTATATAGTCAATGGCCCAAAATTTAAGGTGGAATACAATTCTTTAGACCAAGTCTAGGATCTACTGAGACGTCCCAAATCTGTTGAAACAAGTGTTATAAAAGAAAAGGAAAACCGACTCAATATCTTTATTTCCCAGTTTGTTCATATATTCATCAGTCCATCTAATAGAAATTTGTTTGGTTCCTACAGCATTTAAGTAATTTTCATGTCAAACTCAAAGAAAGGAAGAACTTTTACCACCAGCACTAACAGTAAGAATGTTCTTGTTGGCAGATCACTTGTCTGGCAGATTGGCTCACTGGTACCTTTTCCTGATTCAGTTACTGTTGAACAATGAATAACAATTACCATTCATGTCACCAGGACGCTAATGGTATTATTAAAAAAAGCCCCGTGGTATGTGTTATGTCGCACTGTGACATTTTGACACAGGGACACAAAATGACTGCAGCTCTGGAGGTGCAGGAACTCAGACATGATGAACTTGTGGTTCCGCTTTTGGTTCATACAGCAGACAGTGCTCGTTTCTTTGAGTGGAATGTGCGGTCGAGGAACAAAAGCTGCCATTGTCATACTCTGTCTTTCTCTGATGGCTTCAGTTGGCTTTCTGTCTGTTTTGCTGACACACATTCACTCTCCCTGTGTATCCTTAGTGATTCTTCCACAGTGAAAAAGGTTTTCATGTCTCTGTTGAGCTTATCAGCCGGAGTAATCACCTAAAAAAAAAATCAGTGTTTAGATTTGATCCTTGTTGATGGAAAGCCGTATAGAAACACATATTGTGTAAAACATCATTGTCTCATAACCATTGGCATTCTCTCTCTGAGGAATACTAAAAGAAAAAGGCAGAGGCAGAGAATATAAACAATCGGGTAAATTAATATAAACAAATCCTTTTCTTAGGGCTTAAGAAGCATGAAAAGAAGAATAAGCCCCTACAACCGTATGTATTAAAATAATTCATAAATCATTTACCCAACACCATCAAGTCTAAATCCACAATTATGATCCCCTTCCTACATGAAATATGCTTAAGATTTAGCTAGCTAGTAGTTGTATGCTTTTGGATGCTCTTTCTTGACTGTATTTATCAGCCAACACTTTCCTTGACTTTTCAATTTATTATGAGAATGATCATTGCCCCAAAAAAGCATTTTTTGTAAAAAGTTAAATCAATCATTTAATGATACATTTTTCTGAATTTTCAACACCTCAACAGAGCTCTGGTTTAAAACGTTTTTTATTGGATAATGTTGGCTGACTTTTATCTCTCATTCCTGATGAAAAAGAGGCAACATTTAGAGGTTGGGGGTGTGAGCTGGGTGGTGCTAAACAGCTGGCTGCAAAGACAGAGAAAAAGTCAAGTAAAGAATGTCAACTCGTCAAACAGCACATTTTCCTTCAGTAGCTGTTTCTTTATGCACTCGCCTGCTGTTTTGTAGCTGTTTTACACATTACGAATGTTATTCAGATGTCCTCTCATGAAACATTTTCTGGTGAAATGAACTACTCTGACTTTATCCAGTCCAACAATACTGCTATCAGTAGTTTGTACAGATAACACTTTATATGGTATTTTTGCAAATACTATTTTCTAATAGTCCTATCGTGGAAAAATGGTATTGAGAAACCCTGCTTGGTGAAAAATTTCCTCATTCTTAAACAGTGTTAGGTCTGGTTTAGGCCTGGCAACTGTGAATAATACCACTGCATATGATTCACATCACTGACATATTCCTCAAAACATCTAACGGCCCCTTATTTCCTGCATGGAAGCATATGGATTCATTCTGTTTTCCGCTGACTAATTTCACTCTTGCCTTTAATCAACAAACCCTGCTTTGAGAATAATTCCTTAGGCTGCTTTCTAACATCTTGTTAATGCTCAGTATTCTCTGATCAATCCAGTAGAATGTAGGTAGCAAGAAATTTGACGTTAACAGAGTCTATCTATCTATCTATCTATCTATCTATCTATCTATCTATCTATCT